GAGGACATTTTTCCATTTCTTGTTCAGATAGAGCGGGAGGGAGAGAGAGAGAGAGAGAGAAACATCGACGTGAAAGGGACACATCGAGTGGCTGCCACCTGCAGGACCCAACCAGGGCCGGGGACAAACTGCAACCGAGGTACGTGCCCCCAGCAGGAACCGAACCCGGGTCTCCCTGGACCGCAGGCCAATGTTCTAACCGTTGAGCCAAACCGGCCAGGGCTAGGGCTTCCACTTTCTACTGGTGAAGTTCTCACTCTGGCCTTCCTCTGCCTGAGCATCTCTAAGGGCCCGATGATGCCTTTGGAGCTGCCCCCACCCCACCCCCCTTTTTTTTTTTATCCTCACCCGAGGACATTTTTTGATATTTTGTTCAGATAGAGTGGGAGGGAGAGAGAGAGAAACATCGACGCGAAAGCGACACATCGAGTGGTTGCCACCCGCACGACCCAACCAGGGCCGGGGACAAACTGCAACCAAGGTACGTGCCCTTAGCGGGAACCGAACCCGGGTCTCTCCGGACCGCAGGCCGACGCTCTAACCGCTGTGCCAAACCGGCCAGGGCCCCACCCCCCCTTTTTATACTCAGTATAATAAACTGGTTAAAAGTTTGCACTTTGGAGTACAGCATCTGGGTGTACCTCCCCTCTGACTGGCTGTGACCTTGGACAAGTCACTTCCAGAAAGACTCAGCATTTTCAACTAAGGATACCACCTATTCCTTAAAACTGATTGAAGATTAAAACTAGGTAGGTGTCTGAGACACAAGAAACACTCAGTAAATGAAAGGACACAGCATCTTTCTTCTGTATTTGGAGGGGCTGAGAGGTTAGCAAAGCACAGTAAACTTATTAGATCTGTCCTGGCCGGTCTTGCTCAGTGGTTGTAGCGTTGGTCCGTGCACCAGTCTTGGGCTCAATTCCAGTCAAGAGAGTCAAGGGGGTCAAGGGCATGTACCTCAGTTGCAGTTTAGTCCCCGGCCCTAGTCTGGGTCATGTGGGAGGCAACCAGTGGATGCATCTCTCTCACATTGATGTTTCCCCCTTTCTCCCTCCTTCCCCCACTCCCATTCTGTCTGAAGATAAAAGAAAAATCATCCTCGGGTGAGGAATAAAAACAACCTTATTAGATCTGTTCACCAAATGTACATCAACATCACAAATGACAGGGAAGAATTTATCTAATTTTAAATGTATTTGGGCCCTGGCCGTTTTGGCTCAGCGGTTAGAGCGTTGGCCTGCGGTCCAGAGAGACCCGGGTTCAGTTCCCACTAAGGGCATGTACCTCAGTTGCAGTTTGTCCCTGGCCCTGGTTGGTCATGCGGGTGGCAGCCACTCGATGTGTCTCTTTCACATCGATGCTTCTCTCTCTCTCTCCCTCCTACTCTATCTGAACAAAATATGGAAAAATGTCTTCGGGTGAGGATTAAAAAAAAAAAAATGTATTTGGAGTACACAAAGATTTTTGTACACAGATTTATCAGAGTATTATTTAAAATAGAAAAAAACCAAAACCCCAAACCATTAGCCTAAGTGTTTTAAGACTGATATGGAGAAGGGGGGAAATGCTCAGTAATGGTACAGCCACGTGGTCAAGTGTCATGCAGTCATTAAAACATTGTCTTGAAAAAAATCTTAGGCATTACAATGACTAGTGGCCCCAAAAGGCCATGGTACATAAAGATATACAGTATATTTGTGGTATTAAACTTTGAAGGGGGGGGGGGGCAGAGTGAAGAGGAAAACATCATCTACAAAGGTTCCTGAGGAGAAATGGTAACGTAAAAAGGTTGAGAAACACAAATATGTTTTGTTCAACATTTCGCTGTAACATCGATGAGATGCCATAGGAACCTCCCTATGTTTCTATCAGTGAGTCTGTGGTAAAATTGGTTTCTTTACACGTTGTTTCACTGCAGATTTAAGAACCGGTCCACAGTAAGTGAGGACTCACTGTACTAGGTTAAGGACACGCAGAAATGCTTCCAGTATCTCCCATCAAAAGAAGCAGGTCACAGCATATAACAGTATACATAGTCCAAAACATCCTAAGATATATATATTTAAACCTCACCTGAGGACATTTTTCCATTTTTTGTTCAGATAGAGCGGGAAGGAGAGGAAGAGAGAGAGAGAGAGAGAAACATCGACGTGAAAGGGACACATCGAGTGGCTGCCACCCGCATGACCAACCAGGGCCAGGGACAAACTGCAACCAAGGTACATGCCCTTAGTGGGAACCGAACCCGGGTCTCTCTGGACCACAGGCTGACGCTCTAACCGCTGAGCCTAACCGGCCAGGACCTAGGATATATTTTAAAATGGCAACTGAAGTTATTTCTGGCTGGTGGAATTTATAGGGGTTTTCTTCCATACACTTAAAAACCTAGGTTTAATATTTTCTTTTTTTTTTTTTTTTATCCTCACCCGAGGACATTTTTCCATTTTTTGTTCAGGTAGAGTGGGAGGGAGAGAGAGGAACAGAGAGAGAGAAACATCGATGTGAAGGGACACATCGAGTGGCTGCCACCCGCACGACCAACCAGGGCCGGGGACAAACTGCAACCGAGGTACGTGCCCTTAGCGGGAACCGAACCCGGGTCTCTCTGGACCGCAGGTTGACGCTCTAACCGCTGAGCCAAACCGGCCAGGGCTAGGTTTAATATTTTCTACAGTCTTTTTTTTTTTAATGAGACTTACACAAGATTGATTTCTTAAAATGTACTTTGGTATTTAATGAGATTTACATCAGAAGACGTAAAGCTGTTTTCTCTTCAGGTATTTTCCCAATACAATGTCCAGGAATAAGTAGGTGTGGCTCAACTATCTAAATATACACATATTTGCAGTCCCATGTCCCTGGGGTGTGGTTTTCCTGCCACTGGAGTTGCTGGAGAAGACAATCCACCTCCAAGGACGCTCAGCTGCACACCCGATTCCTACCGGGCCCCAGGACGTGAGACCATGATGCTTCAGGAAAACTATGATCAAGACCCCAAAGTAAACAAGAACACAACCCAGTTGTTTTTTTTAAAATCCTCACCCGAGGATATTTTTCTATTTACTTTCAGACAGAGTGGTAGGGAGGGAGGAAAGGAGGAGGAATGGGGGAGGGGAGAAGAGAGAGAGAGAGAAACACTGATGTGAGAGACACATTGACTGGTTGCCTACCACACAACACTGACCAGGACCGGAACCGAACCGCAACCAAGGTACATGCCCTTGACCGGAATCAAACTCTAGACTCTGGTCCTCAGGCTGACACTCTAACTGCTGAGCCAAACTGGCCAGGGCCACAACCCAGTTTTTGAAAGCTTTCTTCAGAAACAAAATGCCTACGACAGAGAGTATCAGCAGCCTTCATTTCACTAGGGGCTCCAGCAAGTCTCTTGCTGTACATCTCAAGTTCTGCCTTAATCTTCCACAGTCACCAGCTCACAAAGCCTGCTACTCACTATCAAAAACACAGCCTTGCCCTGGCCGGTTGGCTCAGTTGGTTAGACCATCATTCCATACACCAAAAGGTTGCAGGTTCAAATTCCCATCAAGGCACATACCTAGACTGTGATTCGATCCCTGATCAGAAGCAGCCAATGGATGTTTCTCTCACATCCATGTTTCTCTCTCTCCTTCTTCCTCTCTCTCTAAAAATCAATAAACACGTATTCTCAGGTGGGGATTAAAAATAAATAAAAGAAAACACAGCCTTACCCGTTGCCTTAGTCACAGCCACAAACTGTCTCTTAGAACAGCATTCAGACGGGAATGGGAAAAAAGACCTTTTCCAAGTTAGGACAGTTTCTTTCCTTAGAAAATATACTCACCTTTATAGCATCTTTATAACTTGTCATTATCAATTATTCAATTTAAATAAAAAATCAATAATCCTTTGATAAAGGCTATGTTGTGGAACAAAGTTGAAAAGTTTAGAGGAAAAATATTATTCAAAATTTCAGTCCTAATTTCACGATTACTGCTAGTTCTTACCCGCCATCTGACAAGTCCCTCTTCCTACCTTCTCTAGGCCCCCTTCCTGTATCCTCACCTGGACCCTGACACTGTCCCAGCACACTAGCCACACACAGAGACAGCAGGCCACTGACACCCTTCGCTTGTTCACGTGAACGGCTCCATTCACCGTTCTTGTGACCCTCCGAAGCTGGACCTGCAGCTGGAGGAGCCGGCACGAAGGCGCACGTGCGAAGCCGGGACTGGACTCTTCACCGTATGTACCTTCTGACCCTTGCTGCTGCTGGGGCAAGTGCGCGGCTGCCCCTTCGGTGGGGCTGAAGAGTGACCATGCCAGCCACTCGCTGCCCCAGCTCTGATCTCCACGTAAAGCCAGACAAAAACGAGTGACAACCTTGGTCAAGACCAAGAGGCTTTGAGGGTCACTACTTTTCAGTTAAATCAGTTGTCATATTTTAAAAATCTAGAATGGTTTCTAGCATCACACACGCTTTCTATTAGCTAGACAGACTGTGGTCAAACTAGAATTCAGTGTAAACCATCCTAAAAACACATGCAGCTGACTGAATCCCGATACTAACTGGTTATAACTAATACTATAAAGAAAGCCACAAATGTTTTATCCACTAAAATACTTTCATTAATACTCTTATCTGGACGTTTAGTTTTCCCAATGAATGAATCAGTTACCAGGCTCACAAGAATTGGCCCACTCTGTTTTGTCCTTTAGTCCTACTTTATTTATAAGCCAGCAAAACTTGACACTTATTAGATCTTTCCAACTAGACACCAAACACTCCAGATTCTCTTCGGTGCATAGTATCCAGAGTCACAGCAGTTTCAGAGACAATCTGGTGCAATTACAGAAACTGAAGCCTACAAGTAATATGGCCATACAAGTAGTCAGAGCCAGGACAAGAACTCCAGAACCCTGGATGTAGCGACAGGAAAAATAATGGGTAGAAACTACGGAAACAATAAATTTCAGATGGAAAAAAGGAGAGAAAATATGTCATTAAAAACCAAAACTGTAGTCACACAGTTATTTTGTAGTAGCTTCCAAATAAAGTACAAAAAACTCATGAAAACACATTATAAAACTGTACAAACTGCTAGATGTGTGAGGCCTGACATCTTTATAAGAATATACATTTCAACAACAATGACCATTTTTAGAAGAAGTTACACTTGTCCCTGTACATAATATTCATAATTTGCTTTCAGAACAAACTCAAAGTAAGGGCTGGACCTGAAGCCTTCCAGCTGCTCTGCTTGCAGCAGGTCCTTCGCCTCTGGTAGGTATTCACTGAGCTGGATGCCTGCGGATGCAAACACAGAAAGTCATTTTTATTTTCATGAAACTCAAATGAATTAGGATGATTGATGATAAAAGCACCTGTGCTTCTATTTAAATTGTAATGTCACTGTGCTATTGGGAAATACTGTTTTAAATTCCTTCCATCTGTCAAACACATTTGCAAGTATAACCATATGACATTCTTAGAAGAGGCTGCTTGAGTGTTTTCCCCCCTAGTGGTCAAAATAGCCAATCTATTTAAAGTCTTTTCATTTTTTTCCACAGCTTAAGCCATTCCTCCAATGGGAAAGTTGTTTGTTTGTATGTACTTTTAAATTAATAATCATCTGAAAACAAGTATTTCAAACAGTTAGATATTCTCCTATTTGGGAAATAACTTAGTAGAAATACTTTCATGAAAGCTGGTACAGTATCTCCAAAAACATTCAACTTTAAATCTAAAGTTGGTAGGCAGGAGAATCATTTCTTCGTCAGCCCTCTATAGAGCCAGGAAGCCAGTGAGCACCGATTAAATGGGTTGTTTAAACTGAGATCTGGGTAGTTATAGGAGAGTATGTACATTTTTCTTCATCTGATTAAAAAAAGGGGGGGGGGGATTTTAACAAGACAATATTTTATAATTTGTTACATTACCATAAGGTCCTCAAAATCTTATCTTTTAATACTTTCAAAGTGCTTAGCACTTTTTTTCTACTTGTTATACAATAAAAATCTGTATTAATAATTATTATGAGGCTAAATCCAAATTACTTATATACATTTATTACCATTAACACTTTCAATAAAGCTGTTTTCTCTATAATACAGTATTACACTTGTAAAAATATCACACAAGACTTTTGTAAGACCTCAATTATAAAATGCTGGTGACTAATTAGAAAATCTTTAAACTCCATGTAATGACATGTACATTTTGTTCTGTAAGTATAACATACTTCAATAACATGTAAAAACAAACCAAAAAGCTCCATGTGAATAATTGAACTACATCTGCAGGATGAATTCTTGCACAGGCTGAAGTAATTATCAGACTGATAGGAATATGAAATACAATTTGAGGTTATCTACATCTCTCTACCTTCAGAATGTGTCCTTCAAAAACATTTACTATTGTACAGGGAAGTCATCTTTTCAAAAAGTTAAAAAATAAATGTCCTTCCCTGGCTGGTTTGGCTCAGCGGTGGAGCATCAGCCTGCAGACCAATGAGTCACGGGTTTGATTCCAGCCAAAGGCATCAGTTGCGGTTCGTCCCCAGCCCTGGTCAGGGTCATGTGGGAGGGACAGTCAATGTGTCCCTCTCATGTTGATGGTTCTCTCCTTTCTCTCCTTCCCTCCCACTCTGTCCAAAGATAAACAGAAAAATATCCTCGGGTGAGGATTTAAATAAATAAATAAAATAAATGAATGAATGAATGAATGAATGAATGAATGAATGAATGAATGTCCTTGCCCTGGCCAATGTGGCTCAGTTGGTTGGATGTGGTCATGTGCACCAAAAGGTTGCCAGTGTGATTCCTGGTCAGGGCATAAGCCTGGGTTTTGGGGTTGGTCCCCAGTAGAGGGTGTGCGGGAGACAGCTGATTGATGTTTCTCTCTCACATCGATGTTTCTCTCTCTCCCGCTCTCTCTTTCTCTCTAAAAATCAATAAAAAATCTAAAAAACAACAAAAAAATGTCCTTGGCTTGTTACAAATATATATAAAATAGTTTCTGCCCTTTGGTCAAAATTTAGTAACTCTTTTTTGTACAATTCTAACTTTCATTCCTGATCCCTTCCCATCCATGACTTATCTCAGAATAGCAAAAGCTGCAAAGTTACCTTTAACTAGCACTAAATGCTTAGACACAATTCAGTTCTGTGGTACTTCTATGAGAACTAACTTCACATGGAAAGCATTTGGGTCCTAATGCTTTCTCATCATCTATTAGGCTCAAATGGACAATCTTTCCACAGTACAGAGAAATCATACCCATCCAGTTATTTCTTCAAGGTTTAACCTTTGTGTTATTTGCTCATCTTTGAAAATAAAAGCTCTCATGAAATCTACTGTCAATGTAGGGTGATTAAGTATCAATTTTTCATAAATAAAAGTCCAGTTCTATTCTGAGCAAGTCCCAAGTAATCTAGTCACAGAATTGCATTTCCATTTAGTTACAAAAGGAGATTCAAAATCTGAAACATATGCTAAGAGATCAATGTAGAGAGACTCTAAAGTAGAAGTTTCTAGAACACAAACAATGAATTTGCTGCTCTTTAACTTCAAAATATTGGTTGGTGGTTAGTCCCACGGTACTTCTCTGAGGGTCCCCCTTCATTTCCCTTGGTTAAGCCAGTGATTCTACAATGGAGGACTATTGAACAGAATCCATTACAGAGACGTTGGGGCTATGAATCTGCAAAACAGTTCTAAACATTCAAAGAACAAATGTTTACTGAGTGGTTACTATGTACCAGGCACTGCGTTGGGCATATTTTATGTAGATTAAATAATGTGTATTGTAGACATAAGTATAAAAATTTTCCAAATGTGTGCAAATATCAGCAAGATGAATAAAATGCCCATCCAATTAGAACTGCTGAATTTACAATAGTTTTTTCATTGTGTATTTTTTCCAGTTGGTATTAAAGGGAGTATCCTTAATTTGAAAAGATTGGTAAACACTAAATTGGCATACTGCCTGGATTTAACATCATATATTTTGATCTAGTAATTCTATAATAAATATGAACCACACTTGTTTTTATGTATAAAACATGCAAAATCTTTCACCTCTGGTCTAACAATATCCAAATGTTAAGCTCTTAATAATATATACATATAAAAAAGGTTAAAGTAAGTATCCTCTAATTCATCTTTCCCAAGAATAAGCATTTTATCCATAAAAGCATCTTCATCTATTTGTGTCTTGAACAGGAAATGGATTTTGCTTACTGTTTTAGGTATAAGACAAATGTAAAACATAATTCCTTCTTGTTTCTTTTTATTTTGTTCCTAAAGTGAATTTAAGAGTGTCAATGTGCAAAATGGGTTTGCAGAAATAACATTTTATAATTTGTTCTTAAGCAAAACATAGTCAGTTTAGTAGAAGATATACCAAAAAACTTTATATCTAATTTCAAGTTTTCAATCTTCACAAGAGTTAACTGAAAAATTAAAGGAAATGGTTACTTCTATCATATAGATTTTCAGTGTCACAACCAAGATCTGCACCCATCCCTGGTCCATCGTGTATCAGCACGGCATCCTTACTCAGGGCAGTCACTGGGACCCACGTGGATGGAATGGAGACTTCACCTTGATACATGATCCCCCAATTGGAGAGGAAGGAAAAAAGCCCTTCCTTAATTTTAAACAAACCTGGATTTGACACCTTTGCAAATCCCTGTTATTCTAAAATTTCTAAAACTGAGGAGCAATGCTGTCATTTCCAGTATTAACAAATCACTCACCATCTTTTAAAAGTTTCTGTAAGATTTTCACAAATATGCTGTCTTTAGATACTTCAATTGGATCATCTTTACCATCTGAACTGGACCAGCTAGAAAACAAAATCCATATAAGGGGAAATGAAACCACGATATATCTGAAAAATGACTTCTGTTTGCTACTGTGGCGGTGTTGTGACAGTGGGGCTTAGGCACAGCAAACCTCGAGCTCTGTGATACGGTTTCAAATTTAAACATTTAAACAAGGGAGCCTTAAATGTTGACTATACCTATAGTCTTTATATTACATATAAGGTGCTACATGGAGGTAGCTATTCATATAACCATTATGTATTTGATGTCAAAACCAAGTAGTGAGTGAGGTATCTTTCCCAAGGAATTTCTATACCGAAGTAATAAACCTAATAAGAACCCCAAAGTATGATCTTTCAGAGCACAGGTAATAGTTACAATATGTTATAACATGTTCTGTTTTTCATAAAAGTAAAATCAGGTAACCAGTGCCTGGTATGTAAGTTTGCTTTATCTAGTTGAGATTATCTACTACTGAAATTCCAACACACAGAACCACTGCTTTGCAGTAATCAATAGATTTATCCCACATGCTAAACAAAAAGCCAGAAATTCTAGTCAAATGACAGCATATTTAATCATGCTTTGGAAGGAGAATCAAGTAGGCAGAGCTAGATGCTTCAAAGGGTGACCCCAATACCAAATTTAACAACAATTTTAACTATTTGGGAGTGATCAGAAGAAGAAATACTTTAGTAAAAATAGTTCTACTGCAATTTCTCAACACCGTAGCAAAAAAGAAAACTGTGAGTGGGGAAGGCTTTTAGCACCCAAGTCATGCTCTCTTTAAAATTCTTTTCCTGTAAACAATCCATCCCTACAACTGGTTATTCTTAGTCTTTCTCTGGCACCATCTAACACCACCATTCCTGTAGATAAAAACCCTCCCCTCTGCAAGGAGGAGATGAATGTGAACAGCAGGTCTCCATAACCTAGAGGAGGGCAATAACCCTCAAGTTGTAATTAAACTTTTATTAAAAAAAAAAAAAAAGTAGCCTCAGGTCTTCTATGGCAGAACTGGCCACACTTCTGTGAAAATAAGAAACATGTATTTCGGTGCAAATGACAGTTGAAACATTAAAATAAAAAATAGTGGTCCTAAGTCCTAAAGTTATTCCTTATTTATTGAATGAAAAATTTAGTATTACTAATGAAACCACTAAATTTTTCATACTATATTAGTATATGTTATAATATAATTACGTTACAAAACTATTTGATGTATGATATAATATTCCTAAAGAGTACTTTTCCAAAACCTTATTTTAGATCCATGCTATGAGAACTTACTTATCTCTCTGAAGAGCTTTGCAAAGGATTTCCAGTTTCAGATCATTTATATTTATATCTTCCTCCTTCACAGCAAAAAAAAAAATCCTCATTAAGTTCTGATTTGAAAAAATGCATCCTTAAATTTAAGTTATGTCAACTCCTAATTCTGCACAATCATTGCTTTGATTCATAATTTTTAAAAATTTCCCTTTCTTTAAAACATTAACACTACACAGAACAGTAAGCCAATTAACTTTTGAATTAGTTTCTGATTATTCTTTGATAATCTGATTTTATCAGAAACCTTGAAGTTTTGAACAAGGTAATGTAAAAGCCCAAACGTTGTATTCTTAAAAATATTTTTTTCTTTTAAAATTAAATTTATTGGGGTAACATTAGTTAATAAGATTACATAGGTTCCAAGTGTACATTTCTATATGATACATGATCTGTATGACACATTGTGTGCCCACCATCCAAAGTCAAGTTTTCCATCACCATGTATTTGACCTCCTTTACCCTTTACAACCCCCTCGCCCACACCACCTTTTCCTCTGGTATACACCATACTGTTGCCTATACATGTCTTTGTTTGTCTTGTTCATTTGTTGCTTTCAGTTTCATATCCCACATGAGTGAAATCATATGGATTTTTACTTTTTCCATCTGACTTATTTCACTTAGCATATTATTCTCAAGATCCATCCATGCTGTTCCAAATGGCTGCTTTTAAAATCTACCAAACTACTCTCAATCACAAGGCCAACTACTTTTGTATTGTAAAATTTTCATTACAATCTTTTTTTCCGAAGGCTGAGAAACAGTTTTTCTTAGAATAAATACTACCAAGAATAAATTAATAAAGCAACATAAATTGAGGAACTAATAATGACTTAATAAATGAAAGAGAAAAAATATCTCAGGACTTTGAAAAGCATTTTTTATTTGTGCAAAGGAAAAGGACATCGGGGAATGTGTGAGATCAGAAAACGAAAAATCTCCCGATGACAGCTTTCCAAAGAGCTGTACATAGCAATCCAAGATTCAGGGCAGCTTAACCAGACAGGTGTTTTCCCATTTTCATGACTGGCTACCTGAGGTGTATTCAGTTCTACAGAAATCCCTACATAAACTTGAAACTTGTCTGTAATCATATCAAATGACTTTACTTACCTCATCAATGTATTCCAGCAAGTCCAAAGCCTTCTTGAAATCATATTCATTAGCTCTTTTGTTTTCTTCACAGACATATAGCTACGGCAAATTAAAGTAAGGTTGAGGACTAGCTTAAGTAAAGATACAAGCAACACTAGAAAAATTTTTGGAGAAAAGAAGTCATTGTCTTTCAAGTAAGTTATAGGTATCTTTATAGTAAAGAAGAGTGTCACATTTACAAAGCATACTCCATCTACCTCACAGTAAACTATTTTTTAAATATGTATATGTTTAATCAGTAATTAATTCAACTAATTTGGTATATATACTTTTAAAATGTCAATAAATTCATATTTTTTGGTTCAAGGCAATATACACATTTCAGCATTCTTTAATGCATACTCTTTGCAATTAATTGCTGCCCCTACATTTTATTTTACTTATTTACTTATTTATTTATTTTAATCTTCACCCAAGGATATTTTTCGATTTATCTTCAGAGAGAGCGGGGGGGGGGGGGTGGAGAGAGAGTCAAAGAGAAACATTGATGTGAAAGAGACACATTGATTGGTTGCCACCCACATGACCCCAGCTGGGGCTGGGAACAAACCACAACCAAGCTACATGCCTTTGGCCAGAATCGAAAGCAGGTCTGCAGGCTTATGCTCTAACCGCTGAGCCAAACCGGCCAGGGCCTACCCCTGCATTTTTAAAGCTGGCTATAATGCTTGAAGCATTATAAAGTTGCCCTTCCAAATAGTTTTAAAAATTGAGATCTATCATAAAGCAGGCAGTTGGTCTATAGTTCACTTAACAGATAAGAAAGCATATAGCAACATACTACCAACAGTTATCCCTGGTTGGTTAGATCATAGCTGACTATATACTCATTTCTGTATTCTGCAAATTTCCTGTGACTTTATAATCAGAAAAACACTGGCCTTATTAAAAATATCAATTTGAATTTTTCCTATCATTTTTATAACAAATTTCATTTTTAGATATTATATATACTCCTTTGACAGCAAATACTCAAACCATTTCAGAAAAGAAAGCTATTTACTCATTTTTTTTGTCTTACAAAACTTAAAACACTTTATTTCATTGTTTCTGAACATCCTTTTTTCTCCACAATGTTAACATCTCTGAACTTGAAATGTGGTATTAAAACTGATGGTGCATTTGTAAAATACAGAGTAAAACTGGGACTACTTTTTCCTTCTTACTGATACATAAAATAATGGTGAGTCATACAAATAACGGCATCTTTGATTTTTAAATTAAATATGCTGCATCAGGAGAGGCAGTTGTGTTGTGAGCTCAATTATAAGAAATCTGTTACTGCCCTGACCAGTTTGGCTCAGCGGTTAGAGCATTGGCACACAGACCTAAGGGTTTTGGGTTTGATTTCCTGGTTGGGGACATGTGCCAGGGTTGTGGGTTCCATCCCTGGCCACAGTCAGGGTCGTGTGGGAGGCAACCAATTAATGTGTCTCTCTCACATAGATGTTTCTCTCTCCCTCTCTCCCTCCCTCCCTTCCATCCTAGCTAAAAATCAATAGAAAAATATCCTCAGGTGAGAATTAACAACAACAAAAAAGAAATCTGTGCCCTGACCGGTTTGGCTCAGCGGTTGGAGCGTCGGCCTGCGGTACAGAGAGACACGGGTTTGGTTCCTGCTAAGGGCACGTACCTTGGTTGCAGTTTGTCCCCGGCCCTGGTTGGTCGTGCGGGTGGCAGCCACTCGATGTGTCCCTTCACATCGATGTTTCTCTCTCTTCCTCTCTCTCTCTCCCGCTCTATCTGAACAAAAAATGGAAAAATGTCCTCGAGTGAGGATAAAAAAAAAAGGAAGAAAAAAAAAAGGAAATGTTACTAATAATAGCTAAAATATTAATGTTTTTTAATTTCTTCCTTTCTTTTTAATAACAGAGCAAATTCAAGGTAATCCTATAACATAATTCTTACATTTGAAATGCTTTCTTAAAAGGGAAAAAAGAAAAATAGAGGTGAAGCTACAAGTGTACATAACGACAGAACTATCTAGGCAGCCCACAACCAGTGATGCCCTTAGGCATGGGTTATGTTGCAGAGGAAAGGGGTGAGGATGGCAGTTACAAGCTATTAAATCCAGGTCCTTAAACCACTTTTCTTACAGGAGAGCCTGAAATTATCTCATGGTACATATCTGTCCTGTACTAAAAAAGTAATGTGTAACTAATTCCTCCTGTTCACATGGATAAGCATCTTTAGGAATAGATGGAGATCCACAGGGAGTCGGAGGCTTGTCCACTGCTTTCTGCTAACTGCTGTCCTGCTCCCAAGCAGCTTCTAACAACTTACTCCAGGGGAAAGTTACCAGGTAACAGGAAGTAGAAAGATGCCTACTGTTAGAAACCATACTACATGGCCCAAGAAACCTTGAGATTGTTTGGAGACGAAGAAATGGTACAAGGATTCGAAAAGCACATACACTGATGAGCTGCGGGGCAGTCAGAACTGGCATTGCACTGAGGCTTAGCTGTTTCTCCGCTAGCAGCTGTTCAGGCAGGGTCTCCTGGTGCAGTAGAAAGCGCTCCTGTTCAGCCATTTCTAAAATTCAAAATGAGAGGGGGTGGGGAGGGGAGTAAACGTTTATGTTTTTCTCTGTTATAAAACATCTGAATTTAAAAAGAAAGGGAGTATCTCTAAAGATAATCTCATTACTATTCAATGATCTTAGAGTGTTTTAATTCTACTTATTCTTGATTCCTGATTATGTTAAAACATATTCATGGCTTGATCCAAGTCATGTAAATTATCACAGCAACCAGAACTAGTTAAAAGGAAAGAGGAGAGGTAAGGAAATGCATCTTACTGCTTAAAGAAGTGGTAGAGAAATGGCTGTTTCGTGAGGCACAGCCCCTAAATCTGGGATCTCTCAGTCCCATTTTATGGTAACTTTTAAGTGCTTCTTCCCATCAGAGTTTCTAGTTAATTTCAATCACTAAGGGAAATGATCTATTAAAAGCCACCATAAGTCCAGCCAGTGTGGCTCTGTTGGTTGAGCATTGTCCTGTGCACCAGGAGGTTGCCGGTTCGATTCTAGGCCAGGCACATGCCCAGGTTGTAGGCTCAATCTCCAGTAGGGGGCATGCAGGAGGTACCCGATCAATGGTTCTCTTCCATCAATGTTTCTCTTTCCCTTTCCCATCCTCTCTCGGAAATCAATAAAAATATACTTAAAAAATAAAATTAAGTAAAAGCTACCATGAGTATATTACAGGAAAAATAAGACCTGGATGATTATGTGGCAAACTTCTTAACTAGCAATGGTAATCTCTAGAGGATAAGGTGACATGAACTATACAGGCTGCAGCCCCATAACCTGGCTTTGCCCATGAAAATGTGCTGGATTGTAGAAAAACAGAGTTGAGAACTGCTATGTAGCCTCAAAAACACAGCAGTCAAAGCAAAATGGAGTAACCAAAGCACAAATATACTCATTCAAATATTGGCCTTATTCCACAAGATCCCAATTTTGTAAAAAATTAAAACATTTTTGTTCAATTTCCATACTGAGAAAAACAGACTGAGAAAATAAAAAAACAGTAAAAGAAAACTTACACATTTCTGTAAGAAATTATTTATAAAACCAGAAATAAAGTCATTTTTAAAAACTTATTTCTTATGATTAGACACACTGTGGTAATTAGTCTGTAGGAAATTATTGAGACCTGACAACATTTCCATTGTGTTTAAGAGAGCAAAGCTAAGAAGCCATGAAATGCAAAACAATGACCAGAGTTCCAATAACATCAGGAAGAAAAAATGAGAAAGAATAAAGACTTGTGTTAAAATATTTTGATTAGCCCTGGTAGGTCTGGCTCAGCGGTTAGAGCGTCAGCCCTCGGACCAATGAGTCGCAGGTTCGATTCCAGTCAAGGGTATGTACCTTGGTTGCAGTTCGTCCCCAGTCCTGGTCGGGTGGTACAGGAGGCAATCAGTTGATGTGGCTCTATCACATCAATGTTTCTCTGTCTCTCTCTCTCTCTCTCCTTCCCTCCCTCCCACTCTATCTGATGATAAACAGAAAAGTATGCTTGGGTGAGGAATAAAAAAAAACATGATCTACTTCTGGCGGTCAGGCTAATACATGGCTGCACTCGGTTGTCATGCCCTTAGGCTCTGATCTAAGACAGCTTCCTGTCTTTTTGTTTTTGTCTTTCATGTTGCTGACTGGGCTGACTATACCGTAAAATGCCCCACAATTGCGATATATATATAATTGTTCCCTTGAGATGGGATTCAGGTTGAACAATTTTGGCAAGAATACACACAGGTGGTGTTACATATTACCAACTTATATCACTCCAGAAAGTATGTGATATGAATCTGTCTCACTGTTGGTGACGGTATCAGTTGGATCTGTGCAATAAGACTCTAAAAACATGAGGATATGCTCTTCCCCTAACCCCTATATTCAATGGTCCTAGCATGCTTTGATGACCCTATTCACCATGGTTGCAAAATGGTGACTTCCCCAGTCAATCATTCTTTCTATATTAATTAGTTGGCATTCTTTTTTGGCAAAGAAGCATTTTACTGACCCCTCCTCTTCTAGGTATCACTGTGGATTTATGAATTTTTCTTTCTTAAAACTGAAAAATCCTTTACCATCATTGTTTTGTTTTTTTCTTATCCTCACCCGAGGATATTTTTCCATTTTTTGCACAGATAGAATGGGAGGGAGAGAGAGGAAGGTAGAGTGAGAAACATCGACGTGAAGGGACACATCGAGTGGCCGCCACCCGCACGACCAACCAGGGCCGGGGACAAACTGCAACCTAAGTACGTGCCCTTAGCGGGAACCGAACCCGGGTCTCTCCGGACCGCAGGCCGACACTCTAACCGCTGAGCCAAACTGGCCAGGGCTACCATCATTCTTTATGGTATTTAAATTATCCCCAGATTTGGCCAGACCGGTGGGAGCTATTGTGTTGTTTGACATCTGAACATTAACCTTGCTTTCTGGCCCAACAGGACGTCCCAAGATCATTTCTTCAATAAAACATACTTCCTTTCAGTGAGAAATGGTAGTCAGAAACCAAACTACAGAAATAGGTTCATGCTCCTGGGGTGTCATGGCTTTTAGGTCTTTTCAGTTAATAGAGCCAACCAATTTTTAAATAATCATGATTCCATTTTATATTTCTAATTCAAATGCAATAATACAGGATTCGTCCCTCTATCTTTATATCTCCCTTCTTCTTGATTTAAAAAAAAAACAATATATTCGATCCTTTTCTCAATCTACAGTACACACAAAATAGTTTCACAATTATGATACCAAAAAGTTTTGAACTCGAAACCAAGAACTTCAGAAGGACCACTACCTACAACAAACCCCAGAGTAAGGGTGAAGATTTCTTTGCAGCTCATCTTAGAATATGAGTCACGAAGGGTGTAATCAGAGCACTTTGTTCAAATCATCTGAATGTATTCTTTAGGAATTCTTTAAAATACAAATTACTTTTTTCTAAAAAAAGAATCCCAAGTATATAACTAAATTATGATCTAAGGACACTGAACAGGAAGCACGGGTCCTATTTCTAACAGATTCCATTAAATGATATAGAAACATATCATAAGAGTGACTGATTTGTACATATTCTTGTTCAAATTCTCTTTTACCTTCAATTTTTTCCTGTAGTATATCTTCTGAAAAATCTGAAGCCAATGCTGCCAATTTACTCAAGCCAAGAAGGGTTTTTTTCTTTGCAAAGTAACGAGTTTCCATATTTGCCAAACCCAGAAGTGTTGCATGAGCCTTTAATAAACAAAATATGAAAACTGTGGTAAGATCCCAGTTACTAATTCAAGTTGAAATAAATGTTAAGTACAACTCACACTTCTCCCCCTAAGTTACATCAGTGAAAGATCAAATCTGTATTAGCAAATCTAAAAGCTGATGAGTACCATATATATGGAAAAGTAATTTCACAATATCAACCACCCACACAAATTATCGTGAAAAGAGACATGTATAAAGCATGTACTCTTAACAATTATATATTCACTTCAACATCCTGTCAAGAATTTTCAAATTAATTTGTGGACTACTTTTATTCATAATTTGAACATTTTTATTATAAGAAAATACTCATTACAAAAAAAAGGTTGAGCCCTGGCCGGTTTGGCTCAGCGGTTAGAGTGTCAGCCTGCAGTCCAGAGAGACCCGGGTTCGGTTCCCGCTAAGGGCATGTACCTTGGTTGCAGTTTGTCCCCGGCCCTGGTTGGGTCGTGCGGGTGGCAGCCACTCGATGTGTCCCTTTCACATCGATGTTTCTTTCTCTCTCTCTCCCTCCCCACTCTATCTGAATGAAAAATGTCCTCGGGTGAGGATAAAAAAATAAATAATAATAAAAAAAAAAAAAGGTTGAGTGTCATCTACATGTTAATCAAATTTTTGTGCTTTATTTTACTGCAATAGTCATCAAATCATAATGGACTACATTTTTTTTTTATTTTTTATCCTCACCCGAGGATATTTTTTTCCATTTTTTGTACAGATAGAGTGGGAGGGAGAGAGAGGAAGGGAGAGAGAGAGAGAAACATCGACGTGAAGGGACACATCGAGTGGCTGCCACCCGCACAACCAACCAGGGCCGGGGACAAACTGCAACCGAAGTACGCGCCCTTAGCGGGAACCGAACCCGGGTCTCTCCAGACCGCAGGCCGACGCTCTAACCGCTGAGCCAAACTGGCCAGGGCATGGACTACATTTTTTAATTGAGATATTAGAAGCAATGGCAACACTATCATAAATCAAAAATATTTAAATTATGTGAAAGACAAAGATACACATTTAAAATAATTTATAAGTAGTATTGTAATTACTGAAAACTAAAATAAAACCAACTAAAAATAAAGTTACCTATAACTGTTCCATATAACTGAATCCTTACCTTTTCTAATTCTTGGCTGTTAATTTCATGTAACCAGCTGAGATGTTCATGAGCTTGCAAAAAATCCGCCAACTGTCCGTGTTGAGCAATGGGCTGAGATAATAATTTGCCTCTCTTTCCTTTCTCCAGATACCAACGGAAGAGAAAGTCTGAAAAATTCTATAAATAACACAGCCAAGAATCCAATGCTATTTAGTAATACAGTTTTTAAAAATATATTTCTGATAATAATATATTAAATTTCTCCCAAAGGTCTTAGACTCCAGAATAGAAATCTTGTTTTAGTTTTTTGTTTTATCCTCACCCGAGGACATTCTTGCACTTATCTTCAGATACAGCAGGAGAAAGAGAGGGAGAAAGAGAAAGAGAGAAATACTGATATGAGAGAGACACATAGACTGGTCGCCACCCACAAGGCCCCAACCAGCGCCAGGGACAAACCACAACCGAGGCATGTGCCCTTAGTGGAAACCGAACCCAGAACTCTCTGGTCTGCAAGCCAATGCTCTAACTGCTGAGCCAAATCGGCCAGGGCTAGAAATCTTGTTTTAAACACTAATTTCCTGTTTTATAGGGTCCTAAAAAAATCACCTTATTGAATCACCTCATTTGACAAATGAAGACATTCAGATTCAGAAAGATCTTCTTGCTCAGAATCAGACAGAATCTAGATGTCCATTGTCCAAAATGGCAGACATGGTCACATATAGTTGCTTAAACTTAATTACAATTTTAAAATTCAGTTCATCGGTCACACTAGCCATATTTCAAGTGCTTGATGGCCACATGTGGCTAGAAGACTTCTTTTGGACAGCACATATAAGCCACATTTCCATTGTTGCAGAAAGTTACAGTGGACAGTCCCAAGACTTTTGTTTCAGAATAAAAGATTTCCAAGGTAGAACTCTGTGAGAAATGGCCATGTGGGATGGCATGAAAAATCAGACCGTAGAGAGGCCCAAACAACCAGTGAGCGAGTTTTCCCTGCAGGATATTTGCTGAATGCTGGGGTGGTACAGGACAATGGGCTGGAAAGGAAGACGAAAATGTCCTGCAGTCTCATAGTATTTAACAGAGATTTTCCCTAAAGGGGGAATTCTACAATGAACAAACACATCAGTCCCACAAGACTTTTGAAACCAGAATTGAAATAAATGTAACAAAAGCTGTAGCCGAACCCTGGCCCACCTCTGTTCTTGAGAAACTGAATGATCTGCTTCTCCTCTTATCTGTCTTCCAGGGGGAAAAACGGTATTGAGTTTCATCTTTATGGTTCTTTTATACACAATGTCCAAAATACAATAAAAAAATCACAAGACATCAGCAGAAAAATATGACCACTAAGCAGGCAACAGAAGCAGACCTAGGAATGATCAGATCTGTAGTACAAAAGGACTTTAAAATAACTACTAAAGCCCGGCTGGTGTGGCTCAGTGGTTGAGTGTCGACCCAGGCACCAAGAGGTCGCCGGTTTAATTCCTGGTCAGGGCACATGCCCAGGTTGTAGGCCAAATCCCCAGTGGGGGGCATGCAGGAGGCAGCCAATTGATGTTCTCTCTCATCAATGTTTCTCTCTCTCTAAAAATCAATAAAGAAAAAAAATTTTTTTAAATAAAATAACTACTAAAGAAAATTTTTTAAAAAAAGCAAAAATGGACGAAAATGTCAACAGGAAACTAGAATTCACAAAAAGAAAAAAAAAATGAACACAAAATAATTTATTTCAGCACTACTGTGAAATACTAGATAAGCCATGTCCAACAATTAGGGACTGATCAAATAAGACATGCTTATATCCAGCCTGCGAAATTATAAAACTATCAAAAATGTAGAATATTTGATGTTATGGACAAATGTCTATGACGTATTAAGTAAAATAAGGAGTTTACAAAACACGTTTGTCTGTAATGATATACAGTAAAAAGACTAGAAGAATATAAACCAAATGTTTTAAAGGGTCCTCTCTGGTTAGTGGAATTTATAAGCGATTTTCTTAATCCTCTTTTTGTTTATAGGGGTTTTCTGAATTTTATATGTCACTTTTATAGTAAGAAAAAATTCAGTTTTTACATAAAAATCAAATGACTGAATAAACTGGTTTTATTATTTTTAAAATTTTTATTTAGTTTTTTGGTTAATCCTCACCCAAGTATATTTTTCCATTTAGTTTTAGATAGAGTGGAAGGGAAGGAAGGAGAGGAGAGAGAGCGAAACATCAATGTGAGAGAGACACATTGATTAGTTGCTTCCCACATGACCCTGACTGGGACCAGGGACTCAAACTCAAAACCCAGGTATGTGCCCTTGACTGGGAATTGAACCCCAGACCCCTCAGTCTGTGGGCCGACACTTGAACTGCTGAGCCAAACTAGCCAGGGCTGAACAAACTGGTTTTATTTATTTATTTATTTTTTATTTTTTTCATCCTCACCCAAGGACATTTTTCCATTTTTTTGTTCAGATAGAATGGGAGGGAGAGAGAGAGAGAGAGAAACATTGACGTAAAAGGGACACATCGAGTGGTTGCCACCTGCACTACCCAACCAGGGCCGGGGACAAACTGCAACCAAGGTACATGCCCTTAGCGGGAATTAAACCTAGGTCTCTCTGGACCGCAGGCCGATGCTCTAACCGCTGAGCCAAACTGGCCAGGGCAAACTGGTTTTAAAGAGCAATTTAAACTCATCTATACAGTGTCATATTGGGAACTTTTTTCAAAAAAGAGAAAGCATGATTTCAAACAAGGTAAACACAACAATCTTAGGTGTATGGAAATCTGAAAAGTATCATCCTATGCTCCCACAATCTTCTATTCAAAAATTTAAAACTCTACCAATATACCTAAGTAAAATTTTCAGTAATGTTTATATATAAAGAATCGTCTACCAATTTACAAAGAAACATAAAATATAAATTGATATCTAAGGTAACCACAATAAGACAGTATCATCTTCCAAAAACCCCACATAAGACCGGAAGTGGCAAAGCCTTAACACAGGAGCCTACGCCCCAGCGTCTGTTACCTGGTCAGCAAACTGGGTCATGTAGTGCTGGAGTCTGGTCTGGTTGTTAGTCTGCTCACACATTTGAACTAAGATATCAAAGTCACAGTATTTTTCTGCTAACGAAGCAGCCCATGAGTACTGGCCTAGTGTGACTGTGGAAATGAAACCAGATGGAAAAAAAATCTTGTTAATGAAAACTTAAGATGGAATAAAAAATATTACTTGCAATTTTACCCTTATTCATATTATATACTAAAAATAATTAATGGAATAGAAACCTTTCCAGTTACTGGCATTTGACTTCAGAATCTATATAAAATCATTAAGGATGCAAATTCAGTCTCTTGGTTCATCACCACCTACCTCAGGTGCTATTCCCTTCCTCCACATACTACCAAAGCAAGCTACTTCTCCCAATCCTAATGAAAACAAGGTTGAATAAATGAACACAGAAAGCTGTACATATTTGCTTTAAGTTCTTCGCACAGTCAGATTAATGATATTATACTGAATACACTGCAGTAATGATCTGACTCCTTCACCTGTTCTGCAAATTCAGAGACCCATAGCCTTAGCTAAATACCACACACTTACGAAGTGGAGATAAGAGATCTGATCTTTTCTGTACATATTCAATTTCCAGATTGTTAAATCTTTCTTGATGGCTGGATCTGTCCAGAGACTTAAGCTGACAAGCATAACCATCCAGGAAGCAATCAATCAGTGCAACCAGCTGCTCTGTCAGAATGTTTCGAAGGTTGCTGTCTGCCTGAGGATAAACCATTTTCAGGATAATCCCATGCTGGCGTAGTATTGCTGTTCGGACGCCAGCAGGACCACTTGTTGCTGTGAAATCACACAAAATAATATGGTAAGTAAGGGTTCCAAAATAGCCAGGGGAAAGGACAACCATCTAAAAATTGTATCACTTCATCACTGCTGGAAAAATAAATCAAATAGGAGTTCGGCTGACCCCTCTTGTCCTGCTCAGACTCCATCTTCTCTATGTAGACTTCCTCAACAAAGCCAGAAAAACGCAATCCTGCCTTCCTTCCTTCTAAACTCCTTTCGTGCTAGTCAACTTACTTTCTTGTATTGAGTCAATATAAAATACAGGGCAAGGGCCTGCTTCTATGAATAACTATATGCATTAAAACCTAGTAGATGTATAATAAGTACTGGTTCAATAAATAAATTAAAGAGACCCATAAATTCTTCCAAGGGAATGAAGTAACTTTCATAAGAATTGCTCCTTTAGGAGACGGCACTTAAAAGTTCTTTTTCATTTCATTTACACATCTGCATTGATACAGCTTCCAAAAATAATGGCTCTTTAGAATATATTTTGAATAACTAGTAGTAAGTCAAGTATATTTGGGCTCAGTGTTTGCAACCTCACCTGTCCATGGAATATATTCAGGTTCTTTCCCTCGTGAGTCTTCTCTTCTATACAAGGAGTTTCTATTTTGTCGATAATGACTAGCAGCTTGCAGCATGTCCTGGAAAAAAACGAAATGCATTATCATATCATATGCAGAAAGTGACGAATCCCAGTATTTCTAAAGGTAATCTGAAACATAAAACATGAAACATCAAAAAACACTCAACATAAGTTTGTGAGCTAACTTTTTGGTTCTTTTTTCATTTGAAGTTTAACTCCGTAATATAACTTCAATTTTGGAAAACTATAGTAATCAAAGTAAAAAAACTGTTATTATAAAGTATATTAGCTAAAATTAAATGTAACATTTAAATCAATAAGTAGTGAACTTTTGAGTAATTAAAAAGTAAACTTATTTAGACGGTTACATTAACATTAATACATTTGTAATGATATATATATAGATATAGAATAGATATCTATACCCTTCTCTAAAGAAAAGGTTTACTCTACCAAACAGAACTTAGAATTATAGAAACTTTTAATATGCACATGGCAAATATTCAAAACAGTTGCTCAATGATTGATAAAAGGGTATTTTTCAATTTTTTTTTTAATTAACAAATGGCAAAACTCTTATAAATGAATGGTGACACAGAGTAGGGATACAGAAACCACTTTCTCTTTTATCCACACCCGAGGCTTTGATTTGCTAAAATCTTCACCGTATTTTGGTACCTTGAGAATGTTGTTCACATTGATCACTGCCTCAGCCCATTCAACTGATTCCATAGATGTATCCTTTAAGACTTGCTCCTCATATTCCAGTAAACACTCACAGATAGTATCTATCTGGGATACCTGAGGGAGTAGAGAGAAGTCAACCACATATAACAAAAATTATGGTAATGGGCAACAATTACAACTACCTAGAATCTACTCAACGGGCTTGTTTCATCACGTCACACCCTCAGCTCATTAATCAGAAAAGAACAGCTAATGGTGAAAACAGATTAAAAAAAAAAAAATCAAGAAAAGTTCAAATATCCTGACCTTTAAAAGTTACAGTGCTCAAACAACTAAGTCTTATAAACAAGTACATTCTGAACTACTACCAGATAGATTTTTCATTTAAATATAAAGTACAATCAGCTCTTTGTAGCTGCAGGTTCTGTATCTATGGAATCCAAAATATTTGGGGGGGAAATGTTACACTGTCAATGACATGCGCTATGCATTTAGGCCTACCATGGTTGCATATACAGACTTGTGTTTTTTCTTGTCATTATTCCTAAACAATAATAGTGTAATTATTTACATAGGACTAGGTATTATAAATAATTATATTAAATTATCTAGAGATGATTTAAAGTATACAGGAGGATGTGCACAGGTTATAAGCAAATACTATGCCATTTTATATAAAGAACTTCAGCATCTGTGAATTTTGGTATTGGGGAAAGGTTTCTGATACCAATCCCCTGCAGATACCAAGGGACAGCTAAAACTGAAATATTTTTTATTATAGCTATTAGTGCTCAATGCCACCTTTAAGTAGTATTAGGTTACAAATGATGTCATGTTACAGTGTGAAACACCCAACTAATGAATTAACTAATAAATTAAAATAATGACCCAAACCAAAGAACTTATATGCATGTATGCATAACCAATGGACATAGACAAAATGCTTGCAGGGTGGGGGTGGAATAGGGAGGAAGGAGGGTGTCTGGGGGGAAAAAAAGAAACATCAGTAACAAAAATAAATTAAACAAATTAATAAACTTGCTAATTTCTTTGAATTCATCTTCTTTAGACATAACAGAAATGTCTATAAAGTAGCAATAGCTATATAGAAAATAACTAACTAAACACATAACTTCGAATTGTTCTTTTTTTTGGTTATTAATTAGCACATGAAGGTAATGGTGCACTGAACCACTTATTTCCCGTTTCAGCTCACAGTTATGTTTTTCCCCTTTATTTATTAAGTGGATATTAGTATTTAGAGTTTACATAGCACTGGGCACTCAAGAGAGTTAAGAAAGAGAAATCAGATTTGTTGCCCTCAAGGAGCTTACAAAATAGTTCACAGAACAAAACACACACAGACACATGATGTGGCCCAAATAAAACCATCTGTCTTGCAAATCTGTTCTTCTTTGCATTTCTGATGTCAGTCCAAGGCATCCTAAGGACCCTAGCAAGAAACCTTTGGCATGTTCAATTTGTAAGATTAAACTTACCTTTTTTACACTCTTAATGGAAAATGATAATGAAAGCGTGTATGATTTAATAGGCAGATAATCATATAAAAGCAGATAAAATGCCCAAACACTCACTAACCACCCTTATCACCAGTTATGTACACAGTAGTCTCAAATACTGCTCATATGCTATACCAGTATGTTCTTTCCTTAAGCAGTTACCTTTGCTATACAGAGCCAGACTGGCGATAAAGTGGAGAGTACACCCTCAGGCAGATTCTGTATTATTTTACTTCCTATCAGGGCTGCCAGATCATGTCTCCCCTATACAGCCCACCAATCAGAGATTGATTTGGGTTAACCTGCTCTTCTCTTAAAATGCTAATACTTGTTGGTAAGTAATTTGCATTCCCAAGTGAATGGAGTAAAGAGAAAGAAGATTATTTATACATGTATCTGTCATTCTATTCAGGCATATCCTCTTTCCAGCTTTCTTTTTATTATGGTTCTGCCACATGGGAGGACCTTCAGAACCACACCCAAAGGGAGCTGAAGACCAGTAACCTTCATGAGAAATTAAGATCAATGGTGATGTGATATAAACATTCTTCCAATATTACCATTTCCACAGGGAACATTCTTTTGAGGAATCAATCTTTTTTAGTTTCATTCTACCATATTCTTAAGGTATTACTCATGAATTATTAATCCAACTGATAACTTCTTGACCCTTCCTTTTTTTCCCAGTTAACTGGAAAACATACATATACTACATTAACGAGTATGCTTTGTACTTTGATTCAAATGCAGAAAAAGGAACCAGGCTCTTGCTCAAGTCTTTCAAATAATTTGTCATTAATTATTTTTTTTAAAGTCTTTGTTTTACCATGAAAAATTACGTATAAATAAGACAAAAAAGAATGAAAAAATAAACAGTTTGACTGGTTAGATCATAAAATTTGAGGTGAATTATTTTTCTTTCTTTCATTCAGATTTTCGGCATATTTCCTAGTTTGAAATACAAAACAAAGTGCTTTGCCTTACATTCCTTAGAAAAACAACTAACAAATGGTATGAAGACAAGGCACTCATTAAACTAAATACACTTATGGCCCGGCCAGTGTGGCTCTGTGGTTGAGCGTCGACCCAGGAACCAGGAAGTCGCTGGTTCAATTCCTGATCAGTGCACAAGCCTAGATTTGGGCCCGATCCCGAGTGGCGGGTGTGCAGGAGATGGCCAATCGATGTTCTTTCTCATTGATGTTTCTACCTCTCTCTCCCCCTCCCTTCCTCTCTCAAAAAATCAATCAATCAATCAATCAATACATTTATGGAATCAACACGAAACCTGAACATAGTTCAGAGTCTTAAGTTTTTTTTAAGTTACAGTACATCAAATATTAAGAAAAAAGAGACTTCTTGGCACAGACTGTTAGATGCTAGCTTACAGCTAAACTGTAGGAGGAAGAACATAAAATTAGAGGCACCAAAAGACTTAAAAGTTCCCCAAATACAGAAAACAATTCCAAATTTCACAAAACTGGGGGAAGCACTAGCACTGTTTCTGAAACCAGATAATGCCAGAAAGGGAGAAGGGGACAGGCCTAGTTAAGGACTGCAGGGGCAACATACTGGCATGCCCAAAGTGGGTGCACTTAGTGCTGCCTCAGAACCAGGCTCTGTCGTCTGTTACCACAGTCAGACTCTCAGTGTTAACATCTTCCAAGGAGAGAGTCAAACCTCCCCATCATTCTCCAGGTTGGGAGGCATCCCCAAGTACGAGAGCTATGTACTACAATGTTCAGCTGCCACCAGCCAGCCAGCATCTTGATCTTTTCTCCCTCCGAAGTTTACAGGTTTTTCTTTTTCTCTGAAAATAAATCTGATTTTAAAAATTAGGTGTACAGCAGAATCCTAGCAGGCAGCTGAGGAGAGTTTAGTGAAGGGTCTGTTTAAAAATGCATGGGCAGGAGTGAGGGGACCAACAAGGGACTGTACAGCACACAGGGCTTTCAACAGGGGAAGCCACTGTGAAGCCCAGGCCTGCAGAGGCACCAGGAGGGAGCAGTTACTGGAAATGCAGAGAGAGCAGCCAGCTAGGAGCCTTGGTCTGAGAGGGCAGAACAAACTGAGGTGGAAGCAGGAAGCTGGGGGAATAACCACTCCAACCTCTGATAGGAAGCTAAAGGCAAGGGAGCCCCCTGGCAAGGTGCCCTCCCAGGGAAGAGTCAAAAGTGGATTTGGAGACAAAGGAAAACATCTAGCACAGGATAGGGAGGACTTCTTAGTCAATTCTGAAAGCATTAGGAAAGTGATAAATGAGTGATACTTTTTGAGTGATAATTTACCCAAAAATATCAAGTCCAATTTATTTATTTATTTATTTATTTATTTATTTTTTTTTCAAGTCCAATTTAAAATTTCAGTGAGATCTTTTGTCCTTAATCTTTTCCCTGCTTGGGGTATGAACAGTATGTAAATAGCACAGCTCTATGAAGTCATATTAAGAGAAGAAAGAAGACATGTCTTACCTCTCTAAAAAAGATGTCTGCGGGGGTTAGGCTGGATGGGATGTCACAGTCCCTTTTGTTTAAAGCAATCAATATTGCTGTGTTCACGAGGTCAGACAGCCGTGAATGGTGGTTCTTGAGAACAATAGCAGCTGACAACTTTTCTGCATGCTCACAGAGCAACAGTCGAGTTGCCATGGGCATCCCTCTTACTGGAAAAGTGCGTAGACGTCCAAATAGGCCAACCTTGCGAAGTGACAAACACACATATTCTTGGAAGGCATTTACAGTAACACACAAAATAATGCAGTCCCATTTCCAACAGAATCAATGGGGTACAGAGCCACTGCCCTAACTCTGCCCCAGAAAGTACCTCCAGCTGTCTCTCCTTTTGGCTATTTCTAACACAAGCACACACAATTCAGCCAGTACCACTAACACCTGTAAGAAATACAGACATTCCAGTTCTAAGATTAGGGTTACTCCAGAGTTCCTGTCCACTACTGTTGTCTTTACCTATCTTATTTCTCAAGTTATTGTTTCTGGTTATCAAAATGGTAAATCGCTCTTTCCTATCTGTACCCATTAACTCCCCTAGATTCCAGACCTTTGTGGGCTATTAACTTAGCAGTATCCATCTTCAACAACTGATTTCCAGAACCCTAAAGCCAGTGGGTGTGGGTATGTGGGTGTGTGGGGGGGAGTGAGAGAGTCTCCAATCCTTTGCATCTCCTTCCCCTGATGATTGCTTGATGCTCAGTTCTGGTATGTTACCAGGCTGTAAGAGTTTTTCTAAGCTTTCTTTGACAAAGCATTGCAATAACTTAAACTACAAGAAGCCAAGAGACAGACTTAAATAATAAAAACTCTTCTACATTTTCAGTATAGCCATTTCATTAATAAATGGCCTAATTCCTTATATAGTTTATTTTAAATACAGAAAAGTACACAGAAAACAAAAATAATCCAAATCCCCAAAGAATTCCTACTGACATGAGTAATAAATGTGTATGGCTAGAAAATTTAATGGTACAGAGAAGTAAAAGTCTCCAGTCCCCAGCTCAATTTTCTCCCTACAGTAATTGTAATTAAATTTTCTTCATAACTCTATATGCTTTCATATTATTTCTATGTCAGACGTTATCTTTTTAAAACACAAGAAGAGTCATACTATTATGTACTGTTCTGTTCCTTATGTTGATAGCATCCTATTTTTTCATAATACATTTAGATACTCATTTTTAATGCTATGAAATATTTCAATGAATCAACCTGGTTTAATAACCTGGTCAATGGCTGTTTTGAAATAAGAGTTATACGTTCTTCCCTGATCTGAACCCACTCCCCAGTTCCCTCAGATCCTGCAGGCGTAGTGTGACATGGGGGCCCCTGGCTGCCCATGACATCTCCTCCGTGTCCAGTGAAGGAGAGCCACACGAGGACATCACTCCAGCACAGGAGGAAGAAGATCCCGTGAACTCCCTGCTTCTGCAGACTCTGTGTGAGGACACAGGCTGCCCTCAATACCAGGAAGCTAGAGACGCAATACTGTCCCGTGGCACCAACAGTATCTCCCATCCCTCTGGAGTGAAGCCACAGCACTGCTGCTGCTGAGTTTGGCAAAAAGAAAGGAAGCGACTTATAGTTCCTAATTATTAATGTAAATTCCTCAGTGAAATAAGCTCTAAATATTAAAAGTTATACAAAGGGTAGCCAAAAAGGGATTTCAGATGATCACCTTGAGGCGAACATTACTAGCAACAACTGTGTGGCTCCCTTAGGGTCTCTGGAGCCCCGGGAGGCTGTGAGAGAGATGCCCAAGTGCTCGTGTCCACCGCTCTCTCACCTCTGATCAATGAGCATCCTCACTGTGGCATGTCAGGGTCACAAACTCCTCCCCTCCCAGAATACACCCCTTCTGCCTGATTTTGCCATTCCTCCCACTAAGAGGTAGAATCAATTTATCAATCCCTTCTGTCTGGGCTGGCCTTATGGCTTGCTTTGACCAATGTCACTCTGGTGGAAGTGACATTATATGATATCTGAGGGGAGACATTAAGAGACCTACAGCTTCTAAGATCATGCCCTTGGAGTGCTGCTCTGAGACCCAAGAAGCAGTCCAGCCTGAAGTGGAAGGAGAAACTCAGCGGAGAACAACCAAGTGGCCCCAGCTGACAGCCAGCACCAGCTGCCAGTCAGGACACAAGCTTGGGACCTTCCAGCTCAGCCACCTTAACTGTAGCACAAGGAATGGTCCCAGGGGAATCAGCAGAAGAATCGCCCAGCCCACAGAATTGTTGTAATTCACCTGCATTTTGGAGTGGTTTGTTATGTATTAACAGTTAATATTAACTAATAGTTAATACTCATACACTTTACTAATTAAACAATTAAATCAGGAGAAAATGTATTTTTTTTTCAATTAATCTGGAACCCACCTAAAACACTAGAAAAGAGATGAGCAGAGTTCTCTTGTCAAGACAACGAGAGCAGAAAGGAGCCAATCAAACATTACAAACCAAGCAGAATACGGAACTAGGAAAAATGAAGATATTTCTGAAACCATCTAAAACTGCACCATCCAATAAAGTAGCCAATATCCATCAAAGTGGAGATTTAAATGTAAGTCAATTAAAATTAAATTATAAAAAAATTACTCTGTTGCATCAGTCACATTTAAAGTGCTCAGCAGTAAACAGTGAGCTACCATACTGAACAGCAGACACAGAACATTCTTGTCACCACAGAAAGTTCTACTGGCAGCACAGACTATAATCTCTTTAACATGAAGGTATTACTAATTTTGGAAAAAATAAGCACAAATGAGATTAAGTTCACTCATCTGGACACGTGCATAAGAGCCACTACTGATGGCAAAATGGGTGCTTCTGTGTAACAATTCTGTCTAGCAGCAAAAACATTTTCTAATTTTATTTTAGGCTCAATATAAATGAAAATTTGATTCTAATGGCACTTCAAAATTAAAAATCTACAGATAGAAATCCTATTTTTATCACCTCATTGTTCTTCACTGTCTTTTTAATAATACAAATCTACTCATGAAAACCTAATTTTTATATAAAAGCACAGAGGAAGTCAATGAAAGGCAGGATATCATAGAATGTTACAAGAAAGACTAAAATAACACTTCTGCTGAAATACACTATTTTTCTACTTTTTATTTATTTTTCAATGCAGCTTTTACTCTTGGAGTAATAGGCCTCCATGCAGCCCTGGACTGACTGACTTTTAAGTCAGAGAAAAAATGTAAAATACCAATCATGCTCCCCCTACCAACAAAACATCTCTCCCACTGTCCTGGGACAGCAAAGCAAGTGTCCTGGGTCCCTATTCACAGTGACTAGGATGCTTACTTGGTGAATAAAGTCCATGAGGAAAGAATGGGCTTTCATCTTGTCTTCTAGTTGGTGAAGAATAATCAGTGATGTGTTGCTAAACCCAGGTGCTTCTGTTGAAACACAATAACAAAACTTAAAACACATAACATACTAGCTTTATAGTAATTACTGCTGTTAAAATAAAAAGTTAACCCCGGCCGGTTTGGTTCACTGGATAAGTATCGACCAATGCACCAAGAGGTCATCGGTTCGATTCCTGGTCAGGACACATGCCCAGGTTGTGGGCCAAATCCCAGGCGGGGGCCATGCAGGAGGTGGCCAATTGATGTTCTCTCTCATAGATGCTTCTCTCTCTCTCTCCCTTCCTCTCTCTCTAAAATCAATAAAGAAAAAAAATTTTAAGAAATAAAATGTTAAGAAAAATCTATATAAAAGGAAAACATCACCCAAGAGTTTCAAAAAGGTTAGTGGTTCTCAACCTTCCTAATGCTGTGACCCTTTAATACAGTTCCTCATGTTGTGGTGATCCCCAACCATAAAATTATTTTTGTTGCTACTTCATAACTGTCATTTTGCTACTGTTATGTCTTAGGCGACCCCTGTGAAAGGGTTGTTCGACCCCCCAAAGGGGTCGCGACCTACAGGTTGAGAACCGCTGGAGAGAGTTTGATACAATTCATACCATACTTATTCAAAACACAAAATACGTTACTACTAGCTTAATCATTTATTTTATATCATTCTAAGCTTGCCGGCTCAAAAGGAATAGTCAAAGAAAGAAGGTAAACACTGCTTTCTCCTAAATCTCTAATGAGTCTTAGCAAACTTGCTAAGTACAAAATTAGGGAGAGAATTAGATGTTTGAAACAGTTTCCTGGTACCTGGGAACCCCCAGAGTGCCGAGAGCTGCGGGCAGACGTGTCAGATGGACAGTCCCCAGGGCAGGCTGAAAAGCATCAGGCAGAAACACATGATGTGCCCACTCTACATGCTGGGACTTGTTGCTCACTGCCGCTTATAGGGAAATGTACAGTTTCTGTTTGTCAAATACAGCGATTATGCCAAAATTATCACTTAATTTGGGGGTCAGTGAGTGCCAGCTGCTACCTAAGACACCAGTTTCCTTTCAGAAACAAAATGTTGAGGCAGCTACAGGGCTAATTAATCATCTTCAGCTAGAACAAGTAGACTTGCCCCAGTGTTCCCTCGGTTTCTATTCTATCACGTAGATATGTTTGGAAACTTCTCAAATTCTACCATAAGAAAAGTTACAACCTTTTTAAAAGTACCAAATTACTATTATTGTCTCAGGACTTTAAAAATATGTTTTGAGAGACACTTTAACAAAAGAACCAGAATGTTCTTCTCAAAACATATCATTCCATAATATTAAAATTAGGATGTTCTTACCCTCAGGGACAGACTCTGCCCATCGTGGATCAGAGGCTGGGTAGTCATCCACCAGGTCCACACTGATTTGGGCAACAGCTCTGTCTAATTCAGAATCGGAATCCAAATCCGAGTGAGAGGAAAACAGTTCATCAACCATCATTTGAGCATGACCCAAATCTTTTCTGAAATAAAATTGGAAAACAAAAGTATTAAAGGCCGCAAAACATTTTCAATACTCACCATGAAAAAGTTAATCGTGACATTAAACTTGTATATTTTAGCCCAAAGTTACTTTTTTCTCCCCAAACAAATTCCTTTTAATAACATTTATTTAAAAGGAACAACTCTTATGCATTTGGTAATTCAACAAATATATGTTGAGCCCTGCCGGTGTTGCTCAGTGGTTCGAGGGTCGGTCCTTGCACTGAAGGGTTGCAGGTTCCATTCCCAGTCAAGGGCATGCACCTGAGTTGCAGGTTCAATCCCTGGCCCCAGTTGGGCTGTGTGCAGGAGGCAACCAATCCATGTGTCTCTCACATCGATGTCTCCGTCTCTCTCTCTCTTTCTCTCTCCCTCCCTCTCTCTCCAAAAATAAATGGAAAAATATCCTCCGGTGAGGGTTAAACAAATAATAAATAAAATAAATAAAAAAACAGTCCAAGACTTCACAAAGTCTAGTGTCATGAGGAATCCAACAATTAAACAAAAAGTTACACATACACTATGGCTGGGGAAGAACAGAGGGGAAACAAAACCACCAGAGGGCAAGAAAACTGAAGGCAGCCTCCACTCGTCGCACTTGCAGGGAGGACGAGACACACAGGTCTGAGAGGGAAAGATACATGCAGTAACTGCTGCAACTAGTGTACGAGGACTCCCACATCTCTGCCCTGCACAAATAAATGGGCTCTAGCACTTGTCACTGGAACGGGGGTAGAGAACGAGTAGCCTGGAGCAGACAGGTGCGGTGTTGGACACGCTGGAACCAGGGTGCCTGTGAAACACAGAGCTGCTTTTCCACATTCTTCCTTTGTGTGTGCAGGGCCCAGAGCATGGAAGAGCTGTGCTTCTTCAGCAAATGAAGCCACGGAAGGAGAAATGATCGTGCAGGGAGTAGAGAGAGAAAAAAATGGGAGACAAGAGCAAATCATCCACCAGACAACTTTTCAGGTAGTGTAGCTAGAAAAAGGAACAAAGAGAAGGGGTGGGAGCTCAAAGGCGGACACAGAGACTAACCTTTTGGAAAAAATGGCAGAGTAAATATGATTAATGGCTGATGAGGAGCCAGCACGAGAAAGGTCAAAGATATAGAAGAGGAAAAACTGGGAGAGTACAGTCTCAAGAGAAGCAGGAAACGGTGACATTCAAAACAAAGACAAAAAGCACCTCTTCTCACTTTACAGGGAAGGAAAGAGAGAAAGTGTTTGGATGCAGGTGAGTTCGTAGGTAGCTAAGCAAGGGGAGTTGTTCTCTGCAGGTTTCTGTTATCTTTGAAGTAGGAAACTGAGTCATCTGCTAAGGACGGGAGAGCGGGTAAAGAAGTGGCAAAGTGCAGACTGGAAAAGGTTTGAAATGGTCTCTTGGTAGAACAGGAGATAAAGCTGCCTAGAGTAACAGAAAAATTGCTTAAAAGTGTTAAAGACTGGGTTGAAGCTGGAAACCTAGTTGTGCTATAAGTTATGGGAAAACAAAGTTGACTATGGCAAGATCAATCAATAATTAACTATTTTAATCAAAAGAATAAGTTTCTTAAACTCTCAGAAACAAAAGATTTTCTATTTATAATGAGTTATAATAAAAACCAAAATAATACAAAAATTAACTTCAAAGAAACCATGCGTTAAAAATAGTAATATTGCCCTGGCCAGTTTGGCTCAGCGGTTAGAGCGTTGGCCTGTGGTTTGGAGAGACCCGGGTTCGGTTCCCGCTAAGGGCATGTACTTCGGTTGCAGTTTGTCCCCGGCCCTGGTTGGGTCATGTGGGTGGTGACCACTCGATGTGTCCCTTTCACATCGATGTTTCTCTCTCTCTCTCTCTCTCTCCCCCTCCCACTCTATCTGAACAAAATATCGAAAAATGTCCTCGGGTGAGGATAAAAAAAAAAAAAGTAACATTGCCTTAGCAAAAAACTAAATAGATAATACTCTTTAGAGGGCTATCAATCAATTTTGACTCCCAGGGAGCATTTGGCAATGTCTGAAGATAATTTTGGTTGTCACAAGTTGGGGGAAGGATGCTACTAATGCATCAGGGAGGAAAAGGCCAGAGACGCTGCTAACACTGTACTATCACAGGATAGCCCCACGACAAAAAAATCACCTGTCCTCAAATGTCAACAGTGACAAGGCTGAAAATCCTGCCTTAAGGTACCACAATTCCATCTGTGAAGCATCTCTTTTTTTTTTTGGTACATGCCCCTAGCGGGAACCGAACCTGGGACTCTCTGGTCCGCAAGCCAATATTCCAACCACTGAGCCAAACCGCCAGGGCTAATTCTTTAACTCTATTGGCTGACACTACCCTAGAAATGATTACTTATTTTTATTTTATTTTTTATCCTCACCCAAGGATATTTTTCGATATTTTGTTCAGACAGAGTGGGAGGAAGAGAGAGAAACATCGACGTGAAAGGGACACATCAAGTGGTTGCCACCTGCACGACCCACCCAGGGCCGGGGAGAAACTGCAACTGAAGTACATGCCCTTAGCAGGAACCGAACCTGGGTCTCTCTGGACCACAGGCCGACGCTCCAACTGCTGAGCCAAACTGGCTAGGGCCAGAAATGATTACTTATCACCCTCACAATACTTCAAGCATTCTAAAAAGGGTAAGTCAAAAGTATAGCTATGCTAGAGGCCCAATAATACTGTTCCCAAGGTTACTAGACTCTCAGGACTTAAGGACAGGAATCCCTTTTCGTGCTTAATAATCTTCTCCTGTAAACCATTTAGAAACTACTACACTGAGTTGAACAATGTTCCCTTCAAAATACATGTCCACCCAAAACCTCAGAATGTGATCCTTTTGGAAATAAGGTTTTTGCAGATATGATTAGTTATACTGGATTAGGGTGGGCCTAATGACTGGTGTCATCATTAGGAGGACATACAGGGAAAGCCGTGTGACAGTTGAGACGACTTATGGAATGATGCATCCATAAGCCAAGGAATGCCAATGACTGCCAGCAACCACCAGGCAAGCAAAGAGTCTTCCACAGAGCCTTTGGAAGGAGCACGACCCTGCCGGCACTGATTTCAGACTGCAGCCTCCAGAACCATGACAGAATAAATCCCCACCACCCAGTTTGTAATTTGTTACAGCAGCCACAGGAAACCAATACAATGACTATGGTGACTTGCTCCATTATATTTAAATTTTGAGATGCCACAAATCTGACAGAATTATTAATTAAAGGAAAACTTGTGCAAGATAAAATCATGGTATTTTAATCCAAATCTTGACAGGAAGATCGAACACCAAGCAACAGAACAAGATTAAAAGAATGCTATTTAAAAACAGAACCAAAAACTTCATTATCTAATGATGTCTTCTCCTGGACAAGAAACTAAGCTCAGCAGCTCTTTTGGTGGCACAGAATTTTAAGTCTAACTGTATCCCTTCCATGAGAGTGAGCCACTATGAGTAGGATTACAGATTGTGAGCTGAGAACTGGGGAACATGGAGGTAGCAAACCCTGACTATTTCTTCAAATCAAAGATCTGCTAGAGAAACTAATGAGCCTTCATGCATTCGAACTGCCACCCCACTCAATACTTTGCAAAGGAAGAAACAGAATTCCAGAAATGTTAATGGATCTGTCCAAAGCCTCACACAGCTAATTAGGGGCAGAGCAAGGACTGAATCACAATTTTCCCAAGTGTTTATTCAAATGTGAATTTACTACGCCTTTCGAAGAAGGTACCAGAAGAGATGATATGCAGAATATGTGTCTAGGACTAGCTGAAATGACCGAATTCATCTTAAAACCACAAGTCGTAGGTCAGACTAAGTACCACAGACTTAACGCAGTTATTCCCCTCCCTGTGTGTGCCCTCCCTATGACGTGCTCAGGCCAATGGGATATTAGCAGATGTGACCCAAGCTGACCCAAGCAGAGACCCAAAGAGTGCTTGTGCACTGAGGCTTACTCTCTTGCCACTTCTGGAACCCTGTGATATAAACAAGAGCAGGAGATCCTGCCAATGGGGAGAAGCCACACGAAGCAGATCGAGTTGATCATTCACCGCCCCCAAAATGTGAGTAAGTCTAGCTGGGACAGCTGGCAACTGACCACACACGGGACCAGTAAAACAGCCACCTAAGCCCAATCCCAAAGAGCCAGACCACAGAATCATGAGCTACATATTAAATAAGCCACTAAGTCCTGTGGTGATTTTGTACACAGCAAAACCCAACTAATAGGCCAAGTCTAATTCCTTCATCACACTGATAAAATGTTGTATTTGCCTTAACATTATACATAAAAGATGCCTACAAGCTGTCTTAATAATCATGAAGTGGAGAGGCTATATTACATCCTGTGTGCCCCCAGCCTAGCTGGAACCCTCTTGTGACTCCCAAGTTCAGAGTAACAGTTTATTAAAGAGCTGAAGTTTAAAAAACCATTTTCTCCTCAATGACATCATTCCTCCAACTCACTCCCACCAGTCAATAAATAAGTAGCATGTCAGAAAAATGTGTCCTCAGACTTAAGCTATAATTTAGAAAACGTGTTATACCTGCAGTATTGCAGAAAAGCAGCTTTTAGCAATCTGGTTTTATCTTCCTGGGCTATGGTTTCAGTCTTTGTAAAGGTCTCAAAAACCATACTCTGTAAAACAACAAACTATAATTTAGAGGTGAAGGTATCAGAATATTTTTAATTATTGGACTAAAAACTGGGCCCACATATGATAGCAACAACACAGGTACACCAGCTGTTTACCATACTTTCTATACCAATGGCTTATATACATAAAACATTTATTGAAACAAGATAAAATGAACCAAATGATCAACCAAAGTCCTATAGAAAAGGTATATATAATTGAGGGATTAGATTGTGAGTAAAATTATTTGGGGATTTCACCATAATGAACACAACCCTTTTATGGGTTTGCTCTTATAACTCATCACAATGTATATTACTAAGCATAATGGCTGATTTCAAGCTTAAACAGAGATTTGAAAATTTTAAAGAAATGGAATACTATAAGATAGCTTCAGAACATCAGCAGTATCACAAAATCCACGATTACAAAATTTAAAAATCATTACTTTTTGTTGAAACTGTACCAAATCACTTCAGTTTTGAATTATAAAAATAGTCTAAATATTTCACATACTACTCAAATGGAAATGATCCCAAACAGTATTATTTATAGTCTCCTGTAAAAGAATGATAAAAATCTTACAGGTCAGGAGAGTTCAGGTTTCAAGATGACAGAACAATAAAATTGATGATTTTTACCCAACTCTCCCTCTCAAAAACCATCCCAAAATAACAAGAAAAAGAAGCACAACCACCAAACATCTGTGATTTGACCCACAACACATGAAGACAGAAACCAGAAGAAGGAATGGCAAATGACAGAGCAGAGGGGAGACAAGGCCGCCCTCTGTCTGTGGTGCAGGGACAGGTCCTGAGGAAGGCTGAGGCCCAGGAAAAGGAAAGTACATGCAGAGCTTCCACAGATTGGACTGTGGGAAAACTACTGACAGGCACCTACAGCACCGCTGCAGTGCGTGGGAAGATTCAGCCAAAGTAAGCAAGCAAATATAAGCCAGTCCATTCCACACTCCAGAATCACATGACATCGTACAATAAAGGAAATGTAATCAGTATATCACTTGACTCATTGAACGGTAGAGCATATTCATATTGTCACTGTAATGGAAAATAAAAACTATACTGGGATGATAAAGACAGAGAAAGAAAGGTAAGTTACCCCAAATCCTCATCTTCTATAATAGAAAATCAGTGGATGTCTAAAACAGATGAATTCGGAGACAGCAATATGAGCATATTACTTAGAAATATAGAAAAAAATACCAGAAGAAACAGCTAAAAACACTTAAAAGTAGTTGCTTCTGTCAAACAGAAGGGGATGAGAGAGATAAAAGAACTAATGTTTTCATCACAACTCTTAAAACTATCTGACTTTTGAAAACATTTGTGGGAAATAGTCTGATAAAATTTTTAAAATCATATAGAACCACATTACCTCATTGCCTGGTCCAGCAATTGAAGATGCTAAAGAATCTTCAAGGTCCTCTGCTAATATGGACACATTTTCCCTTGAACTAATAGCCACCAATCCACTGTTCCGAGAGAAAAGGACAGGAATACCACCACAGGAACCAGCTCCTAAAATACTGTCCCCTGAAAGACAGAGAAATACACAATCAATTATACAGAGCCTGCTGCTATTTGAAGTAGCAGACTCTGTGTCCTTCAACTTTAGGACAATAAAAACTAGCCTTGTAAGACAGTAGTTGAATAAGCAAAAAGTAAAATTATTCATTCTGTAAAATTCAAAATAATAACTTTTGCAGTCCAATGGGGTCCTTTATCCAATTCTGCCTTGACTTACTGAGTAAGCCAATGGAGAGGGGGGTCTAAGTCTGCTCAATGCCTTAATACCATCCTGCCCACCCACGGTCAAGGCTCTCGTGCTGCGACTGTAAAATCTAGGTTCCAGCTTGTTGCCTCACCTGGATTCAGCACTCTGCTTCACCCCTCTAGAAAAATATCCTGATTAAACCATCTGCTTGGCTTTTTTCACTCCTGTATGCCCCACCCCATGTGTCCAACACCTGAGATTCTTCTTATCCAGGGGTCTGGATACACTTACTTAAAGAACAACTCAGAATAAGTCACGCTTACTAGCTAGGAATAAGGAATTCTTGGCGTTGCTTCTTTCCTTCTAGGCCTCTTGTGGAGAAAATGTTACTATATTTTTGCCCCCAATTATGAGTTTGGGAATTCTACTACCCTGTTGGTTTTTCAGTAGGGTTGTGACTTCAGCTATTATAGGTGTATGGTAGAGAATGTCTCAATAACACTTAGAGGTATCGTGCTTAAAGCAACACTTACAGAAAAAGAACAAAGACTAAGAATGACTAGTGAGTTCAGTTATCTTACTTTCTACAACTGCCACTGTACCTTGCGTATTAAAGACAAGCTTCTCCTGAGGAGGAGAAAACTTCCCGGTCCCTGTGGAGCACACGAAGACGGCACTTTCATTGTACAGATAGGCGGCCTGATTTGAAAAGTTTGGGACCATCAACCGACACATAATCAACTCTTCAGACTGAAAAGCAAATTTAAAATTATATTTAATGAGAACTGTAATAAAAAGCTTATCTGTATGATTTTATAATTCCTATTTTTGTACAACACCACCTCATAACAATGATAAAATAATTCAATGACTGTTCTTATGAAAACCTAAACACAACCCTATTTTATAAGATGACTTATAAAATAGGACAGAATATGTTTTATAATAAATATTAATTAGAGAAGTTCATTTGTTGAGCTGCAAATAATTAGCCAATTTTAAAAACATTTCCATGGTGATAAGATTTTTAACTAGAAGCCTATCAACAAATGTGAGAAAGAAAACAAAAGAACTAATTCATTATATTATTTATTTTAGAATTAGTAAATACTTTATAAATGACTCCTGATAAACATTTTGGTTCTTACTTCACTATCAAGATATCATGTACAGTAAAACCTCGATATAACAGTCTAATTTGGGTAAGGGGGAGTCCGTGAAAGCCGAAAGTCCCATTACATAATAAAGTAGGTTTTCTCAATGCATATGTTAAAAAATTGACAAATTAGTTAGTTCACCTATTTTTACTTATATAGACACATTTGTGTAATTAGAATTAAGTATGTATGAAAAGTTTAATTTCACAGAAAAGTTTTCTATATGCATTAATTTTAAATGTATACTGAATAGGTCTAGTAAATGTGTGAAATGTGTGCATTCACTAGTCACCGTGAGGAAAAAAACAAATAAAAACGGCTGGGACGTGGCTTACCGCACCTGGGAGCACCAGCCAGCACACATTAAAACTGCTGCAGAAAGTCACACCAATTACGGAGGGCAATGTGGTGTGATCTTGTGCTAAACATTCCCCGAACACTGTTTTTGAGTGGTGATTCTTGAATTGAAAAATGTAAACTATAGACTGGCCGGTGTGGCTCAGTGGTTGAGTGTGGACCCATGCACCAAGAGGTTGCTGGTTTGATTCCCAGTCAGGGTACATGCCCAGGTGGTGGGCCAAATCCCCAGTGCGGGGCATGCAGGAGGAGGTGGCCAACTGAGGTTTTCTCATTGATGTTTCTCTCTCTCCCTTCCTGTCTCTCTCAAATCAAAAAAGAAAACAAAATTTTTTTAATGTAGACTATAGTTGTAGATATGTAATACTTATTTATGTCAGCAAAATTACTACAGTGTTTTTTCCCAACATATGGCCTATTCGCTAAAATTTTTTAAAATAACAGTGAATTAACAACAACAAAATAACCTGTTAATTTAATTATAATCAAATCTTGGTTAAAAGCATTTTAAAATTAATAAGGTGTTAATTTTCATATGACATACAGACCAGAAATCTTGTCTGTTAATCTGAAGTCCATTAAATAGAAGTCTGCAAAATCAAGGGTTTACTGTACAAGAAAACTGAGTTAATTTGTTCACATATAAACTCAGAAGCAGAAATAGAAATAATACCTAATTACAGTTGACCTTTGAACAACATGGGTTTGAACTGCATGGGTCCACTTATATGCAATTTTTTCCATATTGCTGTGTAGCAATTGCATGGCTACCATAAAGCAATCATATTATTGCTTCTTTGTTAACAATGCATGAATCATTATACCTGCCCATAAACATAATTTTTCATTTTTGATGTCTTATGTTAGGAACACGTATAAAAACATCTAGTGTTTTGTAGTACATAAGACAATACTGATGTACGAAATAACATAAACACAATTCATTGTAACAGACAAATTTTCAATATTGATATATAGTACTGTTAAATATATTTTCTCTTATGATTTCTTAACATTTTCTTTTCTGAAGCTTACTTTATTGTACAAATACAGTATATAATACATATAACTTACAAAATGTGTGTTAATTGACTGTTTATATTACCAGTAAGACTTCTAGTCAACAGCAGTTTATTAGTAGTTAAGTTTTTTAGAAGTCAATAGTTATATGTAAATTTGCGACAGGGGTGTGTGTGTGTGTGTGTGTGTGTGTGTGTGTCAGTGCTCCTTGCCCCTGAATTGTTCAAAGGTCAATTGTAAATTAGCAAATGCTAAAAATAATTTGTTATTAAAGAAGCAATTTTACAAACAAAACATTAAAAGTGGGATCTTATCGTTTTCTATTAATTCCCCAATTGTATTCATTGTACCTGTTTGCACTGTCTGAAAATTTTAACACTGGGCATGTTTTTCTTGCATAATCAGAATACATGTTATGGTTTATTGAAATAAAAGAACAAATCAGAAGATTTCCTTACAGTATTCAGTTTAACAAGTTATATTAAGAATAAAGATTTAACAGAATTAGTACTACACAAGGTTAAATGAAATGAACTTACAACTGTTAAGGTTTTTCCTTATGAACATCAGTTATTAAACAATATGTCCAAATAGTATTAAGAAACTTAAAATTAGAGATCTTTTCATCATTTACAAGAACTTGGTTAAGTATCTAATGCCTACAAAAATAATCCTACTCTAAGCAGAAATGGAGTATTTCTATAATATACAGGGCTCAAAACCAAACCCTAATTCTTATCAGGTTTCTTCCTTATTTTTCATTCTGCATTTCACCATCAATATTTTCTTTCTACTCAATAAGGAAATGAGAAACTCTTCACAGAGCCAGGTGAGAAGAAACAAAGTGCTTGCTGTCAGTTGCTTCAACTCCCATTTCTCTTTAGCTAAAGCTGAGCAAAGGAACAAGTCTGAGATGGCTAATAAAAAGAAATCTCTAAAAAGTGTCTATTTGAAAATACATCCAAGCCCTGCAGATGAATCTTTCAAAGAATTTGACCCTGCAATGGTTAGGGAAAGAAAGCTCAGCATGTTATTATCACTTTGTGATTTAACTGAGATAGAAAGCTTACCTGAAAAGGTGGATTATACTGAGTGACTTCTACAGTTACTGCATCTGACATTTGGCAGCCATTATCTTCTACTGTTATCAGAGAGTAATAGGTGAGACACGGACTATCTGCTGGATGCCATGCTGCTGCCAAAACCAGGAGCCCATCACTAATCAATGCAAAAGAAAGATCAACAGTCTCTGGAAAACAGCCTGGAAGTTCCTTATAAACATACCCTTACCATCTGACCTAGCAATCCCACTCCTAGATATTTACCCAAGAAATATGACGCTGGGGTTTACACAAAAATCTGTGTGTAAATGTTTATTTGCTATCTTTATTTTTTAAATCTTCATGTTTTAAATATTTGACAAATTTTTACATGAGTACATATAAGGTACTACATTTTAAGATTTTAAAAATCTAAATTTTACATCTAAAATGAAAGTCTCTGAGCTTTGTATCAGTAATAATAATCTAATAAAAGACTTTATAAGCCTGTTCACAGAAAATATAAGCCTAGGTTGCAGCTCTGGTCAGAATGAGCAACCAATCAGTGAGTATCAGTGAGCATCAGGAAGATAAACACTGTTTTTAAAAAGCAGAAATCCGTCCAGATACAGAACACTCTGTAGGGTTCACCAGACCTGGAGGACATAGAAAGTGATGAATGGATAACTTGGAGTAAAGGTGGAGAGGAGGGTCAGAAAGAGAATGAGTGCTGAGTCTCACAGACTCATACGAATCTTGTTGGCTGCCAACACTGGGGGAGAGGAGCCCTGGGTCTGACCCGATTGAGTAATTCCTAAGTATGTTTCTCTTCTACCTTCTCAAACTATGTCTCCATTCTGAAAAATGTGAAAAATGTCATCATGTGCCCACAGTGAGCTGTGTCCAGTAGCAGTTCTAAATTTCTGAAAGTCTTACAATAAATAAAAGCTGGTAAACTGTATTTAATTAAACTGTTTATGGAAATTAAATATATACTATTATTTTTACTTCTTTGATAGTTTCTATAAGGTTTTCAGAAACTATAAAGAAGGATCCTACTGATAGCCTGAGACAGAAAAATTATACAGGACTGCAATATCCTTCCAAAAAACAAACAGATTTGTTCCACTACACTAAATTACTCTAAAACACATAAAAACCATCCTTAAATTCTGGGAAGTTTTGTTTTGAAGGCATACAAGCTACATATTTGCACTCATTATGAACTTCCACATTACATATGGTTTTTAAGTTTCTTTTTTTTTTAACCCTCACCAGAGAATACTTTTCTATTTCTCATCAGACAGAGTGGGAGGGAGAGGAAGACAGGGAGAGAGAGAGGAAGAGAGAGAGACACATTGACTGGCTGCCTCCTGCACAACCCAACCAGGGCCGCAGAAGAACCACAACCGAGGTACGTGCTCTTGACCCAAATCGAACCCAAAACTCTTTTGGTCTGCAAGCCAACGCTCTAACTACGGAGCCAAACCGGCCAGGGCTGGTTTTTAAGTTTCACATCACTTTTGGTTTTAAAGCTAAGTAATAATGTGGGATAAATTTGCTTTCCCAGACTAAACTGGGATCTTAAGCACCACTTAAGAGTTGTTTCTAAGAGGAAATTCACCCTGAGTACAAACCATGCTGGAGTGCTAACTTGTCCTGCTAAGAAAAAAACCTCATCCTGGCCAAGCCGGTGTGGCTCAGTGGTTGAGCATCAAGTCGCCAGTTGGATTCCTGATCAGGGCACATGCCCAGGTTGTGGGCCCAATCCCCATTGGGGGGCATGCGGGAGTCGGCCAACTGATGTTCTCCCTCATCGACGTTTCTATTTCTCCCTCTCCCTTCCTCTCTCTCTTAAAAAAAAAAAAGCAATAAATAAAAAGAAATTTAAAAAAGAAAAAACTTTACACTGTCCTTCCTTTACTCAATAAAGCCACAAACATAGGCTTACTCTCTAAGGCTCCTTTGGCAACAGAAAAGGGGCTGGAGAAGTGTTCCTGGTATCTCCACTGAGAGGAGCAAGGTGACAATATGAGCCCCCAGCAGTGGGAAAGGCATCTCTCAGCAGTGAGAGCAGAGAAGATGCATCTCTAACCAGGGCAGACACTAATGAAAGAATACACAGCTGAAGGTTAAGAACTGTTTATATCTCTCAAATGAACTAACATCTCTAGATAAAGAACACAAACAGATTTAGTAAGGCATAATAGTATGGTAAGATTAGCATCAGAAGAAGATATAGCAAGATTGTTCACCATTTTATAATAAACATCAATCTATTTTCCAAACAACTACCTATCTTCTTTATGACTAATTGCTTACCAGTTTTGCTTCAAATCCAAATACCGAATGTTGACCCCTTCTTTAATAGCTTCATAGTTACTTTCAGATCCCTATATGAAAACAATAGTACAAGCTCTTGAGTATGAGAATCATTTTTCACCTCTGCATCCCCCAGCACCTACAAAGTGCCTATCCACAGCAGCTCAAATAGTTACTGAATAAAATATACATTTAAAAAAATTTTAAGTAGCCCTGGACAGTTTGGCTCAGCGGTTGAGCGTCAGCCTGCGGATCAGAGTCCCGGGTTCGGTTCCTGCTAGGGGCACGTACCACAAAAAAAAAAAAAAAAAAAAAAAAAAAAGTAAATCACTGACTTGCAATATTTCTAGAGATTAAATACTCAATTTCTGTTTATCTGATGGCTAAACACTATGTTTGTATATTACATTAAAATATTTTCTTAAAACAAGTGAAGGAACAAACATTTTCATGTAACCATAAATGTGAACTGGAAATGGATATTACTGTTTCTTACCCAAATAGCATCAGTGATGTTTTCCTTCAGGGCTCTATTTATATCCCAACTACATATCTGTTTTTCTGAAGACTCATCTAATTCCCACTTGCTGATGTTTGAACTTGTCAGGCTATAAAAACTTGAGGTCTCTCTATCCCAAAGGACACTTGAAAGCTGTATGGAGAGGGAAGAAAAGTCAAGTTGTTAGATTAAGTTCTAATGTTAATAATAATTTTTCTGAAATTCAAATTGCATACATTTTATGATACTTGATTAGTATTCCTAGAAGAATTCTTCATTTAGGATTCAAAGGAAGGAATGATCCTGAAACAGACCTTGCAAACAAGGCAGGATTTCCACAGGCAGAAATGTAAAGGCAGAAGGCCCACGAAGAGCAGACTTGGGAGGCGGGAAAATTAAAGGGTCTTCAGAAAACTAGCAGTCCTATTAAATTAGAATGCAGACTATAACCAGAAAAAAGGCAAAAATGAGGCTCAAATGAGAAATTAGGGACACACAGCAGAGAATGTAAATTTGTAAATCTAGTAAGCACAGGAGATACTATCAATGGCTTTTGAACAGAGCTGTTACAGGAAAATGAATCTAGTAGGTTAGTCAGGTGGTTGCCCACCTTTTTGATGAGTTTCACCTCATCCAGGAAGTGGCTGTCCGGAAAGTCAGAGATGAGGATCTGGCAGGGTAGAACCCAGGGCCTGCAGATCTAAAAGGGCCTGGTTCAGGTTATTCTCTATGGCCACCATGGATTTCATGGCGTCCTGAGTTTTACCCCACTCACTGTGGGAAAGGCTGCAGCTTGTCCTGGAAAAGTACTTGGCCAACACACAGGTTTTGCATCATTAAGAGATGTTCAGCGCCTTCACGATTCTCCCTAGCCAACTTGTGGAAAAAGTGGTCCACATCCTCCAGAGCCACCACGCTGTGGTAGAAACAGAAGCCCAGAGAGAGGTAGAGGTAGGAGGCCTACAGATGCAGGTTGACCAGGTGGCTGATGGCAGCCTCCACCTTGGTGGAATAATTCTAATGAACCTGGGAGCTCAATGTTGTTCAGCAATAAAGAGTTAAGGGCCCTGGCCGGTTTGGCTCAGCGGTTAGAGTGTCTGCCTGCGGTCTGGAGGGACCCGGGTTCGGTTTCCGCTAAGGGCATGTACTTCGGTTGCAGTTTGTCCCCGGCCCTGGTTGGTCGTGCGGGTGGCAGCCACTCGATGTGTCCCTTCACGTCGATATTTCTCTCTCTCTCTCTCCCTTCCTCTCTCTCCCTCCCACTCTATCTGTACAAAAAATGGAAAAATATCCTCGGGTGAGGATAAAAAAAAAAAAAAGAGTTAAGGTAAAAAATGGTGTTGGTGTTGACTGGTCTCAGAGGCTGAGGATGGCTGAGGTGGTTCTGAAGGTGGTGACTGGAAAAGAGGTCGGAGGGTGAAAAAAGGGGCATCCCTGCCTCTGTTTCGTCCGAACACTGTTGAAGCAAGAGACAGATCCGGGGACCGCAGAGGGCACTGCCTATACATGAGTGTTTTGAGTTAAAACCTGAAGTGTCTCCAATTCTCCTACACTGTGACTCCAGCCACTAATGGGATAGTGGCAAAGTGAGTAAACTGGACTGGCACCAAGAGCTTAGGGGAAATTTACCAAGCAAGAGGGCAGATTAGGGTATAACAATGGAAGCAGAAAGATGTGGGTGGAAATGAGACATGATAGAAGTCAAATCTACAGCACCTGGTAAATAACTCATATATTACAAAAGGTGAGAGAGAGAGAGAGAGACTCCCCTTACCTACCCCCACCCCCCTGCCAAGTCAAGGTTTTATACTTAGGTCACGGATAAAGTGACAGTGCCATTAACAGAAAAAGGTCAAAAGGGAAATGAGTTTTGTAGGTTCATGTGTAATCAACAGGAGCGAAAAGAGAGTATGAGCAATTTAAACATGTTAAGTTTTAGGTTCAAAGACCATTCAAGGAAGCAGAGAGCAACCTGAAATTAGAGGGAAAAGGCACAGTAAAAGGAAGATGTGCTTTCCACTGAAACAGGCCTGGGCATAAATCTGCCGGAGTAGTTCTGTAACCCTGGGAAGTTTACTTGGTCTCACTGAAGCCACTGTCATCTGCAAACTGGAGAGAAATCTCTTTACATTTTAGGTTGTGGTAAAATAACAACTATAGAGCACCCAAAAGAGTAGATGCTCCATAAACGTCAGCACCCATCATCCTCCCTTCACTGTTCTGGAGCTCGAGGAAGCCCAGCTGACAGATCTAGATTTGAGTCATCCACAGCAAGCTGGAATCACGGAAGTGGAGAATACACTTTGTTTAAGTCTAGAAAGCAAAATTAGCTTTTAAACACATTTATACTTTTATATACTAGTTTTTTTATTTTGTATTTTTGTTCATCTTCACTCAAGGATACTTTTCCATTGATTTTTTTTAAGAGTAGAAAGGAGGAAGGGAGAGAGAAAAACATCAATGTGAGAGAAATACATTGATTGGTTGCCTCCTGCATGACCCTGACTGGGACCGGGGATTACACCTGTAACCCAGGTACATGCCCTTGACTGGGAATCAAGCCCAAGACCCTTTGGTCCACGGGCCAACACTCTAACTGCTGAGCCAAACTGGCCAGGGCTATACACTAGTTCTAATTCAAAGAACGCACTTAATAAATAATCTGTGTGCCTTAAGAATATTAATGTTACAGGGTATGTGAGGGGGTTAGTATAAACTCACTTGATCATCTTAATAAAAATGTTTCACTAAAAAGATCAAGGTTTTATTTCATGTACACTACTGTACATACAGAGGCAACACTAACTTCATAGGAAACTTCCAACTTACTGATTTCACCTAAGAAACAAGCGTATAAAACCAAGTTATTTTAGCCCAGCTAGTGTGGCTCAGTGGTTGAGTGTTGACCCATGCACCAAAAAGGTCACTGGTTCGATTCCCGGTCAGGACACATGCTCAGGTTGTGGGCCCGATCCCCAGTGGGGGGCATGCAGGAGGCGGCCAATCAATGTTCTTCTCTCTTATCGATGTTTCTCTCTCTCTCTCTCCCTCTCCCTAAAATCCAAAAAGGGAAAAAAATAAAAAAACCAACCAAGTTATTTTATCAACTTACTATGAGATCACTACTAGGAGACAGAATTCCCAAAAGAGAAGAAACCTTCCGACCAATCCCTGAAAGCACGCCTTGCCCTTGAGGCAGGATGCGCTGATGAATCTTTCCTAAGTTTTCAGGCGTCAGCCGAATCAGTTGGCTTCCCGTTGAGGACAAAATAAAACTTCCTCCCTGTGAACGAATATTGTGAAATTAATCAATTAAGCATCTAAGATAAAGAAAATTAACACAAAATGCTTCAACACAAAGAAAAATCATCTATAACGTAAAATAAATTTAAGAGAATAAAAAGGAACAATATTAAAATAATTTACTTATGAATCCATTCACTTAACATTATTAATTCTACATAGAAAAACTTTTGTTGCAGTTCTGCTTTTTTAATTGAGTATTTTTTTCTAATTTTGAAATTGCAGGTTCACCATATTGCAGTTCAACAAATTGGGCATCAGATTTTATTTCTTTGGTAAACCTGCAGAGTATACATTAGCAAACCATTCTTTATAGTATCTAAGAGTTTTTAAGTCACTCTTGTAAAATGTTCCTGAAAGAAATGAATACCAGTAGCTACTGTCCAGCACTGATATTTCAGAGCCCTATGAGAAGTGCTTTCCTTTTTCTAACTGTTCAAATCACAGACCCTTACTTCTTTCTTGTCTCTCTGATCATTCCCTGGCCTACATGGTCTATTCAAAACCCTGAATTTTTAGTCATTCAAATCCCACTTCCAAGCCACATCATAGCTTTGCAATAAATATGAAAGAATATCCATTGTATACCTGCACTGCTGTTAGGAAATTGTAGGTCTTATCACTTCCCAAATCTACGGAAGTCTCTGTGTAGGTGTCTTCACCAGCAAGACTTGGCCAATAACGAATGGATCCTTCTCTGGTGGCAACCATTACAGCAACAGACTGAAAAAAAGATCATAACACTTAGCAATCACAATAAAAGGACCCAATAACTGGGAATCTGATGAAACCGGTATTAAAAACCAGAGCAATTTCCCTGGCAGGTGTAGCTCAGGAGTTAGAACATGAGCCCTGGAACCAAAGGGCTGTGGGTTTGATTCCCAGTCAAGGGCAAGTACCTGGGTTGCAGGTTCAATCTCCAGCCCCAGTCTGGGTCATGTGGGAGACGACCAATCGATGTGTCTCACATCGATGTTTCTCTCCCAACCTCCTCCTCTCCCTTCCACTCTATCAAAAAAAAAACTGAATGGAAAAATATCCTCAGGTGAGGATTAACCAAAAAATAAACAAATAAAAATTATCATACAGTAAAAGTGACTTATGAATTTTAACACTTGTATAGACCCATGTTCACTACCACCACACAATAAGGACACAGAACAGTTCTATGAACCTCAAAATTCCCTAAACCCCTTCCTTTATAGTAAGGCTGTTCACCCCCAATCCTAACTTCTGACAACCACTGTTTCCATCATTATAGTCTAAACCTTCCCTGGATGTCAAACAAATAAAATCATATAGAATGCAATCTTTTGACACTGGCTTACCTCACTAGCATAATGTATATGAGATTCATCCAAGCTGTTGCATGTGTCAATAGTTCGTTCTTTTTACGGCTGAGTAGTATTCCATTCGATGGCTGAATCAGTTTGTTTATCCATTTACTTGCTAATAGACATGTGAGTTGTTTCCACCTTTGGCTATTGTAAAGAAAGCTGCTGCTATGACATATATATTTTGTTTTTTCTGTGTGTGAACAGAAGTTTTAATTGCTCTAAGGTAAATAGCCAGGAATGGATTTGCCAGGTCATATGGTTAAGTTTATTTTAACCTTGTAAAACAGTGAAAATCAAGTGGTTTTACCATTTTCAAATTCCCACCAACAATGTATGAGTTCCAGGTGCTACACATCCATGTCAGCACTTGGGAGTGTCAATACTTTTTTATTTTAGCCATTGTAACAAGTGTGTAGCAGTATTTTATTGTTGTTTTGATTTGCATTTCCCGAATGGCTAATAATGTTAACATCTCCTCAGGTCCGCAGGTGCTTATTTGACATCCTTTATATCGTCTTTGATAAAACATCTGTTCAAGTCCTAGCCATTTTGAAATTGGCTTGTTTCCTTATTAAGCCTCGAGAGTTCTTTTTATGTTTTGGATACAAGTATTTTGTTGGATATTTGATTTACAAATGTTTTCTCCCTGTCTTTGCTTGTCTCTTTATTTTCTTGTATCTTTGGCAGAGCCAAGATTTAATTCTGATGAAGTCCATTTTTACGAATCATTTATGATTCCAAGAAATCACAAATTGGCGCTTTCAAAAAACTCCTCTCCTAACCCCAGGTCATACTGATGTTCTCCTACAAGTTTTGTACTTTACATTTAGATTTATGATCCAGTTTGAATTAATCTTTGTATACGGTATGAAGTTCAGGGAGAAATTCATTTTTTTGCATAACGATGACCCATGGTTCCAACACCATTTACTGAAAAGACCATCATTATTCCACTGGATTGCTTTTGTATCTCTGTTAAAGATCTAAGGGCCACGTTTTTGTGGGTATCTATCTATTCTCTTCTGTCCCACTGCCCTATATGTCTGTCTCTTTGCTAACACCAGTGTCTTAATTCCTATAACTTTAAAGTTATGTCTCAGAATTCGGTCAGGTGATCCCTCCAACTTCAGAACTCTCTTATTTGGGGGGAAAAAGTATTTCAATAAGCATTTAAGTCACCTACCTGAGTAGAATGTGCTTCACCTGAGGCAGCAGAGTAAGAGAGAGCCACCAAGTCCGCGCTCCACTGGAAACCACTGGGTGGCAGCTGAAGTTCTTTGCAAACAGATAACTACAAAATAAAGCCAAACAAAAGACCTTTCACAACAAATCCAATTTTTTGAAAATGCATCTGACTTCACTCTTTCCTTTCTCTGCATATTTTACATTCTGATTCATTGCTGAAAATACTCTACAAATATTCTTTCTTTACACAATTTTTAATCAGGCTTTCAATAATTTTAAAACAAAATTTCTTGAGAGATATAAAATCAGGAAAACTTAAGAGCTAGACCAGACTTGGAATATCAACTAGTCCAATCTTTTCTCTGACTGAAAAAAGTCTATTGGTTAAGAGAAGTATGTAGGCTTCCTATGGAATTTCCCCAATATATAATCCCATCTTGGTTATCTGACATTTAAAATTAGCTTGACGTGGTCTTGCTTAGCAGTTAGAAGTCAACCTGTAGACCAATGAGTCATGGGTTTGATTCCAGTCAAGGGCACGTACCTCGGTTGCGGTTCGTCCCAGGCCCTGGTTGGGTTGTGCGGGAGGCAACCAGTCAAGGTGGCTCTATCACATTGATGTTTCTCTCTGTCTCTCCCTCCCTCCCACTCTATCTGATGATAAATACAAAAATATCCTTGGGTGAGGAAATAAATAAATAAATAAATAAAATAATTAGCATGACATCCTGGACAGTTTGGCTCAGTGGTTGAACATCAGCCCTCAGTCCAAAGGGTAGTGGGTTTGATTCCCCTTCAAGGGCATATATCTGAGTTGTAGGTTCAATCCCTGGCCCTGGTTCTCATGCAGGAGGCAACCAATCGATACGTCTCTCTCACATCGATGTTTCTCTTTCTCTCTCTCTCTCTCAATATGTCTCTCTCTCTCTCCCTCCCTTCCACTCTATTTAAAACTCAATGGAGAAATATCCTTGGGTAAGGATTAAATAAAAATAAAATAAAATTAGCATGACTACAGAGTAATTATCCTAAGTTGTCTAGAAAATTTCATATACTCAGCTGAATATCAGGCTCCCTCTGCTAACTCATCAAGCCCCACAGGACCTCTCCCACATATGCTCCTAACTACAAATACTGTTTTCTAGGCCGCAGCAGGACAGAGGCCAATAGACGTGAAAAGTTTGGGTAAGCAGGAGTCCCGAGTTCCAACAGAACAATGGCCCAATGAATAATAAGTGGTGCAAGAGAGTATGCCTGATCTGGAACAGTCAGAAAAAGCGGGTGCTGAGGCCAAGTTACTACACATACAAACGGAAACTGAAAGTTAAACTAGCTTCAGCAAAAAGTGGTATTATTTTTCCTATTTTATTAAGTGTCATTAAGTAAATTCAGTGAAAGACAGTCCTCCTTTGAAATAAACAAACAGTTCATTAGTTTATATGGATGGTATTTAGTCTTAGACTTCATTAAGCAGACTGATTAGCATGATATTCATGAAAAATTTCAATATCTCTAATTTTAGTAAATGTAAATGACATGGACCTTGTTTAAAAATCATTAAAGGAGAGAGACTTTCTTCCCAATACACAAATGTGTATGCATGCTCAGTATTTCATATCACTATGAAAATGCAAATCTATTAATTCAGACTGTCCTCCCAACAACTTTGAAAATTGAGGGTAAAAATTAAGAGCTCTAAGCTCTATCTCCTTTTATCTCTTTAAACAGTCATTACCTTAGAAATAGGTGACAGAGCAATCTTCCAAATAATGAGTTTGTCTTTGCAGATCAGACAAGCCCATCCACCTTCATCTATGTGAACAGTCAGCTGATCATCATCTAAATAAAAATATCAGAGACATAGTTCATCTTAGCATATGAAGAACTGTTAAAATTTCCTTATACCAAGATCATCTTATTTTTTAAAAATGTTTTTATTGATTTTAAGAGAGAGAAGGGAGAAAAAGAGAGAGATATAAACATCAATCAGTTGCCTCCTGTATGCCCCAAACTGGGGATCAAGCCTACAACCCCAGCATGTGCCCTGGCCGGGAATAAACTCCTGTACTATTTGTTAGTAACACAGCCTGGTGGCATGAACCAGGAGTATGTTAAAAGGTTTTAAAAGCGCTGGCCTTTGTGGCTCATTTGGCTGGGCATCATCCTGTGCACCGAAGGGTTGCTAGTTTGATTCTGGTCAGGGAACATGCCCAGGTTTTGGGCTTGATCCCCCATAGAGGTCTGCTTTCACATCGATGTTTCTCTTTCTTTCTCCCTCTCCCTGCCTCTCTCTCTAATCAATAAAAATTATTTTAAAAAGAAAATGGCTTTAACATATGATATATACTATATAAATTTTTAGAGAAAAAAATATGTACTATATATACTTAAAACAGAAAGAGTACATGGCAGAGGTTAGCAGAAGTTTAATTGTCTGAAAACAACTGTACCTGAAACTCCCAAGGACTTATAGTCAAAATGTGCAAGTTCAAGTTGATGAGAAATGTTCCTTCTTCTAGAACAGAGTACTTTAAACTTTTCTGACTATCATTCACAGTATAAGTACATTTTACATCATAATGAATTCACAAATAATTTAAATAAAACAAAACTTAACACTTTGAGATGCACTCTGATATTCTGCAATCTATTTTATTTATTTTTTTAAATGCTGGTTATAAACCACTAAACTGATTTCATTCACCACCTACAGTTTGAAAAACAACATTCCAGAAAATCACAAAGATCTAGAATTAAATTCTTAATAAAAATGACTCATGCGCCCTGGCCGGTTTGGCTCAGAGGTTAGAGCGTCGGCCTGCGGTCTGAAGAGACCCGGGTTCGGTTCCCGCTAAGGGCACGTACCTCGGTTGCAGTTTGTCCCCGGCCCTGGTTGGTCGTGCGGGTGGCAGCCACTCGATGTGTCCCTTCACGTCGATGTTTCTCTCCTCTCTCTCTGTTCCTCTCTCTCCCTCCTACTCTACCTGAACAAAAAATGGAAAAATGTCCTCAGGTGAGGATAAAAAAAAAAAATGACTCATGCAAATCACTAAGGATGCTCTGAATTTTGCTCTTCCAATCAGCCTGGTTTTACTGTGAAAAACCAAAGAGGTTACTGCTTTCTCCCTAGGTAAAGGTATATCAGAGAAAGCACAAATTTCAATCTCCATGCTAGAATTAGGCTTCATTTGAATTGCTAATAGAGGCAAACTGAAAATGACACCCACCTTCAGCCAACGTTAGGGCTTCCATGATTTTAACGGGAAGAGAGGATCCAAACGTTTTCACATCATAGTTCATAGCTTCAGTTATGGAATGATGTGGGAACATTCGTGTAGGTGTTCCTCTAAAGAAAAGAGACCATATTACTTCACCATAACTTAAATTTTCCATTACCCTAATTTTTATGTATATATTTTCACAATTAAGAGAAGAGCTTTGATCAACAAGAAATTATGAGGTGGAATGGTGAAAAGAAACTCTGGCTCATGTATTCGGTGTAATTAAATGTATTTGTCATTTTAAAAAGACTGACAGGCCCCGCCAGTGTGACTCAGTGGACTGAGAATTGACCCATGGACTGAGAGGTCCTGGTTCGATTCCGGTCAGGGCACATGCCCGGACTGTGGGTTTGATCCCAGGTGGGGGTGTGCAGGAGACAGCTGATCAATGTGTCTATCTCTCTCTTTCCCTTCATCTCTCTCTAAAAAACAACAGAAACACTTTTTTTTTTTTTTAAGACTAAATAAAGAGGACTAACTGAATTTAGAAAAATTTGGCCTCAGACTTTTCAACTCTAATTTTTGGATGCATGCACCATTCATTTAAGCTCTTTAAAACTTGGCTTCCTTAGCTGTGAAATAAAGAAGGTTGGACTAGGCCTGGCCAGTTTTGCTCAGCGGTTAGTACGGTGGCCCGTAAATCAAAGAGTCATGGGTTTGATTCTGGTCAAGGGCACCTACCTCAGTTGCAGTTCGATCCCTGGCCCTGGTCAGGCTTGTGTGGGAGGCAATCAGTGATGTCACATCAATGTTTCTCTCTCTCTCTCTCTACCCCCCACCCACCCAACTTTGACTAAAGATATCCTTCGGTAAAGATTTTTTAAAAAAGGTTGGACTAGATCAGTGTTTTTTCAAACTGTGGGTAATTTTGAGGGTCTCAATCAATCAACATTTTAAAAAACAAAACAGAATATAAAACAGAGTTTATCATGTGTTGTGGTGAAAGAAGTTTTACAAACTTTACACTGTAATTTCCTTAAGATCTTGTCACCACTAGAATCACAAGAATTGACCAGATCTGAATAATCAAGCAAGAAATTAAATGGGTCAATGAGTATCTACTGTTACCTGGTCTTCAATACAGTAGATACAGCAGTAGAAATTATATTTTCTTCTCACTTTCATTTTAACATTCAGAAAAATAATGTAAAGATACCAGTTTAAATGTTATTCTATCTCTTACCACATGAGGATTAAATGAGGAGACGCAAATACAGAGTGGTCGAGAGCTTTGTTTACCAACGGAGTATTATAACAAAGGTCTTTCCTTAAATGATCACCAGAAGGTAAGAAGAATTTGTTTTTAAAAAAACCACATTAAATAAAGTATGACTTTTATTCTGTCTTTTCTAAATGGGGAGAGGAAACACTAACAATATCAGCACTTTGGAGAGCACTTTTCAAAAAGCCAATGTCAAGGATACTATGTATTCTGTAAAAAATCATTTCTCCTTTAAAGTACTGCAAAATTTCACTTGAAACTAATACAAAATAATATTGAATGTAAACTGTAACTGAAAAATTAAGTTAAAAAATAAAATACCGCAAAATTTCATAGATAAATTTTATTATAAGATCAAGACCCAATATTACCATTTTCCTAAAGGCGAAAATTCATTTTTGATAGAGGAATTCAAAGGAAACTATTCACAAACATGTTATCTTCTCCTAAAGTTCTCGATTAATTATGAAAGGGGGAGTGGTGTGGACCAGTGATGCAGACTGGAGAGCCAAGTTTTTATTTGACAACAAAACTATTCTTATCTTCCTGCTTATGGAAAGCCTTTCCCTAGTAATGTAGCTACAAGTTAACTTCCGTAACTAAAAGCGCTTTGTAATTCCAATCAGCAGATATTAACTGTAGTTAGTATGTTAGGTGTTACGTGATGATTCTCCAGGGTTGGAGGTCCCCATTCCCACCATCACTGTGTATCATCGCCGTGGCATTTCATCTGGACTCCTCTGGCCTCAGTGAAGCCGACTCAGAGCGGGTATTACCAGATCACAGGGGTAGCAAGAGGGAGGAAGGTAACCCCTGATTCAAATCCAGTTTGTTCGTCACCTCTATACAAAGATAACTCCATGAAAAGTGCAAAGCGAAAACTCAATAAACTAAAGTGATGCAGAAATAACCGGCAAGGGTAGCGAAAGTCTGTTTTCCCAATACTTGGGCCTCCGCCTACGCCGCCTCAGGTTCCGGGGGCTCTGGAGACACCACCCTATCAGGTCCGCCGAGGCCCCTACGCCTGTGAGTCGCCAGACCCAACCCGGGACGAAAACTTACCGCGAGCTCAGCGAGCTACGCCGACCGACCGGAGAGAAGAGAACCGGGGAGTTGACTGCAGACCCCAGGGCCAGACCCTTCCTACTTGTCGCCCGCGGCGTGGAGCCCGCCCCGACTCCGCCCAGCGGGCCCCTCCGGGTTCCAGACATCGGGGTCCGCGGAGAGGAGACGGCCGGGAACATGACGGAAAGGAAAAGCCACAGAAAGCGCGTGGGTTCCGGCCGTGGGGCTGAAGCGCAACCCGCGCGCGAAGCTTGAACACTCAAGGGGCGGGAGGGCGCGCCGTAAATACGTCAAAGCGCAGCGCCGCGGGGCGGGGCCGGGGCCACCGGGATGGGAAGGAGGACGCGCGGTGTTGACGTCTAGGCGCTGCGTGGAGCCGCGGGCGAAGTTCAGGCGGCGGACGCTGGGTGCGGAGAGCGTCCTGGTGCTGGCCGCGGCCCGGAGCGGCGGGGGACCCGGACTTACGGAGTGAAACTGGAAAGCCAGATGCCATGCTCCACGCGGGGGGCGGGGCTGGTCCTCCCGCAGCTGGAACGCAAGCCTCTCCACGCGCCGCTCTTTCCTGAGCCCCTTGGGAAATGTAAAGTGTGTTCCCTGGTTTGAGATGAAAAGGGAGAAAAACCGGAAAGCCGACACCGGTTTCCCTCCCAGTGTTGTATTTGTTCTTCTCTAGGTTTGTCATTCTCCCATTCAACTCCGCACAGGTTCGTTCACGGTAGTTACAGGTCCATCTCTAATCCAGATCTTGCTCAAAAACCGCAGGCTCGCCCTGGCCGGTTTGGCTCAGCGGTTAGAGCATCGGCCTGCGGTCTGGAGAGACTCCGGTTCGGTTCCCGCTAAGGGCACGTACCTGGGTTGCAGTTTGTCCCCGGCCCTGGTTGGAATCGTGCGGGTGGCCAACCACTGGATGTGTCCCTTTCGCATCGATGTTTCTCTCTCTCTCTCTCTCCTCCCACTCTATCTGAACAAAAATGGAAAAAATGTCCTGGGGTGAGGATAAAAAAAGAAAATAAATAAATAAATAAATAAACAAAAAACCGCAGGCTCCTAACAGCTCCCTGATGGACACTCACCTGAAGATCCTGTAGACTCCTCATAATACACTGCTCAAAAGCTGGATTCGTTTTTTCCATTAGTACCCTTGTCCTACTACTACGTCTGTCCCTATTGGTAAAACTGGCTAGTCGCCCAAGGCAAAAAGGAAAACTAGAGTCATTCCTCACAACTGCCTCCACTGTAACATCCCGGCACATTGTAAATCCTGAGTATCTCTACTCTGCGTAGTCAGCTTGCTCAGTCCTTCACACTGCCGACATAACGAACTAAGGTAAACCTGAAGCTGCCCTTGGGCTTGGAAATGCTCTGGTGGCTGACCATTGCCCATAGGTGATTTGCTAAGGTCTTTTGTGATTTCACTCTGGCTGGTTTTGCTGTCACTACCTTCCACCACTAGCCACTTTTGCTCCACATTCCAAGAAAACAAATAAACATATCCCCCCTCTAATGCCTTTGCACATGTTTCTCCCGGAATGCCCTCCCTCCCTTGTTGCCCTCAACATCAAGTTTTACCTCAAGTGTCTACCTCAAGCATCAAGTCTCACATCAGTACTGCCTGCTCAGTGAAGCCTTTTGAAAGATTAGATATGGCCCAGCCGGTGTGGGCTCGGTGATTGAGCGTTGACCCATGCACCAAGAGGTCACCGGTTAGATTCCTGGTCAGGGCACATGCCCAGGTTGTGGGCCCAATCCCCCCAGTCGGGGGCATGCAGGAGGCAGCCAATCCATGTTCTCTCTCATGGATGTTTCTATCTTTTTCTCCCTCTCCCCTTCTCTCTAAAATCAACAAAGAAAAAAATATTTTTTTAAAGAAAGATTAGATAGGCCATTATTTTTTTACCCCTCTGCTCTTGTGTGTAGGCCATTTATATATATATTTTTACCCTGCATAGACACAGTTTATGTAAATGCCTCTCATGGAGCTACTTTTAAATGTCTTAACAGCAGGGATAGTAGCTGTTATTGTGTACATACCATAATGTGTACACAGTAAAGGTTCAGTAAATACAAGGTGAGGCAAAAGTAGGTTTATAGTTGTGAGTACACAAAACAGAGTTTATTCTTGTATTATATATTCATTAATTATTGTATTATTATCCATACAAACAACTGCAAACCTACTTTTGCCCTCCCTGTATTTGTTAAAATAAGGGAATCGTTAAGTAAACCCTGGCATATCCATGTGGGAGGACACAGTGTATCAGTTGTTGACATTTTCCCAGGAAGCCATTCTTTTGTGTATATTAACAGCATCTGGGGAGTTACCGTGTGAAGGTTATATAGGCAAACTGCTTTACCCCTTCCCTCGCCTAGGTTTGTAACCCAGCTTTGCAGTTTGAGTGTTACAGCTCTTACAGCCCAGTGTGTTTCTTCTTCCTTGTTTCATTTTTATTTCGGGGCCGGGGTGGGGGAGTGGTTGAGATGAGAAATGGAGAGCAGTCATGTCTGAGAAGGCATTGCTGGGATAAATTTGTTCTTGGGCTTTGTTGAATTGGTTAGTGGTTTGCCCACCTTTAAGTTATAAAAGCTGCTGTCTGCCAACCCCTTTAAGCAGAAATGTCCCTGGAGATTGAAGGATCGTGAGTAAACAGCACTATGTCATTCATTCATTATGAATTTATAGAGTACCTACAATGTGCCAGGCTGTTTGATAAATGTTAAAGTTTATAACTGTAAACAAAACAGACATGGGCCCTAAACTCATGGAGGTCACAGACCAATGAGAAAGACAGACACTGAACAAATGAGCAAAAACAAGTATAAACTACCGACTGAGAAGTGTGCTATGAAAGAGCAGCGTGTATGATCATTAACTGGGGGTACCTAATTTTGGAGGGAGATCTACAAAGGCCTCTGGGAGAAAAGGATGGTTAAACTGAGGCATGAAGCATGAGTTAGCCAGACAAAGAATAGGAGGGAGATTGTTTTAAGCAGAGGCTCCTCAGGCAAAGGTCCTGAAGCAGCAAAGAGCTTGCTGCATTCCAGGGACTTTAAACAAACCAACCAACCTCAAATGACTAAAAGTATTGGAAATTAAAGAAATAAGGAGGGACTAATGAAGGGCTTTGCTGGTTCTATCAAACAAGATCCTAGAGGAAATAGCGCCCTCAAGCTGGAGTTAAAGGAAGTTTAATAAAGGAATATTAGGGATAGTGTAGAACCGACTCCTAGCAACAAATGGGCCAAGAAAGGGTCACCAGAATCTGAGAAAAAGGGCCACATACTAGAGTTGTGGCCTCGCATCTAGAGGTGAGGGAGGAGGACACTAGTGCAGTCCACGGAGGTCAGCCTCCTGGAGGAGGTAGTGAGTGGAATGGAAGCTCCTCGGGACATATGCTTAGAGCATCACCAGCGCTTCTTTTTTTTTAATCCTCACCCGAGGACATTTTTTTGGCCGGACCGCAGGCGGATGCTCTAACCGCTGAACCAAACCGGCCAGGGCCACTCTCACCACTTCTATTCGACACAGTACTGGAAGCCCTAGCTAGAGAAGTCAGGCAAGAGAAAGAAATAAAAAGCATAAGCACAAGAACAGGCAATGGAATAGAACAGAGAACCCAGAAATTGACCCAAAACATTATGCTCAATTAATATTCGACGAAGGTGGCAAGAGCATACAGTGGAGTAAGAACAGCCTCTTTAATAAATGGTATTGGGAAAATTGGACAGCTACATGCAAAAAAATAAAACTACACCATCAACTTACACCATACACACGAATAAACTCAAAATGGATAAAAGACTTAAATGTGACTTGTGAATCCATCAAAATCCTAGAAGAAAATGTAGGCAACAAAATTTCAGACATCATATGCAGCAGAATTTTCACTGATACATCACCTAAAGCAACAGAAACAAAGGAGAAAATGAACACATGGGACTACATCAAACTAAAAAGCTTCTGCACAGCAAAAGATACAATCATCAAAATGGAAAGGCTACCCACTGTATGGGAGAGCATCACTGCCAGTAATACATCAGATAAGGGGTTAATTTCCAATATATATAGAGGGCTCATACAGCTCAACAAAAGGAAGACAAAGAATCCAATTAAAAAATGGGCAGAGGAACTAAACAGACACCTCTCCAAACAGGATTTTATAAACTTAAAACCAAAGGCAAGTACCTAGGAGAGAGTTGAGAGGAGTGGCTGGGGGCGGGGGGGGGGGGGCAGTGGGAGGTGGCTTTGGCTCTGCAGGGCGAGGCCTGGGAGCGCAGGGACGCTCCAGGTGGCTGCCTCCGTAGGGGGGGAAGGGCGGGGGAGCTGTGGGATGGACTGCAGCGGACAGCGAGTGGAGTCAGGGAGGACCCACTGCCCTGGGAGCTCCCTGAGCCCGGTCCGCGAAGAAGAGTCAGGCGGGCAGCAGGCGCTCTCCCTGTGAAGAAAAAAATTATTTAAAAAAAAAACAAAACCAAAGGCAAGAGAAATAAAAGCAAAAATAAATGAACACGACTACATCACAATAAAGAGCTTCTGCTCAGCCAAAGATACCATCAACAAAACAAAAAGGCAACCTACCAAACGGGAGAAGATATTTGCAAATAATACCTACAATAAGGGGCTAATATCCAAAATACATAAAGAACTCATACAATTTAACAACAAAATCCTACTTAAAGAAATGGGCAGAGGACCTGAACACTTTTCCCAAGAATACATACAAACGGCCAAGAGATATATGAAAAGATGCTCAACTTCACTAGCTATAAGGGAAATAAAATTAAAACCACAATGTGATATATCTCACACCCATTACAATGGCTATTCTAAATAAGAGGAGAAACAGCAAGTATTGGAGAGGATGTGGAGAAAAAGGAACCCTCATTCACGTCCAGTGGGAATGTAAACTAGTACAGACACTAGGCAATGAATGAACCAACTCCTATACACAGACAACGAAGGGTGGTTGCTAGAGGCAAAGGGGGGCGAAGGGAGGGTGAAAAGGGTAAAGGGGGTGAAGTTTATGGTGACTGAGGGAGACTAGCTTTGGGTGGTGAGCACACAATGCAATACATAGGTGAGGTATTAGAGAATTGCACACTTGTAACTTACATAATGCTGTTAATCAGTGTCACGCCAATACATTTAATAAAAAATAGCAAAAACAAGAAGTGACAGACACAGATAAAGTTCACTATAAATTTTAATCCAAGATATAAATGTTACCTTAAAGATACACTGAACATCTTGTATTAGAAAATAAAATATAACGACTACATTCAATTTTGTAAATACTATGGCACAAAGATTTCCCTCAGGTCCAACTTTGTCGTTGTGTTCTGTTTGCTTTCTATGAACCACACCATAATAGCAAACTGTGTAAAGACTACAAGTAAAGTTTATTAAAATGATGGTCATGATGTACTGTTTGCTAATTCAAATAACACAGTTCATTTATTCATTTTATTCATTAATAAATTCCCTTATGTAGAATGAAATATATTACTCCGTGCTTATCATGAAATAGTAGTTTCTTCTTCCAGTATAACCAGGGAACTAATGATTATTTAGTACAGGAGAAAACTTCAATTTTAATTATGTCAACATATTTACTTCTTAGGTGTGACATCATCAATGCAGAAAAAGCACTCTTTCTTGAGGCAATAGCAAATTAACAGTACTGATATGAAATATGGCAAATCTAATGGTTGTCAGCATTGCTTTAAGGATTTTTAAGCAACCTGGCTGGTGTGGCTCAGTTGGTTGAGTGTCATCCTATACACCAAGAGGTCACCGGTTCAATTCCCAGTCAGGGCACATGCCCAGGTTTCGGTCTCAGTCACCAGCGAGGGGTGTGCAGGAGGCAGCCAATTGATGTTTCTATCTCTCGTCAATGTTTCTCTCTCTCCCTTCCCCTTCCTCTCTCTCTAAAATCAATAAACATATTTTACAAAAAGAATTTTGAGGCATTTAGGTGACTAAAACTATAATCATAAAAGAAAAAAGGTTATTAATGTCCTCTTTTCAGAAGACTGACAAGTTCTTAAGGTTTCTTGATATTTTGTAGAATAACAAGAACTTCTAAACTTTCTTCAAATGTTTTAAAGTTGAAAATTAGTTATATTATTCAGATTTTAGCCTCATTTAATAAAATTTCAAAAGTATTTAAATAAGTGATAAACGGTTGTAAAATTTGGTTTTAAGAATTATAAATTTTTAAAATATAATTTTCAAAACATGCCTGAGACAACATAATGTAAAATTCATTTACATCTTTCTTGATAATGCCTGGCAGTTCACACCTTACTTCCCACAGCACTCATAGAAAGAAATATGTAAATAACGAAAATAGAAGCTTTCCTAGCCAAATATGGGGCTTCTTCTTCTCCTTTTAAAACTCACCGGGCTCTCATGTGCCAAAATGTGAAAAACCACACACATCCAAACACAGTCTCATCCCAGAGGGACAGAGACTCCTAAACTCTCACACCTCTGAAGACACAGGAGATGGAGAATGTCAAGGTTCCCTTCTCACCATGTGATATTAACTATTTCTGTATGTATAATGCTCAGGTTCACTTCACAAGAGTACAAGGATAAAATAAACAGTTAGATTTTCATCTTCTATTACGCCTCCTAGTAATATTCAACCCAAAGTGGGTAGAATAGTACCAAGAGAATTATAGTGATTGGCAAACTGGCCTAAAATAATTAGGCCTTTTAATTTATAATTCCCTTTTAAAAGTTGTCATTCGACAATAGCTTCAATCTATAACAGCAGGTTAAAAAAATGAGGTGCTATGCTATATTAAAGTATTCCAAGATAAAATAAAGTACAAAACCTGAAAATAACTTCAGTGCTATAGACATTTAGAAAGTTATAATTATTAAAACCCTGAATAAAAAGGTCTTGAGAACAACTTTATCTCAAAACAATAGTTTATATACTTTGGGAAAAATAGGCATATTTCAAATAATTTGAAGTACGATTTACAGATGCCACACCATCTTTAAGAAATTCCCCCCCTGCAATGGTGTTTTGCTTTAAAGTCTCTCATATTCAATTTGCCAGTAGTTGCTTCTTTATGCTGAAACAAAACTTTGTTTGTTCATTAATTTCCTGTATAGCCCATCTGGTTTTGCAAGCAGTTCTTCATGTTTCCCACATTCGATAATTTTTCCTTGGTCGAGAACAGCCACCATATTAGCATTCTTGATGGTAGAGAGGCGATGGGCAATAATTAACACCATTCTTCCTTCCATTAGTCGATCTAGAGCTTCTTGTACCAGGTACTCATTCTCAGCATCCAGTGCACTAAACAGGAAAACCACGTGAGAAAGCAGAGACGTCAGTGCCATACTGTGTGCTCATGTATTTCCTGGTACCCTCACCGTGGCCCTTCGTTAGCAGTGCATTTTCACTATGATCAAAACTGTAACTTCTTGGGTATACTATATGTCTTTTATATCCTAAAGGCATTATTAAAAAAGAAGCTTGGGACTCTAACCTTCCACGAACCACTGCACATAAGTAGAAAAGAATCTGCACAGTAGCTCGTTAAAGCAATTAGGGATTCATCACAAATGTGTCTGAATTGGAAATACAACCCTCAACTCAAGGCTCAGCCTGTCCACTGCCTCACAACTGTCATTATTAATTTAGACTTAGTCATTTTTAAGTGGGGGGGGGGGAGGGTAGGTTCAGCTGTAACACTTTGCAGTACAGAAAAATAAGTCTTTGGTAAAGGAAGAGTTTCGTTTAATATAATTACATGTAGTATTAAGATATCCTCACCTGGTTGCTTCGTCAAGAAGAAGAATTTTGGGATTCTGAAGAAGAAAAAGTATTAAAAAGAAAACATAATTTTATTAGAAAAACACAAACTCTCAGTAATTAAAAGAAATGAATTTTATATGTACTATACATGATACAACATGAATGAACCTTGAAAACATTCTGCTAAATGAATAAGTCAGACACAAAAGCTACATGTTGTATGACCCCATTTATAGGAAATGTCCAGAGTAGGCATGTCTATAGAGAGACGAAGTAGATTAGTGGTTACTTGGGGCTGGGTTCATGGGGAAATAAGGGAGATGAATATGTGTGACTGCTAAAGGGTATAGAGTTTCTTTTAGGGGTGATAAAAATGTTCTACAATTAATTATGGTGATGTATACACAACACTGAATACACTAAAACTCACTGAATTATACACTTTTAATGGGTGAATTGTATAGTATGTAATTTATGTCACAACAAAATTGCTACAAAAGCCCAGCCAGTGTGGCTCAGTTGGTTGAGCATCGACTCATACACCAAATGGTTGCCAGTTCGATTCCCTATCAGGGCACATGCCCAGGTTTTGGGCCAAATCCCCAGTGGGGGGCATGCAGGAGGCAGCCAATCAATGTTCTCTCTCATTGATGTTTCTACCTCTCCCTCCCTCTCCCTTCCTCTCTCTCTAAATCAATAAAGAAACACACACACACACACACACACACACACACTGCTACAAAAAAGGAAAACCACAAACTCATAAATGTCTGAAATAAGCACATAAATGGAAGAGTTAGAGATTACTTTAAGCTACATCACAGTAATCACTGGACTGGACATTGTTCATAGTGCAGTTTTATCCTGCTGGCCAATCAACTACCAGTATGAAGTGGGATCTAAAGTGAGTAAGACAGAGTCTAGACTCTCAAGGTCCTGCTTATATAGTTAGGAGTATCACATAAAACAGAAAAAAATAAGAGTAAGCTGATATATATATAACACATTAAATTCTAGGTTTGTCTAGGAGTCTATCAGAAGAAATGAACACATGTCCACACAAAAACTTTTACACCATTCATTGACAGCAGTGCTATTCACAAAGGCCCCAAACTGGAAACAACCAAATGTTCGTCAACTGGTGAATGGTAAACAAATCGTGGGCTAGCCACACGAAGGACTTCTACTCAGCAACAGAAAGGGATGAAGTTCCGAGATAGGCTACAACATGAAGGAACCTGAAAAACACTATGCTAGGAAAAGAGGCCAGATGCCAAAGGCCATGTCTCATCTGATTCCACTGGTCTGCAGTGTCCAGAAAGGCCAACCTAGACAGAGAGCAGATTGGTGGCAGCCAGAGGCTGGGGCTGGGAATGGGGAAAGGCTATTGGCCCAAGGGTTGTTTTTTAAGGGTGATAGAAATGTTCTTTAAAAAAATATCTTTTTTGTTTTGATTGTGTGATGGTCGGATAACAATAAATTTATTTAAAGTTACTGTAAGTACATTTAAAATAGGTGAACTTTATGGTATGTAAGTTATACTTCAATAAAGTTTTTTATACCCCTAAGAAAATCACCTATAAATCTGAGGAGATCAGTTAAATAACACAGGGAAAGACTATCATTTCCCAAAGAATACAATGTCTGACTTTCAGCTGAAATGGCTTCTTTCTCTCCTCTTAGAAGTTTTGTACAAGTATTTCAAGTCTGTATTAGTCACGGATTATACAAGTTAGCACACTTGTACTGTTTTGATATTTTGATATAATCACTGTTTCACTCATCAGACTGTATGATTTTCTCGCTCTGTCAACACTAGCACAGTACTGGCCTCCTAACGCCCAAGAAATACTTGTTAAATTTGGACAACACACACTCAGTGGAACTCCGTATCTTTCTTTCACCAGAACTGTCAACCATGTATCTATCCTCACCCTCCGAAGAAAAAAATAAATTTCAAGTTACAAGGTCTCTAATTAAAAACCACACCAAGAAACCCCAGCCAAGTGGCTTTGGGCTTACCTTAAGCAGAGCACGGGCGATTGCAATCCGCTGTTTCTGCCCACCTGACAACGACAATATATTTTTTTAAATTGAGAGCTGTAACAAAAATTCTCGGTACCAGGCTTTTCTGATAAGCCAGGTGGCGATTTGAAGGAAGCTCGTTCCAGTCGGTTATAGCTAAGATAGATGGTAGAACAGAAACCTAGTTTTAAGTATACTGCCTCCTCATTAACTTCCCAATTAATAATAACAATTATCATCAGAGCTAACATTAATTGAGGTGTACCTATGTACCAGGCATTTTCTAAGTGCATCACACATATTATCTCATTTAATCTTTAAGAATCCTACGAAGTAGGTCCTATTACTATTCCCTTTTTGCTAATGAAAAACTGGGGCACAAGGGAAGCTGTCCAGGCCTCACAGTCGGCGTGCGGCAGAGCCCAGGTCTGATCCTGCGGAGGGAAGGGCTAGCAAGGAAACCAGAAGCTGGGACATCCACGGGTTTCTGAGCAGTGGGCGGGAGCAAAGGGCCCAGTGGGCTGGGCCTGGGCACTGCACTGCCCCACTGGAGCACCGCTCCTGACTCCTTCCTCTCGTGCTGATCTCCCCTTCTCCGGCCAGGGAAGACTGTACACACAGTGGTTTGTGTGCATGCATGACACTGGGGGCAACGCATAGAGTAAACCACGCTAATCCCTTTGCAGAACCCAAATTCTACTAAAAGCAAGAGAACAAACTGGGAGTGGGAGTAGGGGAAATGCAGACAGGACAGGAGGCGAACAGCAGAAAGTCTGTGATAATTCCCCTCACTCATCTTTGTCTCACACCTGCCTCCTCCTTTCCTCCAGGGGACACTACTCCTAAGTGACACTGGTCAAGTCTCAGAGAGCAGCACTCAGGGCTCACGCCTCCCGACTTGCTTCATTACAGAAAGCTCAATCTCATCTTTGGTGATGAAAACATTCCTTTTTGGTTGATTTTATTGGCCAAAAATACTTATTAATAGTAATTGCTGGACATTACATCATTTCATCTAAAGGAAGTTCACCATTTATAGCTGAAATGTGTGGTGCTGCCTACAGGTGACCTCCACCCGGCACCCCAGTGGTTCACTTTACACGGCAACGTGTAATTCTAGTCCTGGAACTTCCAAATCTAACAAAAACACCTTTCATCTACTGCCGATCGTTTTAAAAGGCCACACACGATAAATTTAAAACATTTTGTGTTAATTTTCTGTGAAAAGCTTAATGTCAAAAAGGACTATTGCTCTGGTCCTGCCTGGTAGCCTTCATGCATGGAGGCATCCATCCATCCCTGCTAGGACACTTCCACTGACAAAGCTTGTTGTCATGGAAGGGAGCACGTTTCAGTATCTGTAATGAATAAAACACCTGTATTTAACCAGATAAAAATGTATTTCCCTTTAAGTTCTACTCTGCCCACTTCTGCATGCTAAAGCAATAGAAAATAGGTTTTCTCTTTCCTTCTGGACAGGCTGGCACCCACAATGTAACACAGTGCGCCAGATGTGCGCTGACATCACAGAACAGCGACTGTGCCTCGCACCGTGGTCCTCCATTCGCCTGGGTCAGGGCACAGCAACCTACACCATGAGCCAGACCTGGGCAAGGACCTGTTTGTGCATGGCCCTCGAGCTAATATTGCCTTTTACATTTTACTCGGTGGTTTAAAAAAACCAACAAAGAATACTATGTGACAGATGCCGCATAAAACCTAAGGTATTTATTTATTCTCTGGCCCTTTATTGAAAAAGTTTGTTGATCACCGGTATAACATGTACAGTGAAGAATGAGGAAGAAAGAATTCTTTCCATTTCAATTCGGTTCCTGTATCTCTGCCTCCCTGTATCTCTGTCTTATGTTCTGCAGTTTTCAAGGATCTCAAGTTGCAAAACACATCTTTTCCCAGGTGAGAACAAAGCTGCCGCAGCTGAGTACTACTCAGTGAGACACTCAGTGGGAATTTGGGGTAAAAACGGAAGGAAACTGAGGAGCTGTCCACATGCAAAAGAGGTTTTGGAAAGTGGAAGGTCTAATTTCATGCCTCTAAAGACAAAGCCCAATTGAAAAGCAATGTTGCAGCGTGAGGTGTTTGGAGACTCCGCGGAGCAGGAGTTTCCCTACAGCGCAGTGACAGCAGGTACCTGAAAGGAGAACGCCCTTCTCTCCGACCACGGTGTGGAGCCCTTGGGGGAAACTTCGGATGAAAGCAGTTGCGTTGGCTACTTCAGCTACTTTCTCTACCTCCTCGGCGGTCACTGAGGAAGGGTTGTCTGCACCATAAGCAATGTTCTCAGCAATTGAGCAAGAAAACAAAATTGGTTCCTACAAATTGGAAATGAAACATATTTATTGCAAATTTCAAAACAGACTTCGCACGTGTCTAATAAACACAGTGGGGCTTTTTTCGTGCAGCACTTGTAGCTAAGAAACGATTAAATTGCTCCCAAAGAATATATGCTCTCTTCTTGGTTCCACTTCTTCTTTGGGTATTACCATAAACAAGACTGATTTTATCACCTGTAGTTCCCACACCAGAGAAAAGGAGATTCCACAGCAGGTGCCTGCATGGCTCCTGGCACACAGTAGGCACTTCGTAAATGCAAGTTCCCTTTCCTTGGGAATTGTGGGTACTGGAAGACCACAAGCCCATCTGCATTTTCCATCTGCCTGCCTTCCACTGAGGACATTACTTTTTGAAATATACATAAACTAGATGAACATGACATTTTGACAGAACTCTGTGGAATGGTCCTAAAAAGGAAATAAGCTTCCAGCTTCTTTTCTGCATTCCATAATAATATGCACTGCTGATATCCTTATGCTACCGAGCAACCCTCATCACTGCCCCACCTGCCCCTCACCCAGTGGACAGGGCTAAGGACAAGGTCTGCGGGGAAGCTCCTTAGAAGCAGAGGCTCAGGTTTGTCTGCTGTGCACACAGCCTGGTAATGAAAATATAAACAGCTGTGCCAAATTTCCCTGCACCAAGCGGTCTTATGAAAACAGCCTCATCAAAGTGACCACATTACATTAATGTGCTGCCTGGAAACCTCTTGCAAGGGGACCCTGGCTCTTTCTTCGCACAGACTTGGTCGCTTTTAGCAAAACCCTTTATGGCCAACAGTAGACTGTGGCTGGTAATAAAAATGGGAATTGGGGAAGAGGCAGGAGAAGCTAAAAAGCTAGTTTTCTCCCCATCTTCTAGATGATCTGCATTACAAATTCATATCAGCCCCAGCTTTTGATAAAAAGTCCATGCTTCAGTGGGTTAAAGCATTTGAGGTTGTGAGAAATGGCACTGTTTAAAGACCTAAACTATCTGCCATGTGAGACTAGTTTAATACATCTGGGAAAATGCCACTCCTTCTCTTTTGAGAGATTTAAGACCGAGCAAACAGCGAATGACAAAAGCAACTTTAAAAGACAGTACAATAAAAATAAAACCCCTTCTCCTACCTGACTCACTGTCCCAATCTTGGATCTCAGCCAGACTGGATTTAGCTGGCGGATATCACGACCGTCGAGACTGATCGTTCCTTATAGAGAGAAAATGAAAAGTTGCTGAGTGCCTGGGGGCCAATGACTAATGTAAACACAGAAAGGCTCTGATGGGAAAATTCTAGACTCAGTTTCTAAAAGATTGAAAGTATACTCAAAATCTCCAATCGAAACCCAACATATCTCATGGAGTTTCAGAGCTGAAGGGCTTTATGGATCAGCTGTGTTTGCTGTCCCTGCGGTGGTTAGCCAACTGGCCCAGTGAGCTCACCCAGAGGCTGCGGGGAGCTTCCCAGAGTCCCCGGAGTGTCTTGGGGCACCACGGTAAGAAGCACCTGTGTAAAGCTTTGGTTCAGACGAGACTTATGTGGGAGAGGTGCGGCCATGAGGTGTCCACTTGCACAAACATTGGCAGAGGTGACACCACTTTGAAGCTGGCATCATGACAGTGGCCACCAAATTCCGTAGCTTCCTAAACATGACACCAGCAACTACCTTAAAGGCCTGGTTTTGCAGTGAAGTTCTGGGAAATGTCCTGGAAGTTCAACCCTACAGTGATTTTTGAGCTGTTTTACTACTTCTTAAAATATCCCTTCTTGCATAAACTTAGTTGGAGAGACTTTGTTATCTAAAACTAAGAATCTGATGGATACTGTGGCAGAGCTTTTAAATAACGAGATGTAACTCTGACCTTGGCTAACAGAATTAATTCTACACATTAAGGGAACTCGACAGTGCTGGGTGATGATGACGACGTGACTCAGTAAGAAACGCCATCCCTTCGGTTAGGGGTGCATAATTATACAAGCCAGCTATAAACTCTCACAAGCTGGCAGAAACCTGAGGTCTTTGACTTAAAAAGCACACGTGCTCTATACACAACACAAGGCAGGGATTAGAGCATGGTTTCTTTCCTCCTTGATTTATTCACCATGATGAAGAGACTAGAGCAGCAGTATTCTGACTTTATTTACACAACCTAACTAGGAATTTTCTAAACTCAGAATTTTATAGCGAGTGGAGAGTACAAGACAGTGGTTCCAGGGGCAAACGGTGCAGTGACATCCCTTACACACGGCCGGTGATTCCGTGCAGCAGGATCTGCAAGTCAAAAAGATGATCTGGCACGTAACCAGCTCTCACACTGCTTTAAACAAACAAACAAAAATACAGGTACAAAGACCACAAGGCAGACTCTTCTTAAATTCATGATTTGATTTTTACTAACCGTTGTTTCCTTGCTGAAAAACATCCTTTTCTCAATTCAAAATTAAATCAGTACATGTAGAATATCTACTCCAGGTTCTGATATGAAGAAGGATATAAACCTTGTAACTATCTGTGGTGATGGATGTAAACTCGACACAGTGTGATCATTTTGCAATATATACAATTATCAAATTATATGTTGTATATCTGAAATATATGTCAATCATATCTCAATAAAAAGGATATAACAAAGTAAAATAATGTATTCTTTGCTTTAAAAGACGCTACAGTTCGTTAAACATAAAATAAAAACCAGAATGAGAAAAATTCATTAAGAACATCCTTTCTTTCTAAAGAAGCTTCTTTGGAACAGTCACAGAGGAGGACATTACTGAGCGACAGATACTGTCTGCACAAGCTCAGCAGCGGGCCGAGGGGCACTTACTCCACGGTGCTGGTAGCTGTCGAGCAGCCCCTGCCCCTCTCCCGGGAGGGGCCACCAGCAGAACCCTGTGCGGGAGGTGAGGGGGAAGAATTCAGGCAGTCACTCAGGACTTGAAGAGGTCTGACAGAAATACACAAAATGCCTGAGGGCCTTCGGTATGGGCTGCCCTAACCCTACAAGTGACAGCTTTGTCAAAGGAGGTCTCTTCTGGGAACAAACCCTCTGGTATTCAGAACTCTCACACTATAACTCTCCGCATAATTTTATCCTGGTTCAGGGCACACGAGTAAGAAGAGCTCAGGACAGCCCTTCTGCCCTACAGTGCGGTGAACCACTCACCAGAAATGGGGTCGTACAGCCTCAGCAGGAGGGAAACCGCTGTTGATTTGCCAGAACCACTTGGGCCAACCAGTGCAGTGACAGACCCTGACGGGATGGAAAGGCTGAAATCCTGGAATATGGGCACCTCGGGGCGAGCAGGATATGTGAAATGCACGTTCTTAAACTCCAAAGCACCCTGGAAGCTTTTTTCATCCAAGATGAGCCCCTCTGAAACATAAGATGGAATACTAATTACTTAACGCGCACATCAAAGTCACAGCTGAACTCAGTTCCCACTTGTCTGACTGCAGACACAGCTGGCCCCACGGCGCTGGTCCTGGAGGTCCTGGAGTCGGAGCTCTTCCTGGGCAAGTCGGAAGGGGCCTCCGTGCTCACCCTGAGCCTGCTCTGCTCGCCCTCTATCCGAGGTCTGTGCGAGTCATCTCGATGGATTCTCACAGCCCCAGCTCACCTGACGGGACACTGTGGCCTTGCCCTGGGGTTTGAGAGAACAATGACAGGCATGTGGGCATTTCACAGCAGCCAGGGAGCCAGAGGGGATCAAGGTCTATGCTGTCCTGGTATTACCCTGGGCTCATCTGTTCCAGCCTGTGTCACTGGGGAATACGGGTGTGTGCTAACAGTGTCCTAGAGTCAGGGAGGGACTGGGAGTGGCTAAGGAGACACTTCTGCGCCCTGAGGACTGGCTGCCAAGGAAGCAGCTAATAAGAGATGTCTCTAGCCCTGGCCAGTTTGGCCCAGCGGTTAAAGCGTCGACCTGTGGTCCTGAGAGACCCGGGTTCGGTTCCCGCTAAGGGCGCGTACCTCGGTTGCAGTTTGTCCCCGGCCCTGGTCGGTCGTGCGGGTGGCAGCCACTCGATGTGTCCCTTTCACATCGATGTTTCTCTCTCTCTCTCTCTCTGTTCCTCTCTCTCCCTCCCACTCTACCTGAACAAAAAAAAAAAAATGGGAAAATGTCCTCGTGTGAGGATAAAAAAAAAAAATAGATGTCTCTAGACAACTAGCACCAGCATTCCTCACTCCACCCCAAAAGCCAAGAAATTTAGAGGCTTTTTTGTTTTGTTTTAATCCTTAACCCAAAGTATTTTCCATTGATTTTCAGGTAGAGTGGAAGGGAAGGAGGGAGGGGGAACGAGGAGGAGGGAGAGAGAGAGAAACATCTATGTGAGAGATTGGTTGCCCCTAATCAGGGCCGGGTATGAACTGCAACTGAGATACATGCCCTTGACTGGAATCAAACCCGAGACTCTTTGGTCCTCAGGCCGAGGCTCTAACCGCTGAGCCAAACTGACCAGGGCTAGAAGCTTTTATATGTGTGATGACTCTTCCTTTCCTCCTGTCCCCCCCCCCCCCACACACACACAAAATCACTAAGGAAAGCAAATCTGGTGGACTGTCAGGGCCCTTCCTATGGGCATGCCTGGGCAGTAAGTCACCTGAGGGGAGGTTAATACTGGGTGGCACACCATGTGGTCGGCCCCCGAGCTTTCAGGGACATCCCTGCGCCCTCCAACACTTGTCCTTCCTCTCTTACACCCGCCCCTCTAATGACCCTTGTCCACAGCCCCATTTGTTGAATCCCAGCATAAAAGCACACACACACGTCAGACTCACCGTCGAAAGGAAGCTCGGGCTTTCTCTCCAGGAGCTCCCAGAGGCGTGCCCCGGCACCCAGGCCCTTCATCAGCTCCGAGTAGAATGAGCTCAGCCCTGAGGACGAGAAGCCAACATCCACCACTGCACCAGGAGCCAGCCTCTGCTACTCCCATCCCGGGGGAGAGGTAACACTTGCTTTCAACAGAAAACCTGTTACTTTCCACAAAGGATTTGAGGCCGCTACCTGCGAGTCCATGTTCAGAATTCCCTGGGTCTCTTACCCTTATTTTCCTTCAGCTTCTCCTCCTCCAATTTCACTGATTTCTAATAAGGATTTAATGGCTGATCGGGGCATTTACAAATACATACAGCCATAGTAATCAACCACTGAATTAAAATCACGATGTTACAGAGAAAATTCTACCTCGCCAAAAACATAGCAATATAAATAAAATGCAATGCTTATCATAAATTTGAAAGAAAAATAAAATATCCCAATATTCATTTTTAAATTCATATACACACACATAAATCAAACCTCCCTTTCAGGCACTCAAAAATTTAACTTTTACTAGGCTGGAAACTGAACAGAAACTTGGAAATGTTAAATATTCCAACGATCTCTTTCTTAGTCACTTCCATCCCATCCAGTAGATTTTTTGTTTTGTTCTGTTGAGGATTTCCTTTGCTGTGCAGAAACTTTTGATTTGATGTAGTCCCATTTGTTTATTTTCTCTTGTTTCCTTTGTCCAGGGAGACAAATCCAAAAAAAAAAAAAAGATTGCTAAGACTGATATCGAAGAGAGTTTACTGCCTTTGTTTTCTTCTAGGAGTTTTATGGTTTCAGGTCATATATTTAAGTCTTTAATATATTTTGAGTTTATTTTTATATATGAGAAAAGGGAGTGGTCCAGCCCGGCCTGTGTGGCTCAGTGGCTGAGCATCGACCCATGCACCAAGAGGTCACTGGTTTGATTCCCAGTCAGGGCACATGCCCAGGTTGTGGGCCAAATCCCCAGTTGGGGGCATGCAGGAAGTGGTTAATTGATGATCTCTCTCATCGATGTTTCTGTCTCTCTCTCCCTCTCTCTCTCTAAAGTCAATAAAGAAAAAAAATTTTTTTTAATAAATAAAAGGGAGTGGTCCGCTTTCTTTTCTTTCTTTCTTTTTTTTTTTGCATGTATCTATCCAGTTTTCCCAACACCATTTATTGATAAAACAGTATATTCTTGTCTCCCATGTTGTAGATCAATTAACCATACGATCGTGGGTTTATTTCTGGGCTTTCTGAATTGAATAAACACTTCATACAGACATACAGATGGCCAACAAACATGAAAAGATGCTCAACATCACTAATTATCAGAAAAATGCAAATCAAAACCACAATGAGATATCACGTCATACCTGTCAGAATGGCTATTATAAAAAAGTCAACAAATAATAAGTGTTGGACAGGATGTGAAGAAATGGGAACTTGTGTGCACTGTTGGTGGGACTGTGAAATGGTGTAGCCATTACGGAAAACAGTATGAAGGATCCGAAAAAATTTAAAAATAGAACTACCATATGACCCAGCACTTCTACTCTGGACATTTATCCAAAGAAAATAAAAACACTAATTTGAAAAGATAAATGCACCTCTATATTCACTGCAGCATTATTTGCAATAGCAAAGATATGGAAGTAACCTAGGTGTCCATCAATAGATAAAGGGAAAAATAAGATGTGGCATATATACACAATGGAATATTATTCAGCCATAAAAAATGAAATCTTATCATTTGTGACAACATGAATGAACTAGAGGGTATTAATATAAGGGAAGTAAGTCAGACAGAGAAAGACAAATACTACATGAGTTCACTTACATGTGAAATAAAGAAACCCCAGAAACAGATTCGGAGATACAAAGGAAAAATGATGGTTGTTAAAGGTGGGTAGGGGGATGGGTAAAAAAGATGAAGGAAAATAAGAGGCACAAACTTCCAGTTATAAATAAGTCATGAGGATGTAATATACAGCACAGGGAATACAGTCAATAATATTGTAATAACTTCGTTTGATGACAGATAGTTTACCAGACACCTTGTGGTGATCACAACACAAGTTATATAAATGCAGAATCACTACGGTGAACACCTGAAACTAATATAATATTGTAAGTTAACTATACTTTAATAAAAAATAAAGTCACCTTTGAACTAATTCATATTTAAATAATGACTTGATTAATGACTTAAACTCTCAAGTACCACTGGTCCTTGTCAACTGCCATAACATATAACACTGTCTCTCCATAAGGATGCTGAAAAAAATGCAATTCAAATATTTTTTCTAAGGTATAATTTGTGCATGCATTTGTATATGTTTGTGTAAGATGCAGTGAATTAAAACTTCCAGGTTGTATTAAAAGTGCATTGGTGGTACGTATACACAATGGAGTACTATGCAGCTGTAAGAAAGAAAGATCTCTTATCCTTTGAGACGACATGGCGGGACCTGGAAAGTATTATCCTAAGCGAAACAAGCCAAACAGAGAAAGACAAGTTTCATATGATCTCACTTATTTGTGGAATATAATGAACATAACAGTCTGTGGAATGGGGTAGTCCCAAAGACATGGAAGTGGGGTACAGACTGACAATCCCCAGAAGAGAGGGTGGTGGAGGAGAGATAAACCACAGAACTTATATGCATGTATGCATGAACAATGGACATGGACAACACAGCTGGGGACAGGGTGGGGAGGGGGAATCAATGGGGGGAAAAGGAGAAACATCTGTAACAAAACTAAATAAATTAATTCATTTAAAAAAAGTGCATTGGGACCCTGGCCAGTTTAGCTCAGTGGTTAGAGCGTGGGCCCGCAGCAGAATCATGGGTTCAATGCCAGTCAGGACACATACTTCAGTTGTGGTTTGGTCCAAAATCCTGGTCGGGACTGAGCGGGAGGCAACCAATTGATGTGTCTCTCTCACATCCATCGCCCCCCTTCCCTGTTTCCCACTTCAGCTGAAGATAAATGGAAAAATATCCTCGGGTGAGGATTACAAAAAAAAAGTGCATTGGGAAGAAATAGGTTCAGGTAAATATTGCCAACTGATCTTTGACATATGGTCAAAGGCAATTCAGTGGAGCAAGGATTGTCTTTTCATCAAATGGTACTGAGCAACTGAACATCCACATGCGAAAAATTAATCTAGACACAGACAGTACACCCTTCACAAAAATTAACTCGAAATAGCCTTGGCTGGTTTGGTTCAGCGGTCAGAGCGGCTGCCTGCGAAGCAAAGGATCTCGGGTTCGATTCCTAGTCAAGGGCACATACCTGGGTTGCAGGTTTGATCCTCAGCCCCACTTGGAGTTGTGCAGGAGGCAACCAATCAGTGTATCTCCTCTCACATCAATGTTTCTCCCCCCCCCCATTCCCTTCCACTCTAAAAATAATCAATGGAAAAATATCCTCGGGTGAGGATTAACAATAACAAAAAAATGAATTACAGACCTAAATGCAAATGAAAAATGATATATAAAAGATGTATAGATGGCCAATAGCATATGAAATAACATGTCATTATGTAATCACAAATGAAAACAATGAGATACCACGACACATCTCTTAGAATGGCATAAATCCAAAACTCTGGCTGTGGAGGTTGTGGGACAATAGGAACCCTCGTTCACTGTCAATGGGTAAGTAAAATGGTACAGCCATTTTGAAAGACAATTTGGGAGTTTCTTACAATATTAAACGTACTCTTACCATCCAATCCAGCAATTTCACTCCTTTGTATTTACGCAAAGGAGTTGAAAACTCATGTTCATACAAAAATCTGCATGTGAATGTTTATAGCAATTTTATTCATAATTGCCAAAACATGGGAGCAACTAAGATGACCTTCAGTAGGTGAATGGATAAATAAATCATGGTACACCAGACAATGAAATATTATTCATTGCTAAAAAAAAAAAAAGAGCTCTCAAGCCATGAAAAGACATGGAGGAACCTTAAATGTACATTACTAAATGAAAGAAGCCAATCTGAAAAGGCAGATTCCACCTATGTGACATTATGAAAAAGGCAAAACTATGTAGATAGTAAAAAGATCAGCCCAGCCGGTGTGGCTCAGTGGTTGACCATCGACCCATGCACTAAGAGGTCGCCAGTTCGATTCCCAGTCAGGGCACATGCCCAGGTTGTGGGCCAGATCCCCAGTGGGGAGCATGCAGGAGGCAGCCAATCCATGTTCTCTCTCATCGATGTTTCTATATCCCTCTCCTCTCTCTCTAAAATCAATAAAGAAAAAAAAATTTTTTTAAAATCAGTGGTTGTTCAACACAGTGAAGAGTTTAGACTCTCAAAAACAAAATGGCCCTGGATAAACAAAATGTGGTCTAGCCATACAATGAACTTTGAAAACATTATGCTAAGTGGAAGAAGCCAAACACACAAAGCCACACGTTATGTGATTTCATTTATATGAAATATCTGGAATAATTACACAGAGACAGGAAACAAACTGTGGTTGCTAGGGTCTATGGGAGGGCGGGGTATGGAGACAGACTGATTAATGAGCATTAATTTTAAGATGGTGAAACTATTATGGAACTAAATTGAGGTGGTAGTTGCACACGTTGTGAATGCAGTAAATACCACTGAACTGTTAATTTTCAAATGGTTAATGTTAAGTTGTGTGAATTTCACCTCAATAAAAAAGTAAGTAAATAAGAAAAAAATCACTGGGATTCAGTAGAAAGATGTGAGAACATTCCTTAGTGTAAAATAAACAAGGATACTTTTTGTCAAACAGCACTTTCCGACCCTCTTTCAGCAGAAAGTGTATTATTAGAACTTGTTTTTAGTTGTTGTTTTAGTGCTGTTCTAAGCAGAAACCAATATTTTTTTTTAAATCTTATTTATTTATTGGTTGTCGATCCATTTCAAAAGTACTTTCAACAGTGAGCTTCACAAAAGCAGTTAAAATCCAACTCAACCTGCTGAACTAAATCCCGGCAGCCTCAGGTTCTCGGCTGGGAAACGCGGGGAAGCGGGGGGAGGAGCCCTGACAGGTCTGTCCATCTTGGCTTTTCCTCCCTCGCCCGTGACAGCTGTTACCCAAGACAGTTGACAGGGCTGTGGGAGAGCCTGTGACTAACAAAGTCAAGTTACCCCAAAGTCTTGTACACAGGCCAAGCCTCCGTAGCACCTTCAGCAACAGGGGAGGTAACTGACTCCTGGTGGACTAGAACTACTCCAACCTATTTCTGCGCAAGTCACAGTTGTGAACTTGTCAGGACAAAAAGTAGGGCAGTGTAACACCCAAGACCAGAGGTAGTTACTATCAGGTGAGGTCGTATGGAAAAAGGGGGGCAGGGGAAAGAGGACGGTCTAAGAAAGAACAGGTCAACCAGGGCAGAAAACGTGAGCTCAGTGGAGACCAGGGAGGCAAGCTGACTGTGGTCAAGACGGAATGTAAACGGAAAGGCTACAGACAGGGGAAGTGCGGGCAGGCAACCCCACTCTGAGGTGGGACAGAGACTTTAAGGAACATGACTCATGGGCGTGCGACCCTACAGCCCAGCGGACAAAGAGGAAAGAACATCACTACTGTCACTGGATGCCCCCGACTGCCTCTCAAATCACTCAGCAACCTGAAATGTTTTCCTGTGTTCTTGAACCCCGCCAGCAGAACTGAAATGCTACTTGTAGGGGTCTCTGGAAATCAGTCCAGAAAATACCCACACTTGCCTGCAGATGTCTAAGGAACAGCCTCTGCCTTTAACCAGTAGACACCAAATTCTGGACACAAAAATCTCACGCTGAGGTGGAGTACTCAAATTCTATTAATCAGACCTCGGGCTATTTTTTTTTTTTTTATCCTCACCCGAGGACATTTTTCCATTTTTTGTTCAGGTAGAGTGGGAGGGAGAGAGAGGAAGAGAGAGAGAGAGAAACATCGACGTGAAAGGGACACATCGAGTGGCTGCCACCCACACGATCAACCAGGGCCGGGGACAAACTGCAACCGAGGTATGTGCCTTTAGCGGGAACCAAACCCGGGTCTCTCTGGACCGTAGGCCGACGCTCTAACCGCTGAGCCAAACCGGCCAGGGCAGACCTCAGGCTATTTATCTAACCTTTCCACCTTGGTTTTCAAAGAAAGAAAGGAAAACAAAAAGCAGGAAATCAGTTGTCCCTTGTTGGCTGGTGATGCAGGAAAGGTACAGAATAGAAAGCTTCACAGACTTTACACAGTGCCCTCCCTTCACCCAGGAATGAACAATGAAAGCTGAACTCAGAGATTCTTGACAAAAGCAAATAGCTCTGCTTCATGCACATTCTAATTTGTATTTTTTGGTTGTTCATTAGTTTTGAACAAGGTTGACTCTGTACAAAAGAAAGTTTATTCCCCAGTGATTGGCCAAACATTAAACAATCCCTACCATAGGACTGTGGTTTCCTGTGCACACCTGTTCAGCACTGTCCTTCCTCCTCCCTACATTCATTCTATGAGCCAAGTGAACAAGTTTTGCAGTTAGGAAATACTGCCCCTGAGTGACCCTGCGCTCAGTGAGTGACAAGTGACCTCCCCAAATCCTAAACTTCCCAACCAAGCCACTGCTTGCCTACGCAGGAGTCACACTCATATCTTTATTTTTTCTTTTAAAGTTACGCTGGAATAACATTCTAGGAAACGGTGTTTTCAGGTGAAGTTATCTGCTGAGAGGGAGTGATATGAAAGTTAAGTTTTCATTTCAGAGCCTGGAATCTGATTTTCCATTTGTAACTCCCCAAGCCTATTGAAAGTATATACCTCCAATGCTCAGTCCAACCCAGAAAGCATACATTAGGAAGGAAGAGAGTTCACCCACTGTCATGTGGGCACTGCCCATCAGCAGCCCTCCTTTGTACAGGACAGAAAGCACAATCAGGTTCCCGGAGAGCCCAGTCTGTCAAATGAAGAAAACACAGAAGTGAGGTAGGAACCAAAGATCCAAAATGCAAAGACTTAATAACATGGTCAATAGTTTTCTTTCTGCATTTAACTATTACAGCAAGATTTTTCCAAAATATTATGTTTTCATCTAAATTTCAAATAAATACTTTAAAAAACATTATAATATTGAAATAAATAATCTCATCAACATAGACACCTAGGAGCATCAGATTCCTATTTTACTCTATCAGTTTGCAAAGGAAAAAAGGTAATATTAAAGATTCCTTCCCTAACTGGAGACAATGAATACGCGCTAGAACACGTGTTTATATATCCTAATATGATGCACTGGGCAAAGACTGGACTGAGAAGTTGGAGTCTGGGATCTCTGATCCACCTTGACCCGTGTTAGATGTGTGGTCCCAGTAAGTGCTGCCGTCTCTGGGCTTGTTTCCTTATCTGTTGGATCACCTCTCAAGTTCTTTCCCATTTGAACATATTATGAATTTGCCCTCATGGTGATTTTCTAGTTCAGTGTCCTATTTGAGTTCATTGTGATCAATGTGGTCAGTTTTTTTATACTTCCTTCTTGAAATGCGCTGAGGTCATTCTGGCTAGCTCTCAGCAGGCCTCAGACTGCCTGCGTCGGGAGACGTGGAGAGTCTGCCACCGCGCAGACGGCTGGCCCACGCGGGGCTTCCGCCGCAGGTCTGCAGTGGAGCTGAGAGTCTGCCACCCTGACCAGCTCCCGGGCGCAGCTGACGTGGCTCGTCAGGATCACACTGGGAATCAGTGCCTGATGCCATCCCGTTTGGTCGCACTACCCATGGCCTTTTCTTTAATTACATTTACTTGCCTTCTTTCCATTTACTTATTTTAAGGCAGTTCTTAGTCCTGAGGTAGAATAGAACCATTTTCTATTTCAGAGTCACAGAACAAAAACCTCTCCATCATAACATCCAATCCACCCTTTCCACTCTTTCCACAATGATGCACTTACCGCTCCGAAGAAGCCAGCCCGAGCAAATGCCTCTTTCCTCGCTAACTGCATCACAAAGTCCACTTTGCTGGCATATTTCTCTATTTCAGTCGTTTCTTTCCCAAAAGCTCGAACAGTTCTTATATTTCCAATACGTTCCTCAGCTAGCTGAGAGAATAACAAAAACATTTTAGGGGGGGGGCAAGATCACATTTAAAGATTTCTAGAAGCACAATTAAAAAGTGGTTCTCATTTTTTTGTTGTTGTTGTTAATCCTCACTGGAGGATATTTTTTCCATTAACTTTTTTAGAGAGAGTAGAAGGAAGGGAGAGAGAGAGAGAAATAGAGAAACATCAATGTGAGAGAGACACATCGGTCGGTTGTCTCCTGCACAACTGGATTGAACCTGCAACCCAGGTATGTGCCCATGACTGGGAATCGAACCCAAGATCTCTGGTGTGTGAGCCAACACTCTGTAACTATGCACCACACCTGCCAGGCCTGGTTCTCATTTTATCAATGGAAGTTGCTTGTAATACATGACTGAGTCAAAAATAGGTTGCAAAGGAGACTATACAGAACAATCGTATTTTTGGAAACCTAGATCTATACATATACACATCTTACATAGAGGTAGAAAGAGAAACAGGAGGGTAGGTAACTAGATACAGAAATGTATCTTTCTGCAGAGAAAAAGATACATAAAAAGGACAGGATTATGTATATATTTTTTTCTGTTTATATTTTCAAATAGAAACATACATGGTTTTTGTAATATAAAAATATAACATTTATTTTTTAAAAAGACAACATTAGACATTATTGCAAAGCTACTCTTACTAATTAATGAAGAACAGAGTGTCATCCAGAAAGTGTTTTGAAGATATAATTAGCCTTTTTGTTTTACAAGGAATAGTGATGCAAAGAAGTAAGAAGTCCATACAGCCGTGGCAGGTATGGCTCAGCGGTTAGAGTGTTGGCCCGCAGTCCAGGGTTCAGTTCCTGCTAAGGGCACGTACCTCGGTTGCAGTTTGTCCCCAGCCCCAGTTGGGGTAGTGTGGGTGGCAACCAGTCAATGTGTCTCTCTCACATTGATGTTTCTCTCTCTCTTCCCCCCTCTCTCCCTCTCACTCTATCTAAAGATGAATGCAAAAATGTCCTCAGGTGAGGATAAAAAAAAAAAAAAATAAGTCCATACAATGTTCAGTGAAGTTGGATCTACTGGGACACGTGGGTAGTAATTCAGTCTAGAAGGCAGAGTATTTTAGGTATCTAGGATCTTGGGGTCTAATGTAAGGAAACCTGAGTACTTTTTGAAAAGCCTAAACACATTTCTTAGGGTCTTGCCCCCTTGTGCCTTGGCTCTGAGCTCATTCAGTGGGGACCATGCCAGGGAAGGGCCTTTACCTGAGTGGCCTGTGCCAGGGAATCCTGAGTGACTTTGGTTAGTTTCCGTAGATATCGTCCATAAATCACAGCAAGGATGGACACTGGAGGCACCACACTCAAAACAAAAGTGGCCAGATGAGGTGAGACAAAAAACTGTCAAAAACAAAAGCCAAAAGGTGTTTGTTACACAGAGGAGCAAGACATTCTCAATACCTACTGTAGCTGTGTGTGTTTCAATAAACAGGCAGTCTCGAAGGTGCTATCTCAACACTGAACATCCTGTATTGGTGGAACTTTTCAGACACCTTCAGTCTTCATAAATCCCCTGAATATTCGGCATGCCACACAGGAGTCATGTGGTCAAGAGCTGCTGAAGAGTGTGGAGACAGCGTGCCCTCCATGCCAGACCACTGCTGCTCCACCGCTGCTCCACTACCTGAGACCATGCCGCACACAGAGGGGAGGCCCGTTCTGCTCACGCTGCCCTGACCACACCTGGGACTCTGTGCTCAAGTCTGGATCATCTTGAGGACACTGAACAACCAGAGTAATGTGTCCCATGGAGACGACCAAGACAGCAAAGAGAACAAAAAGCCCTGCATCGTGTGACGGAAAGGTGAAAGACGGCGGGAGGACATAACCAGCGGAGGAAGAGCTCCGGCGGTCCCCGTGGCTCAGTGGACTGGAGCACGGTGGGTCTGAACTCAGCACAAGGAGACAGCCCTCACGGCTGGAGCTGCACATCCTAGAAGTAATGTGGTGGATGTTCCTGTCAACCCTGCAATTTGGTGACTGTATTTTAAATGGTACTAGCATCTCTTCAGCAAAGTGTTAAAATCTGCCAAATCTCACTTAAACAGAAAATAGTATAATCAGAACAAGGCTCTCCTAAAATGCTGAGAAAAAGTTGCAGACTGAAGTGTAAAGTAATGGACAGAACAACCAATCCTTATCTCATCCAACAACTGAAGCAAACACTTCCAGGCGCCTGGGAGAGAAATGACCCGCACAGGCTCATCCAAGGGGAGAGGGGAGGTGGGAGTTAGAGAATAAGCAGCAGGTGAAAGAGAGAGGAAATAACTTCAGATGTAATGTGGTCTTAGAAGAGCAAGGGCACCAGGCACTGAGGCAGGAATGACCCACCCTGAGCAGGTGAGTCCAGCAGGGCACTGGGAGGATGGTCACCACAAGGAGGCAGTGTAGAGGCAGTGAGGTGATCAGGGCGGGTTCACAGTTCTGGGACCCGGATGCACCTAAGCTCGAGTGAACCAAGTGCATGGGGCATTCTCTACAGTGGGGCAGGAACGTCCACTGGAGTTCCCAGGACCTGAGTGGACTGCCTTAGAACCACCTACCTCCCTTGCTCTGGTTCCTTGCTTAGTAATAACCTTCTGAAGACTAACACAGGGTCCTGTCACCACAAAGAAGAGCTGGAGTCGCAGGACCACACAGCTTAACGCTGAGAAGGAAGACCCCGTATCTCAATCACTACACTGGCAGTGTGACACAGACGTCACTAGGTTCTCGTGAATAGGGTCACTGTAATCAGAGCTGTGTACGAGAAACACAGCATACTTCTGTTCCTCCGGAGCGGAAGACCAGGTCCGAGGTGATGCCACCTCCCAAGGCCCTGTTATGGGCTGAATGTTTAGGTTTCCCCGGAATTCATATGCTGAAGCCCTAATCCCAGCATGGCTCTATTTGGAGATGAGGCTTCTAAGAAAGTAATTAAGGTAAAATGAGGTTTTAATGGTGGGGTCCTGATCCAATAAGATTAGTGTCATTATAAGAAGAGACCCCAGAAAGCCTGCTCTCTCCACACAAGCACCAAAGAAATGCCATGTGAGCACGCAGCAAGAGGGCAGCCTTCTAGAAGCCAAGAAAAGAGGCCTCAGAATGAACCTACTTTGCCAACAGCATAATCTTGGGACTTCCAGCCTCCAGAATTATGAGAAATGAAATCTCTGAGCCATCTAGTCTGTGGTACTTTGTCATTCTGGCCTGAGCTAAGACAGGCCCGTTCTGGTTAGCCATCTGAACCATCCTTAACTGTTACAAAGAGAGGTTCCCGACTCTTTCTGAGCCCAGAACTAGTGATATTTAGAAATGATGCTTTAGTACAGGAGGGGTCTTCTTCCAGAGCTTTGCTTCTCTCTTGGCTGAGAAAATATGAGATTTCAAAGCTGTTTTTCACTCTCTAAGTCAGATTGACAGGCTCACTCTGGCAACACATCATTCTACTACATGGACGGTGAAAACCCAAGCTGATGCACGGGTGAGAAAGGATCAGTCACAGTCCTCTGTCTAGGAGTCTAGAACTGCACTGTCTAAAATGATGGCCTCATGTGCCTGTTGAGCACTTGAAATGCGGTCAGTGTGATTGAGAAACTGAATTTTTCATTTTATTTAGTTTTAACTAATTAAAATTAAAATTTAAGAACCAATGCTCCATTTCTATCCAGTCACTGGTAAAGTTTTAGGTATGTCTGAAAAACCTGGTATATCAATCTACTTTTTCAACTGCAGATGTTATGAAATCTGAATAGAGATCAAATATTTCCAATGCAAATTTAGCATCGATTGAGACATTTCATAAGTATAAAATACACACTGGATTTTGCAATCTTAATATGAAAAAATGATATAAAATAAGTGATTAACAATTTTATATTAACTACATGTTGAGCTGATAATAAATAAATAAAACTATTATTACAAGTAATCTCATCTTTCTTTCTGCTCTTTAAAATGTGGCTACTAGAAAATTTTAAATTACATATGTGGTTTGCATCATGTTTCTACTGGCCAGCAGCGCAGGTCTGAGGAGGACATCGCCTGGAGAAGGGAGGCAGGAGACAGGGCGGTGCTCCAGCCGTCCAATCAGGACAGCAACAAAGGCCATGGGAGTGGAGAGAGCGCCCCTCATAGGGAGACAGACACACCTCGGTGTACAGGAGAATGGAACTGACCTTCCTTCCTACAAGAGGAGGACAGGAAGTGATCCCTTGGCTTGTCAAGATAGCAGGGCAGCTGCACTGCCTTTGGGGGAGGGGGTGTAACGCCGTCTTTCTCTAACCCACTGCTCAGCACCCGGAGGGTTCCTTCCACCTGTTGCTCTTTTCTGCCTTGGTACATTCTAGGAAAACGCAGGCAACAGTGTAATCTTTTCTAAATGCAATGGTCCATCCTCCAGATAAGACTGCGTTCTGGTGAAATGTCGGTGCAAGAGGCCATCTGGAAAGAAGCGATCTCTGTGTTCCTACAGGCCCTCGGAGGCACTCTTGGCTAAGTGGTGAGAACAGCTCGCCCTAAGCTCATCTCATGCATGAGGCTGGTGCAGGCAAGCCCTGACCAGAATGTATCAATGGAAGCCTGGCTGACATACCATCATGCCAATACCGACAGAGGCCTGGGCCCCGGCCCTGAGCCCATCCGAGAGGTTTTCAGTGACCGAGCGCCCCAGCAGCGCAGTGTCTGAGGAGAGGCGGTTAATCAATTCCCCTGTGCGAGTCTTGTCAAAGAAGGCAACTTCCTGCCTCAGAACGGAGGAGAATAACGAAGCTCTCAGCCTGTTCACAATGCGCTGACCTGCAAAAGCAAACAGGAACAGGGTGAGCTTGGGTCCAGACTCCTCACACACAGCAGCTTGGCCGATGTCATCAGCGCTGCAGCCTCGGGGACACATCTGCTGCCCTATGATCCCTGGGGGACAGACTCACCTGAGCCCTGGCAGATGGACAGGAAGCTCAAGTAATGAGCGTTCATTTTCTCTTAGTAACTGCACACTGTGGATGCTGAGGAGAGGCTCCGGTGATAATATAACTACAACGTGACTGAGAGAGTCTTCAAAAGTATTATTTACAAAGAAGTTTTACTACATTAACTGCTCCAAAGCTAATTGTGTCCTTCCTTGGCAACCCTTTTCTGTACTGAACTTTCAAATGGCAACAACTGGTTAATTATCTACTGAGTATTTATTTTATTAGCTAAATGGCAAGCAACCGACTTCGAGTCGGGCGTCGGGGACTCTGTCATTACCGTAGAAGTCACGGGCCTGTTAACAGCCTGGCTTGATATGGACATACTGTCAAGTCACCATCCAGCTCCTACTGAGGGGAACACAAGCCTGGAGCAGCTCCCAGAGAGGGCCCACCGCTCCTGCCTCGCGATGGAGGCCTTGTTTTCAAACCTCCTGGAGAACAGACCGAGCAACTTCCCTCACAGCTCAACTCCTGTCCACGTCAAAGGAGGACCGAGGAGAGAGCACGAGATCTGAAACAATTCACAGCTCCAACACCAGGCCAGGTCCCCACCGCATGTGATGCAGAAGAGAGGAAAAGACCGGGGCCCGCAGCCCATGACACCCACACGGAGACCTGCTCGCCCAGGAGGGGCACGCTCACCTGAAGTTTGCATGAGGTAGACACGAACAGCGTTGGCTGCAGCACCACACAAGAACACGCCGCTGAGCGCCAGGCAGAGGCGGGTCAAGCTGCTGCTGTAGTCCACAGTGGGGTTTGTATAAATGACGTCAATGATCTTCCCCAGGAAGAAGGGAGCAGACATGGTGATGACGCTGGACACGGCTAGGAACCCCACCGCAGCTAGAAAACACAGGCAGCTCTCAGGGTCGCTGGCACTTCAGCAAAGGGGCAGGGCACTGAGACTTTCCTCCCTTAGCTCCCAGATCCTGGACTAAGAACCAAATGGGTTGTAGGGCCAGAACAAGTAGGGTGACTGTAGGGAGGGACAGACCATACCCAACACCCAGATAAATAGCTGTTTGCATTACCCTGATCCGACAGCTCCTCCTTGCCAGGAATAACAGAGATAACTACAAAAATCCATCTGGCCTTTCTTCCTGCCTCTTTTTTTTTTAAACTTTTTAAAAAATATGTTTTTATTGACTTGAGAGAGAGACAGACAGACATCAATCTGCTGCCTCCTGTACGCACCCTGACCTGGGCATGTGCCTGACTGGTAATCAGACTGGTAGCCTTTCAGTGCACAGGATGACACTCAGCCAACTGAGCCACACTGCCCAGGGCCCTTCCTGCTTCTTCATCTGGGTGTTAATCTCAGAAGAGATTTTTCTCTACATTCATGCCATACATTGTTCATTCCTTGGCATCTAACCGTATCTTAGCTTATAGATCAAATTATGTAGGTAAAGCTCTTGATTACGTCTAGTATTTCAAAACACTTTAAATAAACTTTGGCAAGCAGTAACTGGCATTCATTACACAAGTGATATGTCCTTTCTTACTTCCCCTTTGGGGAATAAAGCACCGGAATAATCAGTCTGACATGAAAATAAGTAAGAACATAGTTGTTCTCACACCTAAGAAATAAAGGGGATAGCGTCTTATCAAAAAAGAAAATATGGAGAGTATCCAATTAGGAACAACACGTATCACAGATAACTGCAATTATAATAAAAGGAAAACAACTAAACTACAAAGAGATACCATCTTCATTTACTGGACTGGTCAGGGTCAGAGTTTGATAACACACCACGTCAGTGAAGCTATAAGAGCAGGTGCTTACACTGTTACTGGGAGTGCAAAGGGTACCGTCGCACTCGGTAGTGATTTGATCATCTAGGTCAAAATGTAAATGCATGTTGCCTTTGACCTAGCAATTCCACCTGTATGAATTTAACTTATACACTCCCATGTGTGTATGCAAAATTGTACATTCAAGGATTTTCCTTACAGCATTGCTTATCCAGCAAAAGATTCAAAATATCCTAAACAGGCATCAATGCAGAACAAGTTAAATCACTCGTGGATCATTTATTTTACAAATATTATGCAATCATTAAAGAGAATAAGGCAACTCTATAGGTACTGACATGCGCAATCCACCAAGACATACTGTTAAGTGAAAAAAGTCAAGCACACTGATGTTAACATTTGAGGGGCTTTTCTGCTTGCTTTTTCTTTTCTTCTTCTTATTATATTTTATAAATTACCTCAGCTTTATTTACTTTTTTCTTAGAGATAAAAATATCAATGTGAGAAAGACACATCGATTGGTTGCCTCCTGCGCGACCCCTAACCAGCCCTTGACCGGAAATCAAACCTTCAACCCTTTGGTCTGCGGAGCAATGCTCTAACCGCTGAGCCAAAGTGGCCAGGGCTCTACGTGGTTTTTCAAATCTACATACAGAACATCCCGAGAGAGTAGCATGAAGCAGGGAACACAGGTCCCTTCTGAAAAGTGTGATACTGGGTGACTGGGGCCAGGTATGTGCCACTGTGTACATTTTGAGTTTGGTTATTAGTGCCACCACTGGAGAGTCAATGGTCGGTGAGGTTTAGGGGAACACTACTTGGACTGAGCCCCCAGAGATGGGAGTTCCCAACACCTTGCAAACAGCAGTTGCTTCTCTATTTGTTGTGCCTAATGCTAACACGTCATTTAAAGGTATTACTTTTATGTAACCTTAATAAAAACACTATAGAGCCCTGGCCGGTTTGGCTCAGTGGTTAGAGCGTCGGCCTGCCGTCCAGAGAGATTCGGGTTTGGTTCCCGCTAAGGGCATGTACCTCGGTTGCAGTTTGTCCCCAGTCCTAGTTGGGTCGTGCGAGTGGCAGCCACTCAATGTGTCCCTTTCACGTCGATGTTTCTCTCTCTCTCTTCCTCTCTCTCCCACTCTATCTGAACAAAAAATGGAAAAATGTCCTCGGGTGAGGATTTAAAAAACCAACCAAAAACCCACTATAGAGTAAATTCAGTGCCAATTGGTTACTTGGTTGGCAAATGGAGCTCTGGGGGAAATGTGAACCTTCTGAGTAGGGGACAGTTCACACGATGGCTCACCTCCTCAAGATCGCCTTCATCCTCAAGATCAAGCCTGCTCTGCTGACCTTCTTGAAAATACAGATGCCCGACACTGCCTGCCTCCCTCCCTCTCCACCCTTCCCCTGGCACTGCCCACCTCCGGGCACCCTGTGTTCTATTTGCTCATAGTCTCTCTCCCTCAGAACATGGAATATCTGTGTCTGTTTTGTTCACTGCTGCAGCCCACTGCCCGAGGGACAGGCACATGGTGAGAGCTCAATAAATATTTGTTAAATGAATAAATAAATTGAACTTTGACAAAGGAGGCATAAAAGTGTATCAGATCAAAGTTCTTCAACAGCCTGAATAGGAATGTAAGGTCTGGGGGCTCAGAAAGTACACATCAAAATGACTCCTTTGCACAGAGCCAGAACATCCATGGACCTGGCTTAAAATCCCATAATCACAACTTAACTAAATAACGTAAACCTGGCCAAGGGCCATTTTGTTTCAAGAGCCAGGGTCTTGTTTTCGAATGCCAAGAAGATCTGCAAGTCCAAAGGGCAGGGAAGCATTCTGAGCTCTGCAGACACAATCACGAGCATGCTCCAGAAATGGGTGTCCTACTGAACTAGGGGCCGATCTGAAGGCCTTGGGTTCCACCTGTCATTGGAAATCAACCTTTCTAGTCTGTTTCAAAAGTGTAATGTATGTGAAATGCTATAAAGGTCCACCCCTCCCACCTTCCTCTAGTTTGAAATCAAAATTATGATTCCAAAAGAAGAATCAGTATGCCATGAATGACATGGCCCACGATTTCGATTCTGAACACCAGTTCTCACACAGTAGTGATAATAATCACAAAGAGGAAGAAACTTAGCTACTTCAAACTCATTCCAGGATATCCCCTCACTCTTTATCTTTTTTATTTTCCATTTAATTTTTAAAAAGCTTAACAGCTTGGCCCTGGCCAGTTTGGCTCAGCGGTTAGAGCATCAGCCTACGGTCCACAGAGACCCGGGTTCGGTTCCCGCTATTCACATCGATGTTTCTCTCTCTCTCTCTTCCTCTCTCTCCTTCCAGCTCTATCTGAATAAAAAAAAAAAAAAGGTTAACAGCTTGTTTTATTGCTGTTTGCCTCTTTTCTCCTACAAGTTGAATGTAGACAAAGGTAAAACAGAAGACGTGTTCAGCTTTTCGTGGCTCTTGTTCATTAAGGTTTTATCATGTATCACTGTCTGTGATATTAATGAATAATTTAAACTTGCATCACTACTATTTCAGATCTCTCTCTAAACTCGACATGCTGAGCATCCTGCAACCCTGAAACTCTTCTCCATCTTTTCTCCGAGGTTAAGCCTCTGGCTTACTGCTATCCTGTAACAGATCTTGGCAACTTACGTTATCTGTCTCTTGACAGATAAACTATCTTTCTGTCACCCTCATTCTACTGACTCGTGGCATTTGGTGAAAGAAAGAGGAAAGAAATCCTCAAATGTAGACTGCTGGGAGGGAGCTTGTGGAAGGACGAGGTCTGGGGTGGAGGAGGACGCCTTAAAGCATGTCCATGGTGTAGAGCTTTTGACAAGTCATCTACTACTCAGGTACAGCTACCCCTGCGGTCATTCAAGGACTAAAGACGCAGCACTAAGGGGTCCCCAGTACTATCTGAAGCATTTGATACACAATGTCTCTTTCAATCCTCCCAACAACCCTGCCATCATTCTGGGTTTGTTATTATTATTATTATGGGTGGGGAGAAACATCAATGTGAAAGAGACACATCGATTGGTTGCCTCTGACAAACTGCAACCGAGGTACGTGCCCTTGGCCAGAATCGAACCCGTGGCTCTTTGGTCGGCGGAACGATGCTCTAACCCCTAAGCCAAACCGGCCAGGGCCATTCTGGGTTTTTCAGAGAGGAAACTCAAGCACAGACAGGTGATGGAGCTGGCCCAAGGTCACCCAGTTCATGTAATGCAGAACCACATTCTGAGACAAAGCCGTCTTCCTCATCCTCCCACCTTCCAAACAGAGAAAACAGCAGGGGCCTAGCCTTCAGGGGCCTAGAGCAGGCCAGGGAGCAGAACGGCTGCAGGGTACACCTCAGGTGCGCAGGCAGGACTACTGAGAAAGGAGTGGAGAGGTAGCCGGTTCTAGATCATACAGCAGAGCAGGGACCTTGCAGCAAGGCAGGCTCAGAAGGGTTGAAGTTGTGGAGTGATTCCGACAGGTCTGCATTTTAAATAATCCACTCTGGCTGCATGCAGAGTGAAAGGAGAGGACTGGAGGCCAGCACAGCAGCAGACAGACAGACAGACAGTAAACACTGTTCCGGGCAGGTGAGAGGAGAACTAGGGTGGGAGCAAAGAGGATAAGGAAGGTGTCAAGGACTGTAGATATGTTTAAGAACTAGACTCTACAGGACCTGACGAAGGATTTGGAGGGCTATTTCTGAAGTTGGGGCTGACAGGGTCAACACCTTAACTGCCACCTAGCCGTTCGACCTAAGTCACTCAACCTCTCCGTGCTTCAAATTCTTCATCTGTAAAATGGAGATGAAAATAGCTCTGGTCCAGCCAGTGTGGCTCAGTGGTTGAGTGTCAACCCATGCACCAAGAGGTCACTGGTTCGATACCAGGTCAGGGCACATGCCCAGGTTGTGGGCCAGATCCCCAGTGAGGAGCATGCGGGAGGCGACCAATCAATGTTCTCTCTCTCATCGATGTTTCTATCTCTCCCTCTCCCTTCCTCTCTTTCTAAAAATTAATAAAGGAAAAAAAAAACAACAGCTCTGCCATAGAAATGTTGTGAGCAGTAAATTAAATACACATGTAAAGAATCTGGCACAGCACCCAGTATCTAGTAAACAATAAATATTAACTTTTATCTTTATTACTGTGGTCATTGCAAGAAGTCAAGAATGACCATGTGTCTGGCGTCAGCACAGGGGTCACACACAGCGGTCCCACTCTCTGCGAGAAGGGACAGTAGAGGAAAGGCAGCTTCAGGTTTTTATCATGTTACATTTTGGGGTGTCTAGATATTTTTGTGGATACAGGTGGCAACAAAGGAGCAGAGGAGGCATGCCACTTAGAGGCTGAAGTGAAGGAACCTGGCACCTAGACTGGACAGGGAAGGAAGTGAGGACATGAGAGGCTGAGAGACTAGCAGGGTTCTGAACTCTGCTGAGGTTTCAGGAAACTTCTCAGGTTCATGTTGTTCAGCAGAACCAAGATGAGCCCTGGCGGGTCTGGTGCAAGGTCGAACTGTTAGTGCTCAAGAGTTGTAATTTAAAATATTCTAGTTGTTGCCCTGGCCGGTTTGGCTCGGTGGTTAGAGTGTTGGCCCGCAAAGCAAAGAGTCAAGGGTTCAATTCTGATCAAGGGCATGTACCTTGGTTGCAGTTTGGTCCCCAGCTCTGGTCGGGTCATGCAGGAGGCAACCAATTGATGTGTTTCTCTCACATCGATGTTTCTCTCTCTCTCTCCCCTTCCCTTCCTCTCACTCTATATGAAGATAAATGGAAAAAATATTCTCGGTGAGGATTAAAAAAAATAATAAAATAAAACAAAATTTTCTAGTTGCCACATTAAAAAGAGTAAAAAGAACAGGTAAAATTAATTTTAGTTAATACATTTTATTTGACCCAATATATCCAAAATATTAATCAACGTGTAATCAAGATATTTTACTTTTTTCTTAGTCAGTCCTTTCCAAACCTGATGTGTATCTTACACTTAAGTCAGTGCCGACTAGCACCTTTCACAGACAGAGTGCTCATGTTTCTCTGAAACACGGCATTTCCACAGCAAACAGACCGGCTTGCCCGAGCAGTCTCCACGTCAAAGGCTCAGCCTCACCGTCCTTGTCACAACGTCGGCCCCGAACTGGGCTTCAGGACAGTTGCTCTGAGCATCACTCATCCTCTCCTTGCTCACTGGATCCATGGGTGCATACTCCACTGATTTGGTCACTTCATGTTCTAGCTCCATGAAATACAACCACACATTCAGTAAAAGCTCCTGGTGGCCATTGGGTTCCAAGAACGGTCCTAATCTGAAGCCACACAAGTCCTTATCAGGAATTTCAATGCGAGGTGCCCTCCTAAGTCCTTCACAGAGGCCCCGAGTGAACATGTCAGGGTGGGGGGACAGATGTGTGTCTAGGAACCTACCTGGGGAGGGTGGGGAAGGCAGCAGCCTCTGCCCACAGGCCCACCATACAAAGAACTTCCAGGTTGGCAGCACCATGACAACCTCACAGGACCCGAAGGGCCCACAGCTCACTCCAAAGGCCCAATTTTATGCACACTGTTCCTGCCTGACTCACTGGGATGATTAGAGCCCGAGCAACCTCTTCTATCTGCCAGGTGCAGCAAGAGGGCTCTGACCAATTACTTCTTATCCCATCAGTCCACATGGGCCCCTAAGAAGCCCCTGTATCTTTTAAGACTCCTTTTGCCACGGTGATAAAATAAAGACTTATCAGTGGGAAAAGACTGGAGAGCGACTTTGTAGGTCACAGCTGTAGAAAGATAGCTGCAAATTCCTACACAGGGTGTGATGTGCGGAGGAGGAGCAGAGGGGCTGGGAATGGAAATAATGTAACACTTCTCTGCACACGTCTGTGAACACTTCAGACAGTAGGCCCCGTTTTTAAGTTTCTGATACAAATTACTTAAGATCAAAGTTTTCTAGTCACGTAGTTCAGGTGGCATATTCATAAATCGCTGCAAACAGCTGAAAATATTATTCAAGTGCATAGCTTAATTTTTGAAAAATATTTGTTTAATATTTGTTTCTATCAAAATTAATAAATTAACATTGGAATTCCTTCTCTAATTCAGCTTTCTTTGGTTTCTTGATTAAAAAATAAGCACACACACACAGCTGATCTTTATCTCTAACACTTTAAAGAGATGTGCCATCATCTGGGGCTGTTCTTATAATGGTAAATTACAAATTAATGATGACCCCCTCATTTCCTCTTAATCCCACTAATGCCAACATCCAGACTGGCTTCAATATATCATATATAATGTCATCATATATATAAAGTCATCATATATAATGACTTCTGAGAAAATCATATGTCCTAATAAGGGTTTTTCATCAGATTTCCTCATAAGATACAATATGTATTTATTACCTGTTTAAAAAGTTTTTAAAAATTAGTGTACAACCCCAGACTTATTTCCTCAAATTTTATGTTCATAATTATTCAATGTGGTTTATCAAAATAGCTCCCCTTCTTAAAATAAAAGGAGGTACAGCTCTTGCTTTGTTTAAGGCTGTCTTCTCAACATACCAGCATGGTAGGACATGTGGGGACATGGTAAGAGGGGGTGCGGAGACAATGGTCATGAGAGAGACAGGGCTGGGCTACCCAGGAAGGCCAAGCATGTGCGGGCACCAGAAAAGCCTGACACCTAAACCCTTCCTGACATTTAATATTTCAGAAACAAACAAAACAAAACTGAGTTTCCATACACTTACTCTGAGTTGAATGCAGAAAGGTGGACACACCCTATAGAGCTCAAGGTCTCTGAATGTCGGCTTCAATCTGGGCCTGGTCCTACTATCATTTATTCCCTCATCTAAGGTACTCTGAGCCCCTCTCTGTGCCACACACACTGAGAACTAGAGAGGAAAAGAGGAATCAGACACAGCCCCTCTCTCAAGCAGCTCAGTCCATGAGAGCTCCTACTTTCAATTTTTTCCTTTGAAAGAAAAAGGGATCTTAATTTCCATCAAAATCTGCATACAACCAAAGGATGAAATAATTCTCTTTATACTTCAGTGATACCAAGAATCCCCCTAAGCTTTGTCAGTGAGAGGTAAAATGTTCCCACTATAACCGCCCCCTCCACAGCACCAACCTGCTCACATCACAAACCACTGTCTAGGAGCATCCTTTCTAAGGCAATGGTTTTGTAGCAAAGAATGTGGGATTCTCACTGGTTTCAGATGTTGCACTGAGAGAGCCTCACAGGCCTTCTTTGCAAGCCTTCATCACAGATGCACTTTTATCTCTAGTCATTAGATTATTTCATTAGTGTTTCTCCCCCCACACTAAGCTGGAAGCCCAACAGAAGCAGAAACCATGTTTCTTTCTGCTCACCAATGGAACCCCAGGGCCCAGCACACAATTAAAGAAATGAAGATTTAGAGAAGCCTGAAAAACTTGCATTTAAACATTTCTCTAATTATGGCTAAAAATGAGGAGCTATAGAAAACTGTCTGTTTATCTGGATTTTGTTTCTAAAAACGTTTTCTTTTAAAAATTATTTATTTACTTGGGTTATGATCTAGTTTCTCAAAACTTCTGGAGTTCACAGATCAGTACTCTGGGCCAGGACTGATTACTCTGAAAAGAGCAAAGTAACTTTCTCCTTACCACTCAGGGAGACCAAAACACCGAGACAAATCTGCAAGGTTTTGATTGTTTTGCTTCACACAGCAAAACTATTGACTTAATAAACTTGTCTAAAGTAAATAATGTTTTTTAAATTAATATAAATGCCAAATACCAGAAAAGTATATTTTTGGCTGGAGATCATTTCTAAAAGTAAGAGCTGGGGGAAAAACAAAAACCAAAACCCAGCCGATTCAGAGAATGCCGGCAGAGTCAAAGAGGAACAGACCCAAACTGCGAAAGAGATACTGTTCCCCTTTGACAATGTGTGTCAAGCTAATAAAACAAACATAAAATGACTCTTCAAACAGGTGCCCAGCTGACCTGAAAGGCTCGACAACTCTGAGTTGAGCGCTGCGTCCAGCGCGTCCTGCACTTGTCGGGACAACCCCCCGGGGGAAAGGCCATGCCTGTCCTCCTCTCTGCTGCCCCCGCAGTGTCCCTTCTCTGTGGCCCCGGAACCACGCGCTTTGGAAGGTGTGCTGGCTGGCAGAGGGGAAGGAAGAGGACGGGAAGGGCCCCTACCTGCCAACCTCCAGCGCTCAGGATACGCCAGCCCCAGGAGCTTCTGGGCCTCCGAGCGCCCGGCCGCCGCGGGGCGCAGCCGTGAGTCGTCTTTAGGGGCCGCCGCGGCCGCAGGCAATGCCCGCTCGCGCCGCCAGGCCTGTCCCCCTGCGCGGGCGGCGACGGCTGGTCCGCCAGGGAGCACGGCGCTCGGGAGCCGAGGGCCGCCGGGGGGCCGCGTCCACAGCCCCAGGAGCCGCGCAAGGCCCGCTCCGCCGCCGGGGCCGCCGGGGCCGCCGGGACCCCCAGGACCCCCGCCCTGGCAGCTGCTTGTCCAGCGGTGCGGGCTTCGCGCGGCTCCCGCAACCCCGAGGAGCCCTGGCCCCGCGCCCCAAAGCCGTGGCGGCCCCAGGTCGGTCGGCTGCGGCCAGGACACTGGTGCGCGGGCGGCAGGTGTCCATGCACAGGCGAGCGGGCCCCGCCTCACGAGCAGCCACAGCGGCCAGGCAGGGGGCCCGCGCATGGCGCCGCGTCCGAGCCGTGTGCCTGAGCCCGACCGGCCCGGCGCGCACGGAGCCCGAGGACCCTCCGGGCCCGGCCAAGCGGAGGGCGTGCACTCGACACCGCCCGCTGCCCCGCCCGCTGTCACCCGGCGTCACTCGCTTCATCAGGCCGGCGCCCACGCGCCTGCCCCGGCCGCGCCTCTCGGGCCGCACCACGCCCTCCAGAGAGCCCCCACGGGCCTCGGACGTCCTCCTCGTGGCGCCCCCCGCTGGGCAGTCGAGCGCCCCGCACGCCGTGCGCTGTCAGGAACCCAGCCGAGGGAAGCGGTGAGCACCGCTGCGCCTGCGCGCTGGAGCAAAGGGAGCTTTTTCGCGCTTTTCAGTCCCCTCCGGCCAGAACCTGGAAGCGGCGCGAGCCCTTTCTCACGCCGGTGGACTGGGCGGAGCGCGCAGACGCGATCACACGATGCCCGGCACAAGGATGTGGCGGCGGGACCGCGAGCTGGACGGGGCGTGCGACACGCCTGTGGCCCCAGAGGCTCCAGCGGGTATGGGTCCCGTCACCCCCCGCCCCGTCTCCGTGCCGAGCACAGGGCTGGGGCGCAGGAACACTGTTGGAGAGAACACCGCTGCGGGTCAGTTCAGTTCTGAAAGGCGTTGTGGAGGAGGTGGTTGGCGAAGACTGACAGATAACTTTGAGAAGGGGTAGAGATCATTTTATAACGTGAGCTGAAGTGCAAAAGTTACATGTATTTGAGGCACTCCGGCTGCTCAGAATGGAGGCCAATCTGAGCGCAATGTGTTTTAATACACGTGCCGGGAAAGCTGGAGGTACGGGTCTTGAAACCCATCAGGGCACAAGGAGACCTGGTGGAGGCATCTGTAAGCCGAGGGATGGTCAGGGGACCAGCCTGATTCTTAAAGAGTCGTGGTTGAGGACGGTGGACAGCTTTTTGTTGACTGGTAAGTATTTTTCAGGGCCGAGACTAGGGCGAGGCTAGTGAGAGGCACTTGCTTCAACTGCAAAATTTATGGATTCAGAGAAGAAGGCAAATACCCTCAATAATCAAGATAAATATTTTAGTGCAATATTTTTAAAAATAAAAATTAATGGAAAAAATGCATGATGAGCAATATATCAGACTTTCCAATTGGACCCTCTCCTGCGCTTGCACGACTCTGTCTCTTTTCTCACCCTAATCTCGGCCCTGAAAACCTTACTTACAAAGATAGGCAGTTAGCAGCTGGCCTAGTTGCCAACTTGGTTTTTTTTAAATTTTTGCATTAAAATATTACTTACTTGATTACTGAGACATTTTAGGACCTCCTTAAGTTTTGCCCCCAGGAGAGTACCTTACTTACCTCACCCTACTTGGGGACCTGGGAGGTAAGGACTGTAGAATTTTTGAGGGGAAGTACTGATAATAGTGTGGAATCAAACTGTAGTCTAAATGTTCTCGTGAAGTGAGCAGGAGGCATACCATCTTCTAAATTCCAACTTCTTAGACCCTGGCAGGCATGGAGTCCCCCCAAGTTGACCACACCTAGGTTAGAGTCTAAACTCTAGAATGCAGGGTATAGATGAAAATCGACACGACTGGTTTGTGAGTAGGCATGTCCCTTCTGGGAAAGATTTTGTTAGGTGACTTCTGAAAGGAAGGGAGATAGTACCTCATACCCCACACGGTGCATCCTGATGCCTGTCTCCCTGTTGAGCCCAGCAGAAGCAATATGGAAGAATGCCATTCTCTTGGTTGGAGAGAAAGTAACACTTTTAATTCAAATGTAACCTTACATTCTCTTTCCCACTTTCTAGAAAACTGTTGCTGCTGCAAGGTCTGGGGAAGGCAGGATTGTTTGCTTTCTGCCTTCCCAGGAATGACGTCCACCAGGCTTTTTCAGCCAGTTCTCTCTGGGTCAACAGAAAAATAACTCGAGCGTAGCTAATTAACAAATAAAACTCTCTGCGTTGTTTGCATTTATAAAAATTAGTCAGATAATCATCTGAAAATAACTATCCCCAGCAAAATGGTCACGTTTAAAAAAGTCCCAGCTAGCTATCATGTAATCTATGAGGCAAGAATTATTTTCTACCATAAAATATAAAGAAACTGTCCATAGCTCTTTACAATACACAATGGGGAATAAATATTGGCAGAAGGATCATCTGGACTTATGTAGTCATCCTACCAAAAAAAAAAAAAATGACCTCCACTAAATAGATATCATTGGAAGAGGTCATAGTAATGAAAAGCAATAACATATATTCCTACTTGAAAATAAGGATAACTTCTTACTGTCTTTAGAAATTAGGATAAAATTCCTTGACCACTGAAAAGAGCAAGAAATGCTCTAAGGTGTGTTTGGGGAAGAAAGAGACAAAGCACTTAGATATAAGTGGATTAATAGCAGAAAATACTACAGCAAAGCAAAGAAAGGGTGCATGCTAATTCTGAGACAACAAGCAAAAATTCAAATCCTGTCCCAGGAAAGACAGAAAGGGCTCTCGGTGGAGGTGTGATTGTACCTATCAGTAAAATCTGGCCCTCAGTGAATAGACATTTAATAGGTTTAGTGGCCAGCAGGTGTCAAATTCCAAAAGGAGTCCTTTCCACTGACACTTGAGAGCAGTTGGGATTACTTCAAGAACTGTTCCACCTGTGCGTTCTTGTCCCTCTCAAAGGGTGACAAGGGAGCTCATAAAAACAGCAAGAGGAGACCCATGGAACACAATAGCACAAGAAGCAAACAAGTCTCCCTGGCCTGCAGTCTGTGTGATCTGACTGGGGAGTGGGGTGTCATTGGACCCGTCTTAGTACATTTTTTTTTCTTTTAACTCAAGCTTGCAGCTCTTGCTGTCAAGTGCCAGGTGGCAGGGCGATGGCTGAAGGTGGAGCTTGCAGACAGTGAAGCACAAACCAGGAGCAGTGCTCTGTATATTCCTCTGAAATCCATCGAAGCTTTAGGTAACTTCACTGTGTGCTCACAGTGATTGCTGAAGCTGTAACTTTATTACCTAGAAATGTGACACAGGTCAGCTGAATGCAGCGGTTGCAGAAGGTTTGGCATCCTTGGCTTTTTTACATCCCCCCCCCCACACACACACACACCTCTCTTTCTCTCTCTCTCTCTCTCTCTCTCTCTCCCCCCCTCCCACACACCTTCTCCCAAAAGATTCTAGAGCAAGGTTGTATAGTTTGAATTGTGTCCTCACAAAAAGATATATACAGGGTAGGGCAAAAGTAAGTTGTTCATATGGAAAATAATACAGTAATAAATAATAATACAAGAATAAACTCTGTTTCGTGTGCTTACAACTGTAAACCTACCTTTGCCCCACTCTGTATATGTTGAAATCCTAACCCCACAGTACCTCAGCATGTGACTTTATTTGGAAATAAGACAAAGCTGCCCTGACTGGTTTGGCTCAGTGGTTAAAGCATCAGCCCATGGATGGAAGGGTCTTGGGTTCGATTCCCAGTCAAGGGCACATACCTGGGTTGCAGGTTTGATCCTGGCCCCCATTAGGGTTGTGTGGGAGGCAACCAATCAGTGTGTCTCTCGCATTAATGTTTAATGTTTCTCTCTCTCTCTCTCTCTCTCTCTCTCTCTCTCACTCTCTCTCTCTCCTCCTCCTCCTCCTCCTCCTCCTCTCCCCCCCCTCCTTCCCTTCCACTCTGCCTAAAAATCAATAGAAAAATATCCTCGAATGAGGATGAACAACAACAACACAAAGAGACAAAACCGTACTGGAGGAGAGTAGGGTATCATTATGAGAAGATGGCTGTGGGAAATTAGACACACACAGGGAAAATGCTTTGTGATGATGAAGGCGGAGATGGAGGCCATGCAACCAGCTAAGGAATATTACTTCGAGCCAAGGGGTGCCGAAGCTGGCCAACAGATCATCAGGGCTACCAGGGCAATGCTACACGCACCAATGTGGAACCATAGCCTATGAGGTACAATGCAAAATGGCAAGTTGCACAACTGTGTGTATAGTGTGGAATTTTTGTGTAAAAAATACTTTCACCTTCACTTCATATATTCACAGAATATATTTAAAAGGATTCAAAAGGAACAGTGGTTGTCTCTGGGGAATAGTGAATAAGAGTAGGTGTCCTTTTGTAACTTGGATTTTCACCATCTATTCAAAAATAAGTTATAGTTATGATTAAAATTAAGAAGACAATGAAAGAAAGCCTGCATAGAAAACAAAAGGTACCAAAGGATTACATAAAAGAAAAATATGCTTGGCAAGTTTGTTCAAATTTTAAAGAAGAAATAGTTTCCATGGTATATAAACTGTTCTGAAGCATAGAGAAAGATAGACTTCTTAGTTCATTTTACGATATTCATTAATCCTGATATTCATGTTTAACAAAGATAGCCTTGAAAATGAAACACAAATATCAACATATAATGGAAAAACTCTTAATAAAACAATAGCAAATTATATCTAGCAGATTACTTAAAAAACATTATTACTGCAGTTTCTCATTTGCTGTGGGCATGACCACAATAGTTTCCCACTAGGTTTTCTTTCTGCTACGTTGGTAGCATTCAGCCTATTGGGAACATTTTCTCTTTTTTCTTTTTTTATCCTCACCCGGATTGCATTTCAGATAGAGCAGGAGGGAGAGAAGGAGGAAGAGAGAGAGAGAGAGAGAAACATCGATGTGAGAGACACTTCGACTGGCTGCCACCCACACAACCCCCACCGGGGCCGGGGACAAACTGCAACTGAGGTACGTGCCGTTAACGGGAACCAAACCTGGGTCTTTCTGGACTGCAGGCCAACGCTCCAACCGCTGAGCCAAACCGGCCAGGGCTGGGAACATTTTCTTAACCTTTATTTTCATTGTCTAGTTGAGCACTCTCCAATATAAATATAACACAAGTTATGTATGATTTTGTAATAGCCATTGGTAATCAATGAGATTTTACTTAGTTGCCTTAGATTTCTGGAGTCTTGCAGATGTCCTCCGTCCATTAGGTTGCTAGTGACCAGATAGTTTGTGATCATATGATCATCTATATC